ATATTATTTTTATTCATTTTTAAAGAAACTATTTTTTAATTTTTTTCACAAATTTTCTGATATAATGTTTGAATTTCTAAATAAAAAATGTAGCAAAAGAAAAATGGAAAGAGAAAATAAAATAAAAGAAAAAATGTATTTTTTTTTTTAAATGTTTCTCCTCTTGAAAAGAATAAAATAAGTATGTATTTTTCTACGTTCATAAAAGGACATTTTTTTTTTTTTTTTTTTATTTCTTTCTGCACTGCAGTAAAAAATAATCAACTCCTTAGAGCATCATGAAGGAAATTGTCCATTGAAAAAAAAAAAAAACACTTGCTTTGAAAACAATACACAGTATATGCTTGAGTAGACTTGCAAAAAGAGATTCCTGCCTCGATGAAAGCGGTGAAAGGCTAATTTCTGGAACAATATCAGATCTAAAGTAAATTGAATCCAAACCAGAAGTGTTCCAAGTTGCTTATTGCTGGTTTTTTTTTTTTTTTTGTTTTTTTATTTTTTATCAGGATGGCAATTTATCTGTGCCAGACTATACAGAATCCTTTCCTTTTGCCGACATTATATGTATGTATATATATATATATATATATATATATATATATAAGAATGGATTAATCGTTAATCGATGAAAGCGGTGAAAGGCTAATGCTTGTCCCTGACCCTGCGCATCGGAACACTAATTGTATTCGTTGAGCTCCGAGCACAATACAAGATATCTGCAATGTACATATATTAAGTTCTATTCAAAATTGGACAAGGTGAAAAGGGTGACGACATATGACCTCATGTTTTCAGCATTCCAATTCCTTTTCATTCTTCTCCCTTCTCGAAAATCTGATCCAATTAATAAGACGCGAAACAAATTTTTAATTTTTTTTTTTGAAATTTTTATTGAATTTTTTTTATAGAACAAATTTTTTTGCGATAGTAGCAAATTCTTTCAGCAAACATTCATATTAAGAAAAACTTTACTTGATTTAAATAATTCTTTACTTGACTGTCAAATAAATATTTATTTACATATTGCACAAAATTTCTGACGCCCCTAAAAATGACGAGATTTTTATGTGTGATAATAAAAAAAAAATTTTTTTGTAGTTTTTGTGAATTAAAATATGTTTTGCAAAATTTTAATTTTTTTCATAGTTATAGAATTTTTAAGCAACAAATTAGAATTTTTATTTACTGTTTAATGGATTTTTCTCCAAAATTTTTGAGCCTTAAACAAATATTTATTTTTATTAAATAATAATTATTTTTTATATCAAATAAATATTTATTTACATGAAAATAATTATTATATTTGATTCAATTAAATTGCATTTCTTTTAAATACAGAAATTAATGATTGAAATACAATTTATTTAATAAGTATAAAATTATTTTATTCAAGTAAATATTTATTTGATAATAGTCTGATAATCAATTATTTGAATCAAATAATTTTTTTTTCTGTACACCTGTTTGGTTAATTCATTACATTCAAAAAAAAAAAAAAATCATCACCTAAATCAGCGATATGTTTCACTAAAACAGGGAAAGTTTTCGCTATTCTAGAGAAATATATAGCTGTTACAGAGAAACTGATCGCTGTTCCAGGTAAAGATTTTTTTTTTTGCCTATTCTTTTCCACATAGAATTTATATTTAATTTTTAGAGAAATTTTTATCCAAATAATTTTTTTATTCACCTGAATTTTTATTTTATCCAAATAAAATTTGGAGAAAAGAAAATTTTTTGAATAGGAATTATATTAGAAATTTATAAGGATCCATTTATTATTTTTTGTGAGAAATAAATTGTTTTTTGATTGAAAAGAAAAATATATAGTCATTTAATGGGTGATTAAAATTCAAATGATAGATTATATTATAGAGTTGATGATAATTTTTCTTCTGAATTCGCACGAAAGGAGAGACAACAACGACAGAGTGATGTTTATAAGCTTTCTCTCCAAAGCCACTTAACCCGGTCCAGTAACATCCATCCATGGACTGTCGCACTCGTGACATCTTCCACGTTCCGCCCCGCCTTAGTAATAACAGCGAAAAACCTATAACATTCATGTAAATTTATATATATATACGTGTGCAATTCAACATTTATCTTGTGATTCTAATCTCAAAAGAGAGAGAGTTTCAGAAAGTATATTGCAAAAAAATTTTCGTTTATAAACACATTTTTTTTTCTTCCTTATTTCTAGTTCATATCAAAGTTTTCCCATTTGAGAATTTATAATTTTTTTAAAAAATATTTTTCTTTCACTGCAAAAAAAAAAAAAAAAAATTTATTTAATTCAAATAATCGGTTATTTGACTACTATAAAATAAATATTTACTTGTATTAAATAAATATTTATTTGTTCCAAATAATTATTTTTTCCAAATAATTATTTATTCCAAATAATTATTTAATTAATTATTTATTCCAAATAATTATTTAATAAATTATTTATTCCAAATAATTATTTAATGAATTATTTATTCCAAATAATTATTTAATTAATTATTTATTCTAAATAATTATTTAATTAATTATTTATTCCAAATAATTATTTAATGAATTATTTATTCCAAATAATTATTTAATGAATTATTTATTCCAAATAATTATTTAATTAATTATTTATTCTAAATAATTATTTAATGAATTATTTATTCCAAATAATTATTTAATGAATTATTTATTCCAAATAATTATTTAATGAATTATTTATTCCAAATAATTATTTAATGAATTATTTATTCCAAATAATTATTTAATTAATTATTTATTCCAAATAATTATTTAATGAATTATTTATTCCAAATAATTATTCAATTAATTATTTATTCCAAATAATTATTCAATTAATTATTTATTCCAAATAATTATTTATTCTAAATAATTATTATTTGAGATGGTATTTTTTTCAAATACAATTTATTTAATTCAAATAAAAATTATTTGGTTCAAGTAAATATTTCTTTTGTTAATAGTCAAGTAAATTATTATTTGAACAAATAAAAATTTTTTTTTTTCATTGTTCTTTGAATTAAATTTATCTTAATTATAAAAAAAAAAAATCTCAATTGCATTAAGAATTTAAATTGGTATTCTGAAAAAATATTTGCGGTTGTATTTATTGTTTTCAATTTAGAAAAACATGTTCCACATTTCTTGATTATTAAAAATGTGTGTGCAAAACTTTCTTTTTGATAATTGATAAGAAATTATAGTTTAATTGCTGATTTAATGGTGTTGAATTTGTAATTTATCGTAATTGGAAAGAGCGAGGAAAATTTCCGCAATCGACCTTAAATTGCAAATGTTGTAACAACAACATTTGTGTGTTACAATCTTCTCTCATGTAACATTGCCCTATCATAAAACTTTATAATCTATTTGCAATGGTCCATTATGAATTGCTGTAGTACATCATGATAATGTGTTTAAAATGTATGATACTTGTTACAAATAAATTCAATACACGAACGTAAATAGTGAATATATATATATATAAAACTTATACACATATATAATGAGACAGATATTCGTTGGTATCTCAAGTAACGGGGGTTCTAAATTAAGAAACTTCTTGCTTACGTTTAATTCTAACGGCATATTACACTTGACTATACAGATTCCATTCGAAGGACAATTATCTTCTCAGAATATAATGCTTCATTGAAAAATACGTGTAATAAGTCATCTCATGGTTTCTGTGTGTGTAAATTTCCATCAACGATAGTGCAAAATTGATTCAGATCTCAATCAAATTAAAAAAAAAAAATAAATAAATAAAAAGGGAAAATTAAAATTTTTTTTTAATTACTTTTTTATAAAAATATATTTTGTAAATTAGAAATTTATTAGATTTTAAATAATTTATTTACTTTTTTAATTATTGGTAAATAATTATTAATTTTTTATTGAAGGTAAATTAGAGAAATATTTTAACAATAAATTAATTATTTATGAATATTTTTTTTATTCTACTTTTATTTAATTATTTTTTTTTATTAATTAATAGAGAAACAAAGATTTGAAAAAAAATTCTAAATGAAAAATGAAAATAAATATTTTTGTCTTTTCTCCCGAAAAGTAGACTAGAAATATTTTAACAAAAGGTCAGGGTTTTTTTTTTTTATATAGATGAAAGGTGATTTTACGATTTTAAATTGCAATTCCCTAGGCGACATTGGACTTTATTTTTCTCCTCTGTCCATTTTCTATGTTTGTTACATTTGATTTTATGAAAAATAAAATAAATTTATGGTGCGTCCGCCCACATTTTCATGAAAAGTAAATAAAATATCCTTTGAGGAATTTTTTTTTTTTCGCCGATAGACAATTATTTCAATTTTCAAATTAATAAACAAAAAAATTGATCAACTTTTGATTTTTATAAATTTAAAAAATAAAAATTGTATAAATTAAAATTATTTTATTATTTATTATTTATTATTATTTTAATTTAATTAAAGAATATTTTATATTAAATAAAAAGTAAATAATAAAATAATAATAATAAATTAATAATTTTTCCGAAGAGAGAATAATAATTTCCTATGAAATAAGAGAAAAATTGTAAAATAAAGGAAATGCAAATATTCTAATAAGTAGAGAAGATTTTATTTAGTCAGACAAAGGAAAGAATAAAAGTTTTGTCATGAATATTCGCTTTAGATAAATTAAGAGTTGTTTTTATGACAACCTACTTTTCTGCGTAATTTTTAATTACCGTTTACTTTGCTTTTACTAGTTTCTTCTTTAATATATACACAATAATTTTTCTTTTTTTTTTTTTCAACATCGAATACATTTTTAATTATATATTTCTTTTGTGTATTTTATATATGTTTCTTCTCAATTATTATTCTTATTATTCAAATAAAATAATTAAAGAATAATTAAAATTATGAAAATATTTTTCTATTAGTTTTTTTTTTTTTAAATTGCATTAAATTCAAATATTTTTTACCTTTTTAAAATAATGTTTAAAAAAAACAATAAAACAATTAATTTGTAACATTAGATTATATTTACAGAATTTGCTTTACAATTGGACAATACGAAAATAAATTATTTATAATAAATTGTGGCAGCACGTATACAGATATACATTATACCTTTTGATCTAAATATTAATTATTCCTTACATGTGAAAATTTGCATAAATAAAATTAAATATTATTATATAGTCTATATTATAGAGACACTTTTTTGCGTATGTTTTTTTTTTTAATAATATATTATACGTTGACAATAATACCTACAAGGTCATGGATTCACAATTTCTCGAAGACCACTTTTTTTTATGTACATCTATTCACATTCACACAAAAATTTAATTTATATATATATATATATGCAATATTTTGTCTATTATAATTTGTCTCTCTCATATTATTTTATATAGAATTTTCCAATTGATTTACATTTTGAAAATATATTTAAAATTTATAGAACATATATATATATATTGTTTAAGTAGAACACTAAAAATAGTGTCAATTAAATAGTTTTGTTACAATCGTCATTCATTTAAAAAAAAAAAATAATTAAAAAATAACTTCTTTAACCCTAATTAGATTTTAGTTTAGCATTTGGCTTTAACTATTTAATTATATAGCTCAAGATATTAGTCTATATGTTTTAATCACAAAATAGGACAAATTTAATTGTATCCAATTGTGGTATTTAACACCGTTTTAAACTTTCTATTTGGATGTGAGATCTTCGAAAAAATTATACACTTTTTGTTTTTTTTGAAGATTTTTTTTCGAAATAAACTCCTTTTTTCAGATTATTTTCACAGCTGTCTTTTTTCGACTTGAGAAAAAAAGTCTGTTAAATAAACTCAACTTTTCTTATTTTATCTATATATGTATAGAAAATTCAATTATTCGCCTATATATATATATATATATAGAGAGAGAGAGAGTTTTCATTTTCTTTGCAAGAGTGTATAAAATTGCTTTTTCTCGAAGGAAGTTTAAATAATGATTTAACTTTTGTAATTTAAACAACAATTGCACAAGTGGAACGAATTTGATCTGGCACTATATATACCCTCTTTATATAGTTATATACGTTTACAATGAAGATCAGGACAAAAGAAAAATTTCATTTCTCAAAATTAAAAATTTTTCAAAAGAAATTAAGTCTTTTGTTTTAAAAATTCGTAAAATTTTATTTTGCAGATCTTTTTGTTTTTCAATGTTACTTTCATTATTTTAAATGATTACATCTATGTGACATTGGAAATTTTTAATATTTTCTTTTTTTTTTAAATTAGAAAAATTTTACTAACGAGATTTTATGAAATTTTTTTTTTTTTTTTGTAAAAATTTCATTGAAATTTACTAATTTAGAATAAATAAATTTTTTCTTATTTCTGTGATGTAATCAATTAATTTTGAAAGTTCAGGAAAAAAAAAGATCTACAATATTTTACTAGAAATTTATTAATAACCCTTTGAGCAAAGTTTAGTAGAAATTATTCGCTAATATTTAATATTCACATAAACATTGTTCAGAGTTATTTGAAGTTTGCTATATTAGTATAATCGCTATTTTGATTTTGGTTCAAAATTTAAACCAAAAAAAAAATAAAATAAAAAATAAGCAATTTTGAAAAATTAAATATTATGCAATTTACTGCAAGTATTTTTATTTTCTATTTTTTATCGTTCTAATTGAACAAAATCTTACCATTTTGATGGAAATTCATTATAATATCAGTATTCTTACTATGAAAAATCTTGTTTTTCTGACAATATTTTTTTTTTTTGTTCATAAAACAAATTATTCTTTTGCAAAAAGAATGTATAGAAAAAAAATTGTTTTTACAATTATTAAATTGAAAAATTTCTTTTTCGCAATTTTTTCATTTGAGTTCATTTGATGATGATTTAAAAAAAAATCAATCATTGAACTATAATGAATATATAGTTTTTAGTATTAATGGAAATGAATATTTTTCATAATCCTTTTTTTTTATAGGGATTTCCTAAAATTGAAGGATTTGATTAATCCAATCTCTAAATTGAGAAATTCTCGTATAAACTCCAGGTTGACTTGGTTCCGCACAACCTATTCCCCAACTTATCACACCCGCTAACACCCATCTGTTATCACGTGTTCTTTGAATTGACATTGGTCCTCCACTGTCGCCCTGAAATGGAAATTTTTTTTTGTTTTAATTACAAAAATATTTTTTTTTTTTTGTTTTAATTACAAAAATATTTTTTCTTTGTTTTAATTACAAAAATATTTTTTTTTGTTTTAATTACAAAAATATTTTTTTTTGTTTTAATTACAAAAATATATTTTTTTTTTTTGGCAAAATTATGTTAATTATTTAACAATTTTTAAAATTGAAAAAAAATATTTACCTCGCAGGAGTCATATCCACCTTTCCTCCAGCCGGCACAAATGAAAATATGAGGAATCCTTTCTATATAACCAGCAGCACCGTACATAGCTTCACATTGAGTGTTATTTATAACAGGTACTGAGACCTCCTGTAGTACCGACGGTAGAGGACCATCTATTGGAAAATAAATTGATTAAATCAAATCCACTTTTTTTTTAAAAAAAAAAATTTCAAAATAGAAATTTTGTAGAATTATAATTTTTTAGAAAATAATTTTTTGTTAATTTTAATTAAAATTAATTAATTACCTTCATATAGCCTTCCCCAACCGGTAACATAGGCAATATGTCCCTCATAACTCTCGTCATCGTCTGGTATACAAATTGGTAAAATATTTGGTTGAAAGTGTTTAATTGGCTCGTAGAAACGTAAGAGAGCAAGATCATATTCAAATGTTCGTGAATCAAATTGAGGATGACTTGCCACTAATTGCACTCTTCTCTCTTGATATCCATAGGGTTCACCTTCACTTGACAAATCATATTCTCCTATTCGCAATAATAAATCACTTGGAGGTACACTGAAACAAAAAGGACCAGTTTTTTAAACTCCTACAATTTTTTTCTACGAATTTTTGTTATTATTATTATTATTATTATTATTATTATTATTATTTGTTATTATTATTATTATTTTATTATTATTATTATTATTATTATTATTATTGTTATTATTTTTATTATTATTATTTTTATTATTATTACACTGACAAAAAAATTATTTGATTTAAATAATCCGACAGTTGACTTATTATTAAATAAATATTTACTTGAACCAAATAATTTTTATTTGAATTAAGTAAACTATATTTGAAACAAATATCATTTAATTGACTCAAATATTTTTATTTGATAATAGCCAAGTAACCGATTATTTGAATCAAATAAATTTTCCAAAACTTTATGATACAAAAAAAAGAATTATCCCCTTTGAAAAATCTAGAAAATATTGCTTTTGATTTTTCTTAAAAAATTAATTAAGATTTTTTTTTTTTTTAATTAAAAATATAGAATCGTAATTTTACTTAATAGAATCGTAAACTCTATATGTTTTCCAAAAGTTTGTTTAAATATCAAATAGTGAATTTTAATATTATAATATTTATTCAGCATAAACCTTTAGGTCTTTTACATTTTACTATAATCCCATATATAAACCACAAGGGATTAAAAAATTTTCTTCTATTTTTTTTTACAAATTATTTAAAAAAATTTTTTTTTTTTAGAATTTAATTAAATTTAAAAAGAATTGTATAAAAAGAAAGGAAAAAAAAATTAATTCAAATTTAATTCAAATTTAAAATGGTAAATTTTTATTCTCTGTGAAAATATATTCTTTTCATAATTTTTTTTTTTTTTTTTTAAAAAGAACTAAGAAAATAACAAAAGGGATGATTATCAGATTTCAAGCAATAAAATTAACATAATTTTCTTATAGCAAATTTTTTGCTGATTATTCTTATATAATCAAGATTCAAAGTAGCTGCGGGAAAAACTATTTAATTTTTCACCTATATTTTCATTTTTGCTTTTTAGTTTGTTTTTTTAAATATAAATTTAGAAATTGTTTTAATTATTCAAAAATTCATTTTGCAAAGTAAAATTGACAAATAAATTCATTAAATTTTGTTACTTTAAATAAATAAATATAATTTACCTGTCTATACAATGTGCTGCAGTAATAGCCCAATTTTCGTTAAGCAGAGCTGCACCACATTTGTGAAGATACGTTGATGTTCTCCATTGTCGAAGCGAAATCTAATCAATAAATAAATTTTATAATAACATAATTAAAAATTCTCTTAATTAATAAACAATTATATTAATTTACATCAAAAATTATATTTTAAATTGCATTTGGCATCAATGGGAAATTTTCGATTTTCTTTTGGTAAATAATAATAATAATAAAAATAATAATAATAAAAAAATAGTAAATAAATAAAAATATAATAGAAGTAGCTCTCTTTGCATATGACACATCTTTTTCAAGGACGATTTATTTATCCACACATATATATATATATATATATTCTTCATTTTAATCTCCTGTTTAGTATGTTGAGATAAAAATCTGAAAAGGATTTAGTAAATACTTTAACCCACCGTAGTTGATATCAATTGATGATAAGAATATGTCAAATGGGTGGGTAGCACAAGATTACCGATTTATGGATTTAAAGTGACAATTTTTTTTTTTAAATTTTATCGATCTAATAAAATAGTAACGTAAATATTACTTGCAATCTACACTTATACAGGTTGATAAACAAATACGAAAAATTTGTTTTATTGATTTTTGTCATTTACGATATCAATTTCTTATCTGCCTAATTTAATTTTGACGCAGAAAATACATTATCTTCTATAAACTTAATTTTTCCCTTTTTTCAAATTGTAGCTTCGTTAAAATCTTTGAAAATTTTCAATTAATTATTATTAATAAATTTTTCATATTATTTAATTTAAAAAAAAAAAAACAAATTATTTTCTCAAAAATATCTTCTATTTTTAAGAATAAAATCGTTTACTTTTTATTCATACACTGAAAAAAATTAATTTGATACAAAAAAGAAAATTATTTGATTCAAGTAAATATTTATTTGATACAAGTCAAGTAACCGATTATTTATATTAAATAAATTTTTTTTTTTCAGTTATTATAAAATATTCTTGAGGAAATAATTTCTTAAATTCCATGCTTAAAAATCTTCACCTGAAACAGCGATAAGTTTCTCTAAAATAGCGAAAACTTTTACTGTTTCAGTGAAAAATATCGCTGATCCATTTGAATATTTTTTTGCATGTAATATTTTCATTTAAATATTTTTTTGATTGAAAAAATTATTTTTTTAATATTATAATTTATTTGTAAATAAATAATATAAAATTTTTTATACAAAGAATATGATAATAATAATAAATAAATTATTTATTCTAATTTGAAAATATTTAAAAAAAATTTTTCAATGTTCAAAAAAAAATTCACCATTTTTTCTTCTCTTTGGAGAAATACTATAAAAGTATATACATCTATATCTTTAGTCATCAAGTCATCTAGTTGTGTCATTTAAAAGCTAATCAGTAAAAGAAAAATGCCCAATAATGAAAAAGTTAAAAAAAAAAGTGTGAATAAAAGGAAAAAATTAATTCATACCTGCCAGGGCCATTTGCCAAAGGTACTGCTGTTTCCACCCACGATTCTTCCTTCCGGAATTAGTCTTCTGCCACACACTGCAAGAATAAACATGGTCGAATTAATGCCCTTCAATAAATTCGCGTGTCTAGTAGCGGCAGCCATGTTGGAGAACAAGGCCACGCGCTCTGTTCGCGTACTTTTATGTATATGTATATATAGTTATGTCGATCAGACTGGATGAACCGGTACCATCTTTTTTTTTTTTTTTTATTTATTTTTTTTTCTTACTACACGTTTCTTTGAACGGTTTATCTTCTCATTTTAATAGGTTTTGCATTGTGTTTGCATTTGTAATTGTACTTCCCGATATGTATGACTAATTCAAGAAGCAATTTTTTTATTCACTGTAAAATCTTTAGAAATGATAAATTTCATATAATGATTACCAAAACGATTTGAATTATCGGTTCAATTATATATATATGCTTTAATTTTATGATTTTTTTTCTTTTTAATTTTTTTTTGTTTGCTTCACACTGATGTTTTATGCATGAATTATTAAATTTTAACAAAAGGTAGTATTTAATCGTTAATAAATTTAAAATGAAAATTAATACCCCTCAGTGAAATTACAATAAATTAATGAAAATTGTATAATTTACGACACCAAGTGATATTCATCTTGGCAAATTTATTAACAATTTTTTTTTCTTGGTACAATGGAAAATTTTTGTTGTAGAAAAATTAGTCACATAAAATAATAAGACAAATTCTGACAAGAATAATTTTCCTCTTTCAATGTATCATAATTTTTTTTTTTTATATAATTTCGAAAATTTTTAATTGGAAAAAAAATATTTGATTCAATCGCTTTACTATTCGATAAATCTTTATTTGAGCCAAATAATTTTTGTTTGCATCAAATAAATTTGATTTGAACGTTTTTGTATTTGATATAAATAATTAATTGTTCCAAATAAAAACTATTTGTTTCAAATAATAATTATTTGTACCAAATAATAATTATTTGTACCAAATAATAACTATTTGTACCAAATAATAACTATTTGTACCAAATAATAACTATTTGTTACAAATAAATATTTATTTGATAATAGAAAAGAAGCAAATAAATTTTTTTTCTTTCAATTTAACATAGAAATAAAATATACTTTTTTTAATTTATTTCTAATCTCAGTAAATGTTGGTAACTTAATTACGGGAAGTTGGTACCATGTGCCCTTATAATGTCCCACACTGAATAGTGATAGTTAAATCGAATTTTTGTGGTAAATAACTGACACAAATTGAAATAAAACAAAATTTACGATCCATTAAGTAAGGACCATAAAATTAAAATCGATAAAATCATGGCAAAAAAAAATATAAAAAAAAAAACCCCCCATAAAATAATCTGCAAAACATTGATTTGAAAAACACGAAAAAATAATTATTTTTCTGTTTAAAAAAAAGTGAGATAAAAAAAGATTATTTAACAGTAAAATCATGTTACTTAATTTAAGATTTTATTCTAATTTAGTTTTTTGGAAAATTTAATACAAACCTTGTTTATAATCAGAAATGTTGATTGGTGGTATAATAGATTGAGTTGTTTCAGTAGAAACAGTGACAGAAGCAATGGTAGATAATGTTGTTGGTATGACTGGTCTAGTCGTGATAAAAGTGTCAGCAGTTGGAATTTCCGTTACGGGTTTAGCTGAAAATCCATGCTAGGCGTTAATTAACGAGCTACCAAAGTGGCTACTTAAAACCACACACCAAACCACTTCCACGTTGCTTTTACACTTACAGTATATATAAACTTGGGGGTTTTATGTGCAACTTTATAGAGAAAATTGTGTGCTTGCAATAGATTAAAAGTGTAATTTAAACTCGAAATTGAGATAAAAGACTATTTCTTACTTTAGGCAATGTCATATCTTATAAAATAGTTTATATATAAAGTACCCGTCCGAAACAATAAGATAAAATTTTAATACACACTATTAAAAAAATATTTCATTCTTTTTCCTCTTTAATTGAACATATTTTCTTTAACAATAATAAAGAAACAAAATATTAAAAAAAATTAAAAATATTAAATAATAAAATTAAATTATTATTGTCTTTAAATTAAATTAATAACTCACATGTTGTAAATGGAGCATCAGTTGTTGTTGCAATTGGTTTAGATGAAGTTGTAATTGTTTCGATTTTTTCCGTAGATGGAGAATTAATAATAATCCATCCGTCTGGTTTTGTTATTGGTGACCAATCTGTTTGTGTTGGTTCTAATGAAATAAATTTTTCAATTATCAGTAATTAATCAATTTGATTAAATTTTTTTAAATAAGAAAAAGATGTCTACCTTCGGTCGTTGAAGAAGCATCGGAAATTTTAAGAGTGGTAATTTCATCTAAATTTGATGTCCAAGTAACCAAACCAGGTGGATATGTTGTCGATTCATCTTCTGGTTTCTTTGGTGGCGAAATTGGAATAGTTGAGGTAGAAGCATTGAAAGGAATGTAAATATTGGATTCCGTTGAAATTGTAGGAACAGGTGTCTTGGAAGGCGAAACCTGAATTGTGGAAATAATCGAAGGTGTAGTCGATTTAATTCCAGTTTGAGTAACACTATAGGTTGGCTTAATTCTATCAGTGGTGGTAGTAGTGGTAGTAGTAGTAGTTGGCTTGGGTGGACTTCTGATGGTCGTGCTTGTCGTAGTAGCGGCTGTAGTTCCGGTTGTTGAACTAGGTTTTACTAAACCAGGTTTTGTCGAACTGGTCTTTGTAGGCTTGCTAGCAGGTTTTGTTTTAGTGGTTGTTGGTCTCACTGTTGTTATTTTAGATGGAGTCTGCAATGAGATATCAGATAATTGAAATCTATCATTATTTCATTTCTTTTTTTTAAATATTTTTATAAAAAAAGGGATTACAAAAGATTAACTTACCTTATCAAAAACGGGTTTTTTTGTTGTGGGTTTAAAACCACCGAAGGGTATAGTTTCCGTTGCGCTGGGTTCAGTAGTAGATGGAACTCTAGTACTGGTAGAAATTGGTCTTGTTGGTTTTATTGGTTTCGATGGTTTTGTCACTGAAACTGGTTTTACAGTTTCTTGTGGTCTTGTTGTGGTAGCAGGCCTTTTGGTAGGTACCGTTGGTTTTTTAACAGAAGTATTGGCAATTGTTGGTTTTTTCGTTACTGTACTCAAAGTGGGTTTTTTGATTGTCGTTGAGGTCAGAACGGGTTTTCGAGTTGTTGTTGTCGTCGTCGGTCTGTTGGTTGTTGCATTTCTGGGTGGGAATCTCGTTGATGGAATCCTAGTTGTTGGAAAGGTTGTTAGGGGTTTTATTGTTGTTTCTAGTGTTACAGTTGTTGACGAAGATTCACTACTCTGCGTGAGATTCTTAATTAATGGTGATTGGGTTATGCTGATAGTTGGTTTCTGAGAAATAGTTGAAGCCGGAGTTGATGGTGTCAACATTGATGAACCAAAAGTCGACGAATGAGATGGTAAACTAGAAGTTGTTGATGGCCAACTGTTTGCTGATAGAGTACCAACTGGATGAAACGATGATGAACCGAAGGTTGAGGGAAAACCGAGTGTGGTTGGAGGGTTAGCACCTGTTGATGGGTTAAATACTGAACTTGAAGGAAAACCGGAAGAAGCTGAACTAGAAGGAAAACTAGAACTAGAAGGAAGACTAGAACTGGAAGGAAAACTAGAACTAGAAGGAAGACTAGAACTAGAAGGAAGACTAGAACTAGAAGAGAAACTAGAACTAGAAGGAAAACTGGAACTAGAAGAGAAACTAGAGCTTGAAGAAACAGATGATGGAGGTGTAGGACGTCTTAAGGGGTTAATTGTACTAATTGTTGATGGTTTCCCTGAACCAGTTACTGGTTTTCTGGTATTCGACGGTTTTGCAGTACTTGAAGAATTCGTAGTACTGAAGGGTTTTCCAGTACTGGATGGTTTTCCAGTATTGGATGGTTTTCCAGAACTAGATGGTTTTCCGGTACTTGTTGGTTTGCCAGTACTTGAAGGCTTACCAGTACTGAATGGTTTACTACTTAAGGGTTTAGTTACTGGAGGGTTACTACTTGAAGGTTTGCCAGTAGTGAAAGGTTTTCCCGTACTCGGAGGATGTCTACTTTCAAAAGTGGATGCTTGATTGTTACCAACAGTTGGTCGAACCTCAGGAGAAGCATCTTGTACGGATTGAAAGGTGAAAAGTCCAATGGACTCTGTTGTTGTAGGTACTAAAGGTTTTTTCGATGTCGTTTTATACGGTTTTGTAATAATTGTTTCTGTAATTTTTGAAGTTGTACTCTGTGTACTAAATCCAGAGAGTGGTGGCCTCTTTTCTAAAATTGGCTTAGGTTTAGTGTAATACGGTGGGATTTCGTTGCTTTCGATGGAACTTGATGTGGTGGTTAATAGAGGTTTAGAAATAGATAAAGGACCATCTTCAATTGTATTATCTTGAGGAAAAACGGCGTCAGGCTCTTGCTCGATTTTACAACAACTTCCAAAGTAGAAGCGATCGATACATGTGCCAAGATGTGTTCCATTTGCTTTTGCACAGGTGAATGCGAACATACACACACCCGTCTCTCCAGTTCTCGTTGACACGCAGGGCAAGTGTCTGATATTTCTTCCACTACCTGAAAAAGATATAGATTTATTATTTCTATGAAATAAATTCGATGGGAAGTAAATGTCAAGTAGATTAAAAAAAAATTTTATTATAAATGTTATTCTAAAACGGAAATAATTTTTTGTTCAAGAATGTTTTATCTAATCACGCAACTTCCGTATATATTTCTTTCAAGGATCTTCTTTTCTCAATAGGAATATATCTCATTATTTTAGAAGTGTTTTTATATATATATGTATATATACGTGGAGTGAAACAGTTAACACCAGTGGGTTTATTTCGTCTCATGATCGTTCTTTAATCTTACGTTTCATCTTGATTGCCGGCAACTTCTTGGAATAACATGCAAATTCTCAACAGGAAGATAATAATTGTAATTCGATGTCGGAAGAAGTGGAACAACAATTTTCTTCTTATTTCACTGTATTATAATATCTCTTCAACAGTTTAATGACCATTGCCGCAGCATAAATATATTTGGTGACGCGATGTTCAGTTTAACGGAAATTGTAATTTCGATTTATAAAACTGTAAATAATGTTAGTAACAAAAAGTCAAATTCAATTTTAACACATTTAAAATTACCACAATATCAAAATTTTATTATTTTTAATTTAAAATTTATTTCTTAAACATCTTCTGTACACACGATATTACACTTTTTTTTATGATTGGCAATTTTCCATCCACTTATCATCGTAAAACAATTTTCATTAGGAGCTTTTTTTTATGAATCTGTTTTTCTATCCCGTTGTTTGTTAAGGAATTATGAGGTTGATGTTAATAATTTAGAAATCAAATTATATTGTATGTTAAGTGCTTTGGGGTTTGACAAAGAAAATTGAAAGTCATCTACTTTATCTTCTTGAATAGCGACAAAAGTCAACGACATTGTTTTCTTTTTTTTTTTCGTAGTGCCAGGAGATGAAACTGAATTCCATAATGCGAAATATGGGATCGTATATAATCGTATTTGTATGTATGTATATATAACACCTTGCACGTATTATATACAAACGAGAAGTAATGCCAAACGAAGAGCGAATCGATGTCAGCCAGGGCCCAGCATCGAAGTACCGTTAAGTTTCAATGTATGAGCTAGTTGCTTGGTCAAAAGTGGGTCACAGTTACAGCCTAATGTAGCCGGCTATTAGTAGCTTCTCAGCACTAACTTGTCATAATCTCCAAGTCTCTGCTTAGCCGTTATCCCTTTTTTTTTTAATCCTTCTTTATTTTTTCCATACCAAATCCTTCGTTGCACATTCCAAAGCTCCAACCACCATGAAGTTCCAACATACCTGACCCTAGTTCAAATTCATGATATTCATCAGATGAAAATTATCTGCACATTTTTCTCCGAGTAATCTTGTTTTCAGTTTAGATTAAAAATCAAATTTTAATTCACTCATCAGTTAATAAATATGAATACACAGAAAATTAAAAGGCATTAAAATAAGCTTATTATTTTAATCCATTTTGGTATTAAAATAAGCAAAATTGGATTAAAATAATAAGCTTATTTTAATGCCTTTTAATTTTCTGTGATATTTGGATATTGGTTTGTAGTTGGAATTTTGATGATGATTTTAAAATTATTTAAGAATTCGTAGCATAGTAGTGTTTTCCGGTCATCTGTTTATATTTATTTCTTCTTTTTGTTCTTCTAACGTGACAAAAATCTCACTTTGTGATACAGAATGTATGCTAACGGAAGTCTCTTATATGTATGTGAGTCATCATATGAAAGAAAGTAGTGACAAATGACGCGAATGCCTTGAGGAATTTTTGCCTTAACCAAAAGTCAGCGCACTTTTACCTATGTCGCATTTATATGCATAGAGTTTCATGAGATAATTTAGTGAGATTATAAATCAAAAGTGTAACCTTATTTATTTTACCCAAAAAAAAAAAATTTTTTGGCTATTATTTTATTTTTGAACAATAAATTTAAATTCATTGCCAATTATTAAAAGTATAATTTAAATTTCACTGACACTCCATATATATTAACCCTTTCAGGGTCAGTGGGTCGCGAGACTTTTTTGTTTTCTTCACGTCAGAAATGTGGTATACATTTAAAAAGAAAAGAATTTTTTTTTTTTTAATTTAATTGTAATTAATATTAATATATTAAATTAATTATTAGGTATTAATTATTCAATACCTAATAATTAATTTAATATTTATTATTATCAGATATAAATTACATTAGTATTTTGCATGTTACGCGTTTTCCGTTTCTGAGTAAATATAAGTATAATGGGCCCTTACATAATGATAAATGCATCCCGCATTTACAGTAAACCCCATAGGAGAAGAAAAATTAGAATAATATTTTTTTATGTTTAAACTACCATAATTTAAATTTCAAGGAATTTTAAGGTCAACTCCCATGGTGGTAATAATAATCATCATTGTGTGACTTTCACAAAAACCTAGTTAGCATTATTAACAATAACTATTTCTCGTATTTGTGTCCTTTTCATTTTTCCACGCCTCACTTTTTTTTTTACTTAATTCTCCTATAATCTCAGGTTTTATTCTCTATTTACTTGAACTCATTTTTTTTCTATTCCGATTCCTTACATAATATGTATGAAAAAATTTATTTATGAATATTATTTCTGTTAAATTCGACAACGTTATCATATTTTACACTTTAATTGTCTTTTTCACTTTAAAGAAACAATGAAATCTGTTTATTTTACAGTTACGCGCCCGCAATCGAGAAAAGACTTTCAAACAAACTTCCGTTGTCATTTTATATTGTGTATATATGAAACTATTACTATTACTATAATTTTTAATTTTAAATAATAGATTCCAATTTCATAATACAGAATGATTTTTATGTTCCGAACCCTCTGAATTTTTTTTTTATTCAATTTTTGTTTAAAAAATGAAAAACAATGAGAAAAATTTTTTTTAGGGGATGCGGAACATAAAAATTACTTTGAAAATCATTTTGATAATTAAAATTATAATAGAAAAAAAGAGGGACAAAAAATACGAAAACGGTGACCCACTTTTTTTTTTAGTATATATAGAAAAATGACCAGTCCGCCTACGTTTTATACATACGCAAAAGAACCCAAGGTAGGGTCAATGTCGTCTCGCATTTTACACTGAATATGTCATACGCATGTGTACTCACATTCACTTCCGCACCTCTCACAGATTTACTCGACCTAATGTTTCTGAAAAACAACTGGCATAAATTTTACAGTTCATTAACCCAAGTAATCGAATTTTTTTTTACTTCCTTATTTTCCTTTTATAAACTGTACATTTTTATTTTTCAATAATACAAAATCAACATATATGATTTTGCAAATACGAGAAACTTTTAAAATTATTTGAAATTAGCTGAAACAATTTTTCAATTGATAGGAAATCTATAATAATTTTTCTCGCTATAAATAAGATTTATTATTTAAAGAGAGTTTTCCTCGAAACATAAAAGAAAATAATTTGTATTATATTACCGTTTTTACATACATTTATGATAATCAATTGATATTCAATATGGAAAAATGTTTAAAAATTTAAAAAATTTATTCATTGTATGATTTTTATTGTTTTTTTTTATTTTTAAATTTTATTACTTATTATATAAATTATAATTATGAAATATTATTTTTATTATTTTATTTATATATTTTATTTATTAAATAAATTGCAAAAAAAAATTTTTAATTTTATAATTTTTTATAATTTATTTAAAATAAATTTTACTTATGAAAAACAATCGTATGCCACAACATATTGTCTCAAAATAATCTTCATTAAATATAATAATATTTTCAGTTAATTTTCCAACTTCATTTATAACAAAAATGACAAAAGAGAATATTGTCATTGAAAATTATTTTCTGTAATAAAATTGCAGAATATTTCATCCCTTTTTGAAACATGCAACTTTAAATTATAAAATAACATTGTATTGCTTATAAATATCTTTCTAGTTAGAGATAATTTTACCTACTCTCCGTTTTTGTAAATAAAAAATTAAAGGGAATTATCATTGACTACAAAATGTACTGTTTCAATTTATATTTAATAGAATGCACGACATATCTCACCCCTTTTTGAAACGCGCAAAACATTATCGATATCAAGTGTAGCAGAGAAGGAATTATTTATAACGCTCAGTCATTTAATAGAGAAGAAATTGTAAATTGAAAATATAATTCACTATTATCAATAATATTTCTTTAAACGATGTTCATTTCAAGTTTAAAGTTTATATTTTACGCTTCTGGAATGTGGAGATCTACATCATTGAAAAAAAATTGGAAACATTTTCTCTATAATATTTATATAATATTTAGTTTAATAAATTATTTTCTTTTTACAATTTTAATATTTATTTATCTTTTAAATCAAATTAAAAATGTTGATAAATTTACTGAAAGTCTTTTTTATTTTACAACTGCATTTGCTAATTTTATAAAAATAATTAGTTTTACATTGAAAAATAAAACAATTCTCGAAATGCAAAGTATGTTTTCAAATAAAATTTGTCAATCCCGTGACAATTATGAATCGCAAATATTAGATAATGTTTCAAAAACGTGCAGGTAAAAAGGCAAAAAAAATTATTATTTTGTGTAATATATTTTATTTACAATTTCTTTTTTTTTAAATTAATTAAATTTTTTTTTTAATTCCAAAATTTTTGTTAGAGCCAATACCATCATCTTTCAGGCAGCATTTTATTCAGCTGGAATGATGTTATTTTTAACATCATTTGATAAAAATGGAAATATTTCATTGATACTTAATACATGGACACCTAACGATATTAATAATTCGAAATTAATTTTTTTTATTTTTTATTTTTATCAAACATTTGGATTATTTATGACGTTAATGATATTATTATCAAGTGAATGTTTTGCTATGATTATTGTACTACAAATTGGTGGGCAATTAGATATTTTTGTACATCGTTTAAATTTATTGTCTGCTGAAAAAAATGAAAATTCCTCTCAATGTTTAAATTATCGTTTGGAATCGAAAATAATTGGAAATTGTGTTAAGCATCATAATTATATATTTGCGTAAGTAGATATATAATTATAAAAATTATATACATACACTTTTATATAAGTTGTATAATTATTTTTCTTTTTTAAAATAAATTTTTTTTTCTTGTTTAAAAAAAGAAAATGTAATTAAATAAATAAATTAACTAAATTTAATTGAAATAATTAAATTAATTAAAATAAAATTAATTCAATTATTAAAATTAATAAATAAAATTTAATAAAAATAATAATTGATTACAGAATAGGAGATAAACTAAACGATTTGTTTGGTCTTATAATATTTGTTCAATTTTTCGCTTCCATGGTCGGATTATGTGGTGTAATTTTTCAATTATCAAGAATAAGCAATGGTTCTTGGTTGTTTTTGGTATTTTTAGGTTCCCTTACATTACAAACTTTTATATACAACTTATATGGAGAGACATTGATTAAAAAGGTTAACAATTAAAACAACAATTTTTTTTAAATTAATTAATTTATATCTTAAATTAAATTTATGATGAATATAATTTATATAAATGGCATTTCCATGTAAAATTTTAAACTAAAAAATTTTCTTTTTTAATTAAAATTATTATTTTTCCTTCTTCTTTATAGTAAAAAATTAATAAACAAATATTAATTAACTATATCATCAAATGCAATTAAAATTACAAAAAAAATTTATTATTTTTATTATTTATTTATTATTTTGCAATTGAAAAAAAATATTAAATTTAATTTTTGAATGAAAATTTCTGAAAATTTTATTTATTTATGTGTATACAATTTTAAATAATAATTTATTATAGAGCTTGGCTATTTCGAATGAAATTTGGAAAATTAATTGGTTCAATTTAAGAAATACGACAAAAAAAGATTTAAACATGATAGCGATACGTGCTTCTCGACCAATTGAAATTACTGGTTCATCTATAATTGTCATGTCTTTTAGCACGTTTGTTAAAGTTGGTATTTATGTTGAAAAATTAAAATAAAAATTATTTACTTAAAAATAAAATCAAATTTAATTTTTCTTTCAGGTCATTAAATCGGCATATTCTATTTTTAATTTACTTAACAGTTTTTCGTAATTTAGAAAAAAAAAAAATTAGAAGTTAAAATACTAGTCTCTTTTAGAAACTAGCAAATAAAATTATCAATGAGATTATTCTTTTAAACACGAGTTAAAAGAATCACAATATTTGCCAAAAAAGAAAAGAAAATTTTAAGTGCAGGTTACAAATAAACAAAAATTATTGTTAAGTTTAATAAATTCTTTTTTGCAAATAAACAAATTTTTTAAGCTAAAAGTACTTTTATAAATTTTTTTCAAACTTACAATAAATATAAAAGAAGTTTAGAGAGAAGTAATTAGCTAACAATTAATAATTAATTTTACTAATAACAATTAGTAATTATTAATTACCAATTAATAATTAACAACTAATAAATATAATTAATTAACAATTAATAAATAATTAGTAACTAATAATAATTGTTACTAATTATTAGTTACAATTATTAATTACCAATTAATAATTAACAACTAATAAATATAAGTACTTAACAATTAATAAATAATTAGTAACTAATAATAATTGTTACTAATTATTAGTTACAATTATTAATTACCAATTATTAATTACCAATTAATAATTAACAACTAATAAATATAATTAATTAACAATTAATAAATAATTAGTAACTAATAATAATTGTTACTAATTATTAGTTACAATTAGTAATTTCCAATTAATAAATAATTAGTAACTAATAATAATTGTTACTAATTATTAGTTACAATTATTAATTACCAATTAATAAATAATTAGTAACTAATAATAATTGTTACTGATTATTAGTTACAATTATTAATTACCAATTAATAATTAACAACTAATAAATATAATTAATTAACAATTAATAAATAATTAGTAACTAATAATAATTATTACTAATTATTAGTTACAATTATTTATTAATTAATAATTGTTTCTTGTTCTAATAACTAAAATTAAAAACAATTTCAATAAAGTTTACTGTAATTTCCTAGTTTTTTAGTTTTTGACTTTGCGAACAAAAAATATAGTGGGCAAAATATTTTTTTTTCTTTCGAAAATCCAAAATTAAAAAAACAACGGATTTAGAAAAAAATTTCATTGAAATCTTCATTTTGAAATTTAATTTTTTGCTGGGTCCTATGATAAATATTATTATTTTTCCATATACCAAATTCCTATATATATTTGAATCCGTTATTCAAGCAAAACGAGGTTTCAAGAAAATCTTTAGTTTATGTTTTCAAAGAGCGCGTAACGCCTATCGGAAGACGAAGATCACCTGGTCTGTTGCCTCTTTAAGAGGCACAGGTAATCATGCATAAATTGCCAAGGGGCAAAAAAGAAAAATCTAAAAATGAATCTTAATGCATATATATATACAAGTCGCAGTACTTGATGCTTTCGTAAAATTTACTATAACTATATATAATATACATGTCTCAAATGTCATGACTTTTTGAATAATGATCCCTCATTTAACATTCGTATATATAATATATTCTCCTCCATTAGCAAGTAATTAAAATTTTACATTTTTTTTTATGAAAAACAAAAAAGAATTTTAATTAAATTTTTTTCTTCAAAAAGGAAAAAATTAATTTACACATTAAAATTTTTTTAATTTTACAATTTTTTTTATTCATTTATAGTTTTCTACTTTATAAAATTAGAAATTCGATTTCGAAAATTTGAAATATAATTTTTATAGGGAATTTTCATGTTCGTAAGTTATATAATTTTTTAGAAAATCGATATAATATATTCTTAAAAACTTGTTTATTTTTTTATTTATAGTGAAAATAAGAAAAAACTTTCACTGAAAGAAAGAAATATATATCATTCAAGTACCTATTTATTCTCGAAAAGGGGGGGGGGGGGAATTTAAAGGAATTATTAAAAAAGAAAAGATTCGCTTTATATTTGAAGATAGTATTTTTTTTTTTTTTTTTTTTTTTTTTTTTTTTTTTTTTTTTTTTTTTTTTTTTTTTTTTTTGTATACGCTCGTTAAATTTGAATGCGTGAAGCAGAACAATAATCTTATTTATGTAAAGTGTGTGTAATTGTAACTTGCCTCCAGACAGGAATTGTGGAATGTACAAAGGATTGGCTGTTACTGTTGTGAGCATCAAAACATTGCAGATGTGGATGGTTGCCCAAACGTGCCTTGGTCGGTCTTTCATCTACAACAAAATATAGAGAGAAAAATGAAAACGATATTAAAAAAAAAAAAACAGAAATTACTCTAAAAAAATTATTATTATTATTATTATTTTTATATTCGGATTCATTGAATATTTTTTTTTTTTTTTTTTATGAAAAATTTTTTAAACTGGTAAAAAATTGAGAATAATTTTGTAAATTGTGCAAATTCCCACGACCGGACCCGCGACAATGTGAGGTGACTTTATAGTAAGCAACGTATATGTACTATTCTGAGAAATTTCCCACGGGATGGACGAATAACCGTTTTTAGAATATAGCGGATTTGTCATAATTATGTTATTTTTTTTTGGTTTAAAAAATCTTTGTTTTTTAAAATTTTTGCGAATCTTTCTTTTTTTTATTACTTTTATCAATTTTTTTTTTCTAATCAGAAATTATGTTTAAAGTTCCTTCAAAGGAATTTTGATTTAATATCATTTTTTTTTTCAAAAATATATTTTGGAAAATTTAAAAAATAATTTAAATTAATTTTTCTACATTCAGAGAAATTTTTTATTTACCTCAAATAAATAGATATTTGTCACACAGAGTCTAAGAACTTTTTATTTGTTTTAAAAAAGAATTTATTTGGCACAAAAAAATTTATTTAGCACAAATAAAATTTATTTGCCTCAAATAAAAATATATTTGTCTCTCAGCGCCTAGTAACTTTTTATTTGTTTCAAAAATAAAAAATTTATTTAGTACAAATAAAATTTTACTTAGGGCAAATATATTTAGATCAAATAAAGTTTATTTAAACAAAATAAAATTTATTAATATCAAATAAAATTTATTAATATCAAATAAAATTTATTTGAAACAAATAAAAATTTATTTGCCTCTGATAAAAAATATATCTTTTCTCTGGATGTATTTTTTTGTTTGTGTTAAAAACTTTTTTTTTAGTTTGAGGTTATGTTACGATTATTATTTTCAACTATAAAATAAAAGAAAAACTCCTTCTTCTCGTATAGAAATTGCGAGACATTGGCTGTTTCATGACCTTGAAAAAAGCAGCCAATAAAAAAACGCCGGACCCCCATGTAGGCGTTACTATTTTATTCGAATCTTGTTATTGCATCCTATTCATTAATAATTCCAACGGTCACAAAAAAAATAATTATTTTTTTTCTAAAAGGAAATATTTAAAAGTTAAAAAAAAACGAAAGTAGAAATAGTATTTTTATTTTTTCATTTTCTTTTTCAGAAAAATATATTTGAATTCCTAGACGCTCTTGTGTGTTTATTCAATGTCAAATCCCGTGACGGTAACAACAACTTTCTGCGCAAGCGAAACAAAAAGTATTATTATAATAATAATAATAAGAATAATAATGTTAGTATCCTTACTTTTGACTTGCTTGAAGCGTGACCAATACTATGATGATTCTTGTATATACAAAACGCGAATCAGTATATATAAACGAAGAAAAAGAAAAAGAAGAAGAGGTCATTGAACGGATCCGGGAAGAAGATCATTTAACGAGATTGGTTATCCTATACAACTTGGTACATCGAAACGAACTACCTGGCGAAACTGTTGTGAATGGCTATTCGGTTGAATCGGATTGCATGCGCGAGAAAGGGAAAAGAAACGGCATTTATTTTTTATATATACACACGAACTTTAACTCGTCCTATAATTATATATAGTCATTTGTTTAATTTGCGAACCAGAATTGTCTTATCGGAGAAAATCTTATTTTCAATATTTTTGTGTTATCTCCTTTTATTTTTCAATGAGAAAATATTTGAATTTTTTTATCAAAATAAAAAAAATTTTATTTTATGAAAATTAGTGAAAAAAATGCTTTTACTTTTATCTGCATTGATTTCAAGATGTTGTTGGACCTTGAAAAATTCAACATTCCTTGTCGATTGTTCTTTATTAGCCCTTTACTGCATATTATGATTGTCATTAAAAACCTTTTTTTTATCTTCTTTAATTAAAATTTCGTTTGTGGACACTTGCAGTTTTTTTAAAAAATAATTTTAAATAATTTTTTTTCATTACTATTTTTTATCTTCTTTAATTAAAATTTCGTTTGTGGACACTTTTGCAGTTTTTTTTTTAAATAATTTTAAATAATTTTTTTTCATTACTATTATAATAAAACAAAAATGTTTATTATTAAGAAAATAGAAGATATTAAGAATTATTTGATTTGACAAAGTATTTAATTATTTAGAATCTACGTTGGCTGAAGTCGTTAAGGCGTGTTAAAAAACGTGGGTTAGTCGCTATGCGTTCGAATCCCCTCAGCTTTGATAAAAATAAAAATTATTTAATTAATATAACTAATAATTAATATAATAATTATTAATTAATTGACTCATTTTCTAATACAATAAAAAATAATTATAAAAAAATAATAGCAAAAAAATATTAATAAAAAATAATAAATAAATTTTAAAAATAATTTTAAATAATTTTTTTTCATTACCATTATAATAAAACAAAAATGTTTATTTTTGAGAAAATAGAAGATATTAAGAATTATTTGATTTGACAAAGTATTTAATTATTTAGAATCTACATTGGCTGAAGTCGTTAAGGCGTGTTAAAAAACGTGGGTTAGTCGCTATGCGTTCGAATCCCCTCAGCTTTGATAAAAATAAAAATTAATAATTATTTAATTAATATAACTAATAATTAATATAATAATTATTAATTAATTGACTCATTTTCTAATACAATAAAAAATAATTATAAAAAAATAATAGCAAAAAAAATATTAATAAAAAATAATAAATAAATATTAACAAAAAAATAATAAATAAATAATAACAAAAAAATAATAATAAATAGTAATAAATAATAGTAATAATAAAATTAATAAAATAATAAATAATAAAAAAAAAGTGAAATTAAAGTAATTTAAAAGTGTTATTTTAATAAAGTTTTTACTGATAATTTACTTATAAATTCTGCGTAACGGTTACAGATTTTCAACTAAATTTAACAGATGATTCTCTTTTTTGCGTTTATATAGAAAAAGTTTCTTCCTCATAGAAAAAAATTTAAGAAACAAAGATTTATTTAGAAACAAAAACAACTAAAACTGTAAAAGTGACTTAACTATATATTACTTTGTAATGGTTTTGATAAAAAAAATGAAAATTTCGACACATTATACCGATATTTTAGGAAACAAAAAAAAAAAAAAAAAAAAAAAAAACAACACATGTCCTTGTTTCAATACGGAAATAATTTTTACTGTAATCATAAATACATTAAAGTATTTTCGAATAGCTTTTTATTTATTTCTTTTTATGGAAGTTTTTTTTTAAATATTTTTTTATCGCAAGAAAATTTGATCAATATTTAATTCCATTATGGAATATTATTTTTAAAAAAAAATTTTCACTTCCTGGTAAAAAAATTTACTTATATAATTGATGGACCTTTTCTTTATTTTTCTATACTTTTAATTTAAATTTATTTTCAGTAGTAAAATTTGATTGTATAATTTATGTTCTAATTAAATAACAAATCGTTAAACATAAAAATTCATTCATGTTAATCATAATAGATTAGTTAATGTTATGTTTATGATTTTTGATTGAAATGACGATAAGATTTTCTTTTTTTTTTGAGTTTCCTCAACAAAAAAAAAAAAAAGAAAAGAAGTTTTTTTTTTAATGAAGTGGTTCAGAGGACTAATTGGTTATGGATGAGTTAATCTTTAAAAATCAGTCAAGGTTCCGTTTTTGGCCTGAATAATTCTTTATATAAGAACCGTTAAAATTTATATTTGAGCCTTCGAATTTCAGAAACAAGAGAATTTCCCCTCTTCTTCTTCTTCTTGTTCTTCTCGCAAGTCTTCATCGAATCCTTCTCGCAAGAGTTGAGGAATGAATGTAACGTTAGCGCCAGAAGAGAACGGAGGCATTTTTTTTTTTTTTTTTTTTTTAAACTTTGAATGGGGCGTTACTCGTCATGATGTCGACGATCATGACTAACAGTAGGATGATAAATATTTGACTATTCACTGATTACAGTTACTTTTCAATCGACGTAACATTTTTTTGTTTTACGGTTTTCACAATTTTTTTTCCTTTCAAAAAAAGAAATCCAATTTGCCAAAAAAAAAGAAATTTTTTTTTTTTTTTTGGGTAACGGTAACGTTATTTTTTTCTACTTTACAATAATTTAAATTTTATCTATATAAATTATTTTTTTTTAAAATTTTTTAGTATTTAAATTTTTTATTAATTATTTTAATTTCTTAGCAATAATTATTTTGGTAAATAAATTGTACCTATTTCAATGGGTGGCAAAAAAAAAAAAAAAATGTTGAATTTAAATAGCCTTTAGAAGAATCAAAATTTTTTTTTTTCAAATTCAATTGTTTTTTTTCCATTTTGTGAAAAATGAATTGTTCTATTGTCATTATATTTTTTTTGTCCTAATTCAGTCCGTTAGTTTTAAAGATGAGAGTGACACAAACACTTGGTGAAAATAAGGATACTAGTATTACTTTCTCTTTAGTCAAGTGCAGTTCGCAATAATTAATGTCGAGCTTTTCACATAATACTCGCGGATGATAATAATAGACTAGATCATCCTTTTGTATTTAAAACTTTTTCACACCTTTTTAAATTGTATAATTGATTTTAGCTTCTTTATATTTATTATTATTTTTATTATTATTATTACTATTATATTTTATAATTATTATTATTATTATTATTATTATTATTATTATTATTACTATTATATTTTATAATTTTTATTATTATAATTTTTATTTTTATTATTTTTTTATTATAATTTTTTTTTTTCATTATTTGTATACCATATTCGATTCTATCGCTTAATTGGCAATAGTTTTAAAAGTAGTAGACTTTGCCAAGTATCAATAACTTTTTCATTACAATTCAATACTTCAAAAAGTTCTGTAACTGCGCTTGTTATAACCATATACCTCTTATAAATCTCAGTTACCAGTATTCAAGAAAACTTGCAAAGTTTTCTAATTTTCTTTTTAAAACTCACTGTTTACTTTCCATGCACATAAAATCGCATTTGTCATACTTTGTTTAACGTCTCCACAAAAAACACATATTTTTTTTTTTTTTCGAAAATATATGTATCTTTTTTCGATATAAAATCATATTAGAGAGAAAAAAATTTTTTTTTGAATAAAAATACTCTACTATTATTATTTTAATAAAAAAACTAATAGTAAAAATAATAAAAAAAAACTAATAGTAAAAATAGTAAAAAAAAATTAACAGTAAAAATAATAATAAAACTAATAGTAAAAATAATAATAAAATAATATTCAGTGGTAGAAAAATAATAAAAAGTTTTCAATTATAATTATTATTATTAATAATAATAATAATAATTAATTATTATTTGTATATGAACGTCGAATATATTATTAAATGAAGGATAATTAAAATTTAAACTTGACCTTTCCTAATAGAAATTTTAAATTACATATTATACAAATAAAACTTTAAAAATGTTATTTGATAAAATGCCACGTGCACTGGAGATAGAAAAAAAAGGAAGAAAAAAAAACACGATCGTTGAATATAGCGGTACGCGCCACTTTCATTGAAAAACAAGCCTTTACTAATGGGGAAATTACGTTTCTAAACATGTGGGTAACTTCAATTAAAAAGTCTAATCAAAAATTAAAATTGAGTGCATTTAATGACAATTTTATGTAGTTCTTATATTTTAAATATATATATATATATATATATATATATATATATATATATATATTATTATCTTTATTGCTAGCAAAGATTTTTTTAGAATTGAATAAATTATATTTATATATGAAAAATAAAAGGGGAAAATAATTATTTCTTGAGAAATTTTATAAACAGGGAGTCGATTATGTAATTTGATTTGACTTTGACGTCAAAGTCAAATTTATTTTTTGATTGTAATACGTCAAATTGCTAACAAAAAATAAATTTGAATTCGACGTTAAATTGAAATAAAAAATTAAATTTTAATTTAACGTCTAAGTTAAATAAAACAATGAATTTTAATTTAACATCTAAGTTAAATAAAATAATGAATTTTTTGAATTAAATTTGACATTGACGTTAAAATGAATTTGATTTTGACGCCAAATTAAATTACATAATCGACACCCAGGTTTTATTATCTAACGTTTAATTTGAAATAAAAATTTTCCAAGTTTCACAATTTTTTTTTTTTTATTATTTTTCTCAAAAAAGAAAAATTAAATTTTCATATTTTTTTTTTTTTTTTTTAATATTTAGTATAAAATATTGAATTGACAATAAGTTTATATACAAACTCGAGGTTCCTATATATGCAACATAAGCAAGTACCGCTATTGTGGACGACATACGGGTTTCTGCGTTGATCTGGGTACGACGCTCTTGTAAAAATTATCTACCTCGCACGTGACATGGTACAACATGGGCGTAAGAATTAAATTTTTATGTTTAAAGGTCTATTTTTTTTTAAATTTTACATATATAAAGAAAGAAAAATAGAATTAGAAATAAATTTTCTTTTTTTCTCTGCAATAATTGAATTTTATTTAAAATATTTATTTTGTTTAAAAAAGAAAAAGGTAAACAATTAAATTGAAAATTTAATTAATTAAAATAATTCAAATAATTAACTGCCTAAGTGAAATTTTTGAATTTTGTAAATAATTAATTGTTTTAGTGACACATATATAGTTTTTCTCTTTAACAAAAGAGGCAAGCATTTTTGTAATTTATTTTACGAAACTCTTTTCTAACTAATCTAAATGAAAAATAAAGGGAATATACATTATTTTAAATTGCAAGTGTGTTACTGAAATTTTTGTTTCTAGTAATTCACCACAAATTGCAGCAATTCCATGTGAAATTATTGCATAAAATATTCACACGTTTGTAGAAAAAAAAAGAACGAAAGAGAGGAGAGATAGAGAAAAAAAAAGATAAAAAGCCCGCAAAGGAAATTAATAAAACAATTAAAATCATAAAATTAAAATATTTAAAAAAAAAAAAAATTAAATTTGCCCCTTATTAATATATCTCTTTTTTTTACTTCTTTTCGGTAAAAATTTAATATTATTTTCCAGGACCTTTCGCAATATTTTCCCATATTTCAAATCTCTAACAACAATTGTAAAAAAAATGTATATATATATATAAAAGTTTCTCGCACCCTATATGTAAAAGTTGTACGATTTAAGTTGATGTTACAGATACAGGTTTTCTGTGTTGACCTTGAGACTGAATATCATCGCATGCAGCCTTACCTTGACAGATACTGGCAAGAGCCGGCGACTAGGACGAATAACGATTTACAATCAGATTCCGCCGCATATCATCCCCTCGTTCTCTGATGAGAGTTGAATTTTTCCTTCTTCAACACTTTTTTTCTTTTCTTATTTTACACTGACGTTACTTTTTTTTTCCTTCACTTCCGAGAGAAAAAAAACAGTGCCAATTTCCACAAAAAAAAAAATAAGGAAATAATCAACACTTGTTTCTAATCATTCCAAAATTTTATTCTAAATTGTTCCTATTTGTTCCGAACTTGTCAAATTGGAAAATTTAATTTTTGCACACTGTTGACACTTCAAAAATTTGCGAAACTGTTCGAAACTTGATTGAAATTGTACGAAACTGTTTGAAACTTATACAAAACGGCTTGAAACTTGTTCGAAATAGCACGAAACTGTTAGAAATTTGTTCGAAATTGTGCGAAACTGTTCGAAATAGTACAGAACTGTTGGAAACTTGTACAGAACGGCTCGAAACTTGTTCGAAAGAATGCGAAACTGTTTGAAACTTGTACAAAATTTTCAAAATAGTACGAAACTGTTGGAAATTTGTACAAAACGGCTCGAAACTTCTTCGAAATAGTACGAAAGTGTTGGAAACTTGTACAAAACGGATCGAAACTTATTCGAAATAGTACGAAACTGTTTGAAATAGTGCAAAACTGTTGGAAACCTTTACAAAACTGTTCGAAATAGTACAGAACTGTTGGAAACTTGTACAAAACGGCTCGAAACTTGTTCGAAACAGTGCGAAACTGTTTGAAACTTGTACAAAACTGTTCGAAATAGTACAGAACTGTTGAAAACTTGTACAAAACGTCTCGAAACTTGTTCGAAACAGTTGGAAACTTGTCAAAAACTGTTCTAAATAGTATAGAACTGTTGGAAACTTGTACAAAACGGCTCGAAACAGTGCAAAACTGTTTGAAACTTGTACAAAACTGTTCGAAATAGTACGAAACTGTTCGAAATTTGTACAAAACGGCTTGAAACTTGTTCGTAATTGTACGAAACTGTTGGAAACTTGTCCGAAATATTACGAAACTTGTCTGAAATAGTACAAAACTATTGGAAACTTGTTCAGAACGGCTCGAAACTTGTTCAAAATTGTACGAAATTTATTTGAAAGCAATGCAAAACTTGTTTGGATAATTTGAAAAGAAAATTGATTCAAGAACAAACAAAAAAACTAAAACAGTTTATCCGAAAACGGTTTGGAACTTGTTTTAATTTATCGAAACTTGTTTGAAATGGTTTTTGTGTAGGGGATAAAAAAAAAAAGAAAGGACTGTCACAATTGGGACCCGCGGGTTTGAATCGGACTGCTCGGTACGTTTCGAGGACGATGGTTGATGATCGGCAGGTAACTGAAGGCGAAGGTACCGTCGATTCTGCAGTGTGCCTCTGTTCTCTCTTTCTCTCTCTCTCTCTCTCACTCTCTTTTCTCTCTCTCTTTCTCTTGGTTCCTAGTCGACTACGACGACGAGGAGAGCACAAATTGTACTACTATCGATGATCGCATCGCGTACCACATCCTCGAGGAGGAAAACTTATATTCACCCGTCTAGACTCTAGACTATCGAGCCGTTAAGACAGCATTCCAATATGGTAGGTAGGTCTTCCTAAAATATAGAGGACTTTAGCAGCTGCTCCTCAAGAGGCTACCGCGAGGTGGTGGCAATGACCGTTCTTTCTCTCTCTCTCTCTTTTTCTCTTGGTTTCCCCTCTACCTTGGTGTACCTGGCGTTTGTCGCCATCAGGTTTATATGCCTTCAGAGTGGTTCCAACATCAGTTGTTTCTTCCCTACTACTACTACTCCTATGGTCTCTCTTGTTTGCAACTTCTCTCCTCTTTTCTTTTTGCTGTCGTCTTTTCCTTTCTTTTCTTTCATTATCTTCTTGTGATTTTCTTTTCTTTCTTTTTTCTTTTCTTATTATACTTTTTCTCCTCCTCTTTCTCTTTTTTGATCTTCTCTCTCTCTCTCTCCCCTTGACGTTTTGTCTCATCATTTCCATTAATTTTTCCTTCTTCTTCAAGTTGGATTTTATTGGTTCTTTTTTTTTGAACATTGCCACTTGATTCTTTTTCTCTCATCTCAAAAGATTCACTTCTCGTGTATACTATTCTTACCTTGGTTTCACCTCGACCTAAAATGGATCGATCGTGACTAAATTCGCAATATATGTAGATACAACCCCTCTAAGGCGCTTTTAAAGATGGATATTTTTAAATATATACATTTTTTAAAAAAATGCTATATGAAACTAAAATTTTGTCATAATAGAAAAAAATTCCGTTTTTTTACATCTGAAAATATTTTCATTGACTATAACCGATACTTTAAAATATTATAATTTATTTTTTTATTGTCAAAACTATTATTCATCTTTGTTTTTCTAAATATTTCATTGGGATTTTTATTTTTAGCCATATAATTCATTTCTATATTTAGAATGGAAAAATAAGAAAAAGATAAATTTAGTTTTTCTAATAGTGTAATATATACTGTATAAATATTTCCACCTTTTTAATTATGAAATTTTGGGGGATAATCTTAAATATTAAAAGAAAATTGATTACACTATCTTGACCTCGTGTACATATTACAACTTTATATATATATATTTTTTTTTTTAACAGGGATTTAGTATTATAGGCCATATATGATGGGCAATAAATAATTTATGAACACAGCAGGATACTCTCTTATTAATATAATTTCTCTCATACTCTCTCTCCCTCTCTCTCTCTCTCTCTTTCTTTTTTTCTCTCCTTCCGGTTCCAAACCCTTTTCTCCTTTCTTGCAACCTAAAGTTTTCTCACAAATCCGCCAACACTCCCAACTACACCCACTCAGAAAAGCTTTTCCCTTCTTAGTCTCAATTCGTCTAATGCAAGGTACTTTAGCTTCTATATACCATGTTCCATATATATAAACTGTCTCATTAAATATATATAAAAAAAAAAATGTATAAAATTTGTATTTACAAAATTGCTGATATAAAAAATTTTGTAATTGAAAAAAATTTCAGAAAAAATAGTATTAAATATTAAATTATTAAATATTAAATATTAAATTATTATTATCATAATATTATTAATTAAATTATTAAATATAATTAAATATTTTTTTTAGGGGAAATTAAAGAATTATTTAAATTATAAATTACTTTTATTAATTAATTAATTAATTAATTTTTGAATTGTATTTAAAAAAAAACTTCATTTTCTATTTAATAATTACTTTTTAGATTTTATTTATAATTTAGAAAATAACTGTTTTTGAATTAAAATTGTCTAAGGAACATTTTTTATAGATTATAAAAGAAACGTTATTATTATTTTGAATATTATTTGAAATTTATGAAAGTTATAAATATTGAAAATAACGCCTTATAGTATTTTACATTATTAAAAAAAAAAAATTTATGATTGGTACATTGTGCATCTGAATATTGATCATAAAAATTATATACTATATGTAAACATATACGCGATATAATTTATCTTATATAGTCTTCAGTTTATAATCCATTTTTTTTCTCTCTCTCTCTCAAAGTTATAAACAAAAAGCAGAAGTAATTAAAAAAAACTAATTTTTTTGAATAGTAATAAACAAATTGTTTAAAACAAATAAAAATCTGAACAAAAAATATTTTGTAAATTAATAATTTATATATGGTTGTAAATAAGAGAAGAAATAGTTTTTTTTAGAAAAAAAAACAACGTGTAATATAAATATACGTACATCATATTTTTTTTATACTGGTCATAAAATCTTTTAAGTAATATTTTATAATTATTAAAAAATAAAAACTCTTTTAGAAGATATTGTTTACATGAAAAATATGAAATTCAAAACTCTTGAAATGGACGAAATCAAAAGGGGAATAAAATACATTTTAAAACAATGTGCAACAAGTGTCTACGTTATATACAATGTTTTTTTCTCCGTAAAATTTATATATTATAAACGATTTTAGATGATAAATTTTAATGTTAACAAATTTACATAATAAAATATTAAGGTTAAAAAAATTATTAAACTCACGTTCAAGTTGATTATTCGATCAAACTAACTTTTATTCTTTTAATTTATTAACCCCTCAATTGCAATGACGAAGATTTGACGCACAAAATTGTCGTCATCAGCAGTTAAGGGGTTAATTATTTATTTATCTATTATTTATTTATTATTTGTTTATTTTTTATTATTTATTAATTATTTATTTATTATTATTTATAACTTGTTCAAGATTATTTTTATTTACTTCACCGAGTTTATTAATTTATTAACTTTAGATCGACATTTTTTTAAAATTAATTTGGAATTTGTTTAAAAACATTTTGAATCCTCAAACTTATTCGAACAAGTTTCAAACTTGTTCAGAACAATTTAAAATTCCTTTAAAAACAAATTTAAAATATGAAACATTTGTTCGATTCATTATTCAAACTTGTTCGAAAAAGTTACAAACATGTTCAGGACAATTTAAAACTTATTTGAACAAGTTCCAAACAAATTCATTATATTTTGAAACTTGTTCGAACAAGTTTTCAAACATGTTCAGAATATTTTGAAACTTATTCGAACAAGTTCTAAACATGTTCAAGTATGAAATTTATTCGAACAAGTTCCCAACAGGTTCGATTCATTATGAAACTTGTTCGAACATGTTCAAGACAATTTGAAACTTATTCAAACAAGTTCCCAACAGGTTCGATTCATTATGAAACTTGTTCGAACAATTTTCCAACAGGTTTGATTCAGTATGAAACTTGTTCGATTCAGTATAAAACTTGTTCGAACAAGTTCCCAATATGTTAGATTCAGTATAAAACTTGTCGGAACAAGTTCCCAACAGGTTCGATTTATCATGAAACTTGTTCAAACAAGTTTCAAATATGTTTAGGATATTTTGAAACTTATTCGAACAAGTTCCAAACATGTTCAAAAATGAAATTTATTCGAACATGTTCCAAACAGGTTCGATTCATTATGAAACTTGTTCGAACATGTTCAGGACAATTTGAAACTTATTCAAACAAGTTTCCAACAGGTTCGATTCATTATAAAACTTGATGGAACAAGTTCCTAATAGGTTTGATTCAGTATGAAACTTGTTTGAACAAGTTTCCAACATGTTCGATTCAGTATAAAACTTGTTCGTACAAGTTCCCAACAGATTCGATTCATCATGAAACTTGTTCGAGTCATTATGAAACTTGTGCGAACAAGTTTCGAACATTTTCAGGACAATTTAAAACTTATTCAAACAAGTTCCCAACAGGTTCGATACATTATGAAACTTGATGGAACAAGTTCCCAACAGGTTTGATTCAGTATGAAACTTGTTTGAACAAGTTTCGAACATGTTTAGGACAATTTGAAACTTATTTGAACAAGTTCCAAACATGTTCATTAGTTTATAAAAATTATTATAACATGAAAAATTAGATGTTAAATATTTACGGAAAATATTAATAAAAAAAAATTATTTTCTTTTAATTAAACTATGTATTCATAAAAAAAAATTTTTTTCGTGATGTCTTATGATTCACTAATATAAATAAAAATATATAAAAGGGATATATGTTTCTATTGGAATAAACTCGTTATATAAAAGTGACTACAAAAAATAAACGAGGGGTAAAGTCTCGATTTTATATAAATAATTCCAAGTAGCTTTAGGCGCATTAAGATAAATAGAAAAAAATTTTTTTAGCATAAAAAATTTGCATTAAATGTAAAAATAAAAAAAGAATAAAAAAAATTTTTCAAATTTTATTTTTCTATTCTATATAAATATATATTTATATAATAGGTAATGACGAAATTATTTATATACATATTTTAAATATATCAAAAGGGTGGAGAGGGATAAATATTATAACCCTTCTGATAATTTTATCTTTTAAAAAACTTTACCAATATCATAAATTTTTGATAAAATTTAAAAAAAATCGAAACTTTTTTTATGCTTAAAGTTGGTATCTAATTATACAGTTTCTGAGAGCGTCACGACATTTTTTTTTTTTTTTTTTTTTTTTTGAACTTTTAGGTGCCAATATTTATTGTAGCGGTGATGTAATAATTTATGGCAGTTTTTTTTAACAATAATAATATTAGTAAAAAATAATATATATTTAAATTATTATTATTGAAGTAAATTTAGCTAATTAGTATTTTATTTTTACTCTTACTAATATCCAATTAAATTTTGAATTAATTAATTTATTATATTAATAAATTAATTTTTTTATTTATTATTAATAAATAAATTAATTAATTAAATTTTAAAAAATAATTCCATTAAATGAAAATTTGCTGAACTGAAAAATTTAAAAAATTTCCGTTTAAAATTTGTTTAAAAATTTTTTTTCGGTTTTGTTTTTTTAAATTGGGTTTTATATTAATAAATTAATAAAATAGTGTAATTAATTTAGTATAAATACAAATAAACGCAAGGCATTTTAATAAATTTATATATAAATAAACCACTTGAGAATTTTTTTTTTTAATTTTTTTTTTATATTTTTTTTCTGTATTTGCCTCCTTTTATAGATACTCATCATCTGAAAACTTAAGCTTTCTGTGAAAATTTTATTGAAGACGATTTACTCCTACTTTTTTTTTTTTTTTTTTTTTCCTTTTTCTTTGGTCGCAGGAAAATTGTGGGGGGGGGGATTTACCTTTTTGCAGAGACGAAAATTGTACCGTGAATCGAGGATTGGCTGCGCAAAGTTAGCGCGCCTAAGGGGTGTGCGTTGGAGGGTGCTAGTTTCTGGGTTGGATATATATGGATGGTACGCGAAGCAATCCGTCTCATCGTTATATCCGCAACCAAACGAGTCTGGTTCTAGAACTTTTTTTTCAAACTAATTGTTATACTTGAATCCGTTTCTTCGGTTCTTGATTATTTTAGAAAAAAATTCAGTTTTTCAAAAAATTAAATCAAAGGATTCTCAATTCAAACGACGCAATTCTTTTGTAAGTGCTTCAAAAAAAAAAAAAAATTATTTTTTTTTTTTGGTTTTTTATATTTTTTTTCAAAACGGTAGGTAAAGTGATTCAAGTTTTTTTTTTGAAATTAAACTATTTAAGAGAAAATATATTTTTTGTGAAATAAAAATATATTTTTTATACCATTTTTTAATTTTATAATAAAAAATTTTTTAAATAATAAAAAAAAGTAATGTTTGAAAAAATTATTAAGAAAAATTAAAAATAAATTAATAAATAAAATTGGTAACTAAAAACCGTAACTATAAGAAACTGTAACTAAAAAAATACATAACTAAAGAAAATCATAACTAAAAAATATATTAATAAGAAAATAAATTTTCTTAATATTCTTAATTATAAACATATTAAATAAATAATTTTTCAAATAAACGAAATGAAATTTAAGAAAATTTTAATTTAAAAAAATTAGTTATGAAAAAATTTTCTCTTGGGAAATTTAAAATTCGTGTAAAATATATAATTAATTATTATGTTTCATTGTAACGATAGAAGCGATACAATTGGAAGTATTATCTTCTTTTAGAAATACATTATACTTGTTGCATTTTAAAAATAAAATCATCAATATTACATATCCAAATGTATCGATTTTTCCAAAAAATTATTTATTAATTGTTCATTAATATAAATAAATTATTAATTTTTAAAATTTTAATTCCTTTTTATTAATTACGTTATTTTGTCATTTTTAATCATTTATTTAAATAAATAATCGTTTAAGTTACATATTTATATTAATATAACAAATAGAATTAAATTAATCTTTTTTTGGAAAATTTTTATCTTTTTTTGACAATAAATAAAATTTGATATAATGAAAAAGAATACAAAATTTTTAAAATTATTAAATTATAAAAATAGTCACTTTTTTGACATTTATTTAAAATAAATAAAAATTAATTATTTTTAAATTTAAATATTTTCTTTTTTATTGAAATTATTTTTATTTAAAAGAAAAATTCATTTTAAAATTAAACTTTTCTAATATATCACAATAATAACGGAAATGAATAATTAATTTTGTGTTGGCGGATAAAAGGCACTTGTTGAAAAATTTATTATGGTTTTTTTTATTTAAAAATAATTTTCTCCTGTTTCGTATATATATATATATGTACAAGAAGCACATTTTTCGCAAAATATAATGAAAAAATTAAACATATATTAAAAGGTCAAAGAAAAAGTTTTTAGAGTGGTGCATCTTAATTCATTGTTTTTCATTAAAACTTACGAATATATATGTACATACGAGAATACAAAAGGGAGTGAGTTTTCATTGTTAAATATTGCACTCTAAACTTTTCTAAGATCATTATTTTACCAATTTACAATTTCTAAATAAGAAAGTTTTCTATAAACTTCAGTATTTTACTTAGTCAAGTAATTAGGGTTTTTTTATTTCGTTTTTTTTAAATAAATAAATATTTGTTGTATCTCATATTTGTAATTTTATTTTTCTTTTTTATTAAAAGTGAAAATTTTTTTTCCTGATTTTCTGATAATTCAAAAATTATATAAGGGCTTGTTTAATATTTAATTAATTTTAGAGAGCAAAGTGCAAAAACAAATATAAAGTTTGAAAAAAAAAAAAAATTGTGAGAAAATAACTGAAGTAATGACATTTTAATTAAGTAGTACAAGCATAGAATTGAAGAGATCTTCAAATAATGAATATGTGAAATCATTAATTCGCGATAATACAAATTTCAACGATTCATTATTTATATTAATTTATTTATAATTATTTATGTTAATTTATTTATGTTAATTTATTTATAATCAATTATTAATTTATTTAGTGATATATTTATTTAATTATTTATTTATGTTGATTTATTTATAATAATTTTATTTACAATAAATTAATAATTATAATAAATAAAATTAAATTTGTTTAATTTGCAAAAATTTGCAAAAATTTCCGAAATTAATTTATTGATTAAATATTTGAAAATTAAATATTTTTTCTTTAAATATCATTTTCATTTCTTTTTGTTTTTTTTTTTTTTTGTTAAGAATTTATATAATTAAAAAATATGGAGAAAATGTGTCAAGTTTAAGCATTGAATAATTAATATTTTTTATTTCATTTTTAATGGAAATTTTTTCACAAGATATACACAAGAGTTACATCAAGAATGATAGAAATTCATTTCTCATTGTACGATTTTCTTATTTATAGAGCCACTAATTTATAGATTATCTTGTCAAAAGAAACAAAAAAAAACAGTGGATCAGTTTCTTTCATCAAAATATATTATAGAAATTCATCAATGTAATAAATGAGAATATCAATTTTTAAAAGGAAATTTGTTCCATAACCGCATTCATAAAATATTTAATAACATGAATTTCTCACTTTTTCTCCATATTTACTGTCGAGTTTTGTTATTTGTTTTTTTTTGTAATACCAATTAAAAATTGATTTTTTAATAAAAAAGAAATTAAAATTTTGAAAAATATATTTTAAAAAATGGAAAAACAAGATTAAATAGTAAATTATCTGTAAAATCGAATAATTAATAAATATTCATACCCTCGAGACTGCAGCTTGTATTCACCCTTTTTTGCATTTACATGTGGCATTTAATTCAGAATATTTGCATTTTTCTTGTTCTTACTATTATTTCACCATTTTTCAGTATATACAAAACTTAATAATAGTCCAAGAATTCTCATTTCTATAAACATAATTCTCATTTTTATATTTATATTTTCTCTCATGTGATATTATATTATTCATATAGTTGATAAAAAAAAATTACAACCCCTTTTACACACCAAGTATAAATGAGCGCATATAAAGTGCAAAATTAGTTTATTGACGTTGAAAAAAATTTTTCATGAAAAAAAAAAATGAAGAATTTTTTAATATAATAAAAAAAAGAAAAAAAAATATACTTAAAGGTACTTTAAACTTAATTATAATTTTTATATTATAAAAAGCGATATAATAATTACGAGTTTACAACATTATGAGATTCACTATTGCTGCAGAATACGAAGATGTTGTCTTTCGTGCAGTTTCATGAATTTTTACTTGAAAAATAATAAAACGACCACTTGTCGGTGTCGTTAAAAAGTAAGATAAAAATATTTCATTTTGATTTTAATGTTCTGCAGCAATAAATAAAATTAATGCATATAAAAAAAAAAATAATAATGAATCATTTTTTCTTTATGAAAAAATTATTAAAATAATATTATACAAGAAAATTTATTTTTGATATAAATTAAAATTTCCAAGTTATTTTTAAAGAAAATTTACATTAATAACGCAACTAATTATATTTAAAAATACTTGAATTTTCCGAGAAAAAAGAATTATTTTTTCTTTTCGAATTTTTCTCAATTAGTATATATGGGCAAATCCACAGAACCGGCCGATTTTTACTTATCAAGATGAAAATTTTCCAAATAGCAAGCACACCTTTTATTTATGGTTTACTTTCTTTAAAATATATTCAAGAATAATTATCTTCTTGCGTGATTCATTTTATTTTAATGCCGTTTGAGTTAAAAGCCAAAAACGAAAATATTATTTTTCTTCTGGAAATTATAATTAAAAATGGCATTTCTTTGTTTTTTTTATATATTATTTGAAATATGTGCAAAACATTTTGAATAATAAAATATGATAAAATACAAATAATTAATTTTTTAATTATCAAAAATAAATTATTTATATTTTATCATATTTTATTATATATTTTATTTATTAGCATTTAATTTTTTATTTCTGTAAATTAAATTGTTTACTTACTAATTTTGATATTAACTATTTTAACCAACAAACTGACATTATTGACATCGATTTTGATATAACTTTGAAAATAAAACAAATGAAAGGATAATTCATTTTTCACGATTAACTAGTTAAATTTCGATAAATTTTTTTTTATTTTTAATTTTTAGACGTTATAAATTGAAAATATAATTTGGCGTTTGCATACAAGAATTATAATAATGTCTTTATATAATCACACATGTTTTCAACTCATCATATTTTATTCTGTAGTTGTGCTACTGAAAAAAGGCTATGTTGAAAATGGTTCACGCTTAAACATAGAGTGATAATTATTGGAATATTTTCTTTAATTCTGATTGCACTCTATTCTATGATACATACATTTGTTCGTCTGTTCACAAGCAATAAGCTCCAATTTGAAAAATTCAAATCGAATTATCGCCGCAAAATATATTTACAAAAATGTATAGACATTTCATTATTATAAAATAATGAGTAACGCTACTTTCAACGACTATCATTTCTTTTTATTTAAAAGCACATATTTTTTATTACTTTCAAAACATTCTTCAATAAGTAAACTATAATTCACCACAGTTTGGAATTGTTCGGATCTATGCCGAACAAGTTATACCTATAAGAATTAAAATTTATACCTGGAGTAACACCGTAAATTTCATTTTTTAAGTTACTTAATTCGATTTTATTTTTTATAAAAGACTAGAAGGTTCACATTTATTCAATTTTCTTATTTCAATAGGTTCTCAGAGATATTACAAAATGGTTGAAGTATGAAAATAATTAATATAATACTTCTAAAATAGAAAAATATGTGAGTAACATGAAATCGGCCGGTTCTGTGGATTTGCCCATATATATACGCATTTTATAATAATTTATGTTTTTAATTGTTTATAATTTTGTTATTTTCGAAGCTGTGGAAAATATTTGCGAAACGAATGAATTTTTTTTTTCTTCTAATTATAGAGAGAATTTAATAAATTATAGTTTTAAATATAGCTTTGCGTTGGATATGTATAGAAATTTTTTTTATGGATATAATGAAAAACTTGAGTTACTTGAGAATAGATATAAAATTTTGAAAATGAGTTTCCCTCACTTTAAATTATTAAAAAATAATTACCATTGCGCGGGGGATATATGTGTGGTTTGAAAGTCATATTCCTTTAATTTAGGTCAATGAGAAATAAAATAAAAAAAAAGAGTTTACGATGTAATAGCGAACAATTAAAATTTTAATGCATGAAATTATTGTGGCGGAAAATAGTAACAAAAAGAAAGAAAACTTGTTATTTCATTCGGGCGTCGATCATACATGAGCATATTTGACACTTTATTTACATATTTTGATTTCAATTTGTAATTTAATTATTTTTTTCTAATAAAAAAGTAGTTGTTTTTTTTAGAAACAATAAATTAATTAAGAAGTAAATAAATGACAAATAATAAATAAAATTCTAAAATAAAAAAAATATTTTTTGTTAGAAATAAATTTTAAGAATGAAAATTTTATTTGATCTTTTTTTTTACTGAAATTTGAGAAAAGAAACAAATTGTTGAAAATTAAATATATTAACTTTTTCTCTGAAACTATTGTTTCTTGAAGATCATATACACACATATATAGGTGAAAACGTGCAAGAAATACGAAATTTTCATGCTATACGATATCTGTCTTCACGCTTGCAAAATTGCTATTTGTATATAAAAAGGATTTGAATTTCGTTTTACTTTAGAAAATTTTTAGTGTAAAATAGTATCGCTTCTAGTTTTCTCAAATTTCCATATTTTTTTTTTTTTTTTTTTTTGCACTATATTTATACTTCAAATATTTGCCTTTATTCTGTGAAAAACATTTTTCCTATAACATCTAAAATTTTATATTACAAAAAAAAATATTTCAATAAACTTAGAAAAAAAAATTTTTTTTTTTTGAAAATTATTTTTTATGAATTTAAAAATTTTTATTTTTAAATTTTTAAAAAAAAATTTTATAATTATAAATTTTTTTTAAAGAAGAATAATATAAAAAAAAATTCTCCAGCAGGAAATATATAATGTACATGGAATTTGCATTAATGCGAATTATAAACCAATTGTAAAACAATGTATTTTCATCTCTTTTTTAATGACACAAAGGAATGAAAGGTGTTTTAGATAAAAACAAAAAGAATTTTTCATTTTTATACACACTTTGTTAATTAGATGTACACGTTATATATATATATATATATATACTAATTAAAAATAATTTCGCGAAAAGAGAAAAATTATAAGAATTTTTATATAAATTGTAACTTTTAATTTATATTTTTATTATTAGATTATTTAAAATTTTTAATAATTAAATAAATTTTAATTAAATAATTTTTTATTTTTTAATTTTTTTATTAATTTATTTATTATTTTTATCATCAATTATAAGTTTAAATATATATATATATATATATATATATATATATATATATATATATATATATATATATATATATATTATTGTTTATTTTCGCTAATGAATAAATTTAATGTAATAAATAATTGTTAATCAATTATATAAATATTTAATTAATTTTAGTTATATATATTTATTATATAGTAAATATGATAAAGGGATATGTTTTTAAATTGAAGTATTTTAAATGTCATAATAATAATAAAAAATGGAATGCAATTGAGACCCAAACAATTATTATGCATTATAATAAATGATTATATATTCATTCCGTGTTAATTATACTATAATGCCAAACGATATATACCATAAAACAATAAACCTTCCACTTACCTTTACATGAGGAAATGAAGAGGTGCACTAGACTTGAAAATCCTTCTTGTTAAATGATTCGTAATTGATGGCTTTTAAATTCCCCCTATTGCGAGTACATGATTCTTTGACAATAATTCATTTTTTATTTACACGTAAAGAACAATTTTTTTTTTCTTTTTTATTTCAATCAAATTGGTATTTTTTTTTTTTTAATTAAAAATATAATATTTATTTTCAATTAAAATAATAATTAATTAAATCTAATTTTTGAATTAAAATAATATTTTTTTGAATTAAAAAAATTATTTATTTGCGACAAATTTATTTTATTTTCGCTAGAAAAAATAATTTCGTACTGAAAGGAAATTTTCTCTTACGATAGTCATTGATAAAATAAATATATAAATAAATAGTTATAATAATAAATAATAAATAAATAAATAAATAATAATAATAATATAATATAATTTAGCAGCGTTATACAGATATATTGTACAATTTGTTAATTAAGTTAATTAATTAAATTTATTAATTAAGGAAATCTAAATTATCCAACATAATAAGACTTTATTATACTTTATTTTAAACTTTACTTTATTTTTAAAGTCCCGTATATAAATAAATAAATAAATAATTACTAACAATTAATAATATTAAAATATTAATAAATAATAATTTATAATTAAATAATAATAATAAATCAAATAAATAAAATTAATATTTTTCTTTATAACAAAATATTTTTTTTTGTTTGAAGAAAATTTTATCTCTGTTTTTTTTGGATTTAAATAATAAAAAAAATTAAATAGAAACTAAAAAATAAAAAAAATAGTTTATAAAAAAATAAATATTGAAAATTTTGAAATTGATTTTTGAAATCAAATAAAGTTCTTGTTCTTTAATAAAGTTGTTGAGTTTGTGTAAATCGATGCTTTGAGTTAGCCAGTATAACTTGAACGTCAAAGTTGTCACAAGCTCACTTACACCCTCGCAAAGAGGATTCAAAGGGTGGTGCAACAGGTAACTCGCGCAGTCTCGAGGTCCGGTTTGAAAGTTTCCAAGTTTAAAAGTTTTCTACATATATAGAAAATCACAGCTTCATATATATATATATAAATATATATATATATATATATATATATTAAATAAATATATTATGTCCGTTCTTTAGAAAACCATTCATTTATATATCCCTTTTGATTCATTATTATGCCTCTTAATCAAAACTTGATCGACACTTGAAACTATATAACAGTTTCTATTAATTTTCAAAGCTTCAAAATATATTATTATTTAGTTGGAAAGATAATTTTCATTAAGTATTGGAAAAGTATATTTATTAATTATTTCTGATTCAATGACTAACCTGGATAATAAATATTTATTGTTAAAATGACGCAATTCGAGTATGAAAAAAATACTTTTATATTCATTTTATAAATTTTTTTATACAAAATTAAAAATTAAAATAAATAAAAAAAATTAAAATCGATTTTTAAAATAGAAAATAATAATTTTTTCTGCTTGATTATTTTATTTTACTAAAATAATAAACTAATAAAATAAAAAAATAAATAATAATAAAATAAAAATAATAATAATTTATTTGTAAAGAGAATCCGCTTTTATAAACCCCTAGGGGTTAAAAACGAGTGTTTAAATAAATAATAAAAATAACAAAAAAAAAATTAAATTAAATTATATAATTTAATTTTTTTTAAATAAATTAGTACATTTTTTTTTTAAATAATAATTTAAAATATATTTTTTAATGTAATTTATATATTTCACTAAATAGAAACGAACAATGGTTGGGCAAATAACTTGGATAAGTCTTGTATTATTAGTAGGCTCACTAATTATGCATGGAAATGGAGTACCAATGGCAAGGCCAATGCCACCAAAAGTATTTAACAGTGCAGAAGATTTAAGAAAATATCTAGAGCTTATAAAAGATTATTATAATCTTAATGGAAAACCCAGGTAACAATTTTTATTTAAGAAAAAAATTAAATTTCCTAAATTATGATTTATTTGATAATTTTGAAAATAAAAATAATTTTTTTGGGGGAAATAAAAAATTTTTTTTTATTTTTTTATTATTAATTAAAAATATATATATTTTTTTAATTATTTTACTAGATATGGTAAAAGATCATCTGAACCACTTCTAACATCAACGATTTACAACAATCCTAGCGATACATTGAAAATGATATTAAATCAAGGTCGTGAAAATTATCGAGACATCGAAATGGAAAATGATGATTTATCATTGAATTTAAATAAAAATAGACCTCATCTGATTCAAGATAAAATTCAACGATTATCACATCCTTATAGTTTATTGGCAAAATATTATCGTGATATACAATAATTTTTCTGATTAAATATAAAGTTCCGACATAAAAAAAAAAAAATTTATTTTAACATGCGAGGAAAAAAGAAAATATCTTCAATGAATATTAAAAAAAATATTCTCATTTGCTAAAATTTATTTATTAAATAAACATAACCAATTAATAGCTTTCAATTATTATTAATAATTATTATTTATTAAAAAAATTCATAATTTTTTTTATCTATTTAAATTATTGAAATTGCTTTACAAAGAACTCATATATATATATCTAGTATATGTAAAGTTTACAAAAATGACTGAAATTTCTACGTTAAGTCTTGTAAATTGTTTGATATTTTTTATTATTGGAAAAAAAATTTTTCTTTTTGAAATAAAAAATGTGAATCATTTTTTTTTCAATCACTTTGACATTTACAGTTGACATATATAGTAAACCTATAATAAATGTTACATATTTGATTATTGAATATATAATAAAAAAATGAATGATCATCCTTAGATCTTGGACAATTTTCACACTGAATGATAAAATTGCAAAAAAAAAAAGAAAAAAAAAAATTAGTCAAGAAAAAAATGTAGTAATATATTGTACTCATTATGTATTTACAATGAAAGTAGAATTATTTTTTTTTATTCGTTTTATTTCCATTTTCATTAATTAGTTATTATAAATCAGGCGTTTTTGTTGTTTTTTTTTAAATAACTATGGCTACTAATGTACAAAGACAAAGGTTTTTCATATAACTTAAAAATTGTATTTCAAAAGTTGATGTATGCATATTTATATATATTGATATACGACTGATTTATTTTAACCTATTTTTGATGTAAACATTGTTATTTAAATAAAATGATAATTATATTGAATGTTTTTATTAAAAAAAAAGTCGTATAAATTATAATTGTTAAATATTGTTAATATTAGTGCTATATTTATTATAGAAATTATATAATATTTTACGCTATTTTAAAAGTCCTCTTTTTCTTTTTCTCCATTCTTTCATTTCATCCCTTAGAAATTATTAAAAAAAAATTTTATATGACAAAAAAAATGTGGATACCTACAAACTTTTTTACAATTTATAAATATTTAAAAATATTGTAAAATATTTTTAATATGAAAACAAATTTTTTTTATATCTCGTTTTCGTTATTTTAGTTTTGAAATATTAAATTAGTGTAATTTTTTAATCAATTTTTAATTTTAATTTTAATATTTAATTAAAAATTCAAAATTTTAATATTTAATTTTAATTAAAATTTTTTATTTTCTATAATAATAATCAGGAAATAAATTGTTAATAATCAAGAAACAAATTACAAATTATAATAAAAAGAATTTATTGAAAAATTTATAAATTAAAAAAAAAAATGACAAAATAATATTAAGGAAGTTGAGGACACTTAACAAGATATGGCCACGAACATGTTTGATCACTAAGACTAAAAATAAGTCCTGCTGGACATTCTTTGACAATTTTTGTGCCCATATGACACATACAAAATTTGCTACAATCTTTATTTTCTAAAAGAGTCACTGCCTCTGGTTTATCTACTTGGGGACAATTGCCTTTACATGTGTCAGGATTTTGCCAACTTGGAGTTACTGTTTCAAAAGCAACTTCCTCTTCTTCTTCTTTTTCTTCAAAATTTATTGCATTGAAAAATGTATATTGGGTACAATCGACATTTTCAGGACGATCGCAACTATTTATTTCTGTATTAAAAAATAAATCTGGAGGACAACGATTGGCTATAGGTCTTCCATTACTACACGAACAATATTTGTCACAATCCGAGTGTTTAAGAAATATTACATGATCCATGGGATCTTGTAATGGACAGCTTCCTTGGCAATGTTTAGGATTCTTCCAATCAATTACTCCTTGTGACTCTGTATCATCTGAGGCCGATGAAAATAGTGGTCCAGCCAAAAAGAGGCAGACAATTATGAGATGGCCTGAAATTAAAATTAAAATTTAATATTTAATTTTATATTTTAATATTTTATAATTAAATTTTATTACTTTAATTTATTAATTTACAGACATCTTTCTATAAAAGAGTCTTATTCTTAGCGAAAAATACACCAGGTTACGCGGTTAGGTATATGAACTTGAACTGACAAAACTTTCGGCGACTGTGTTTCGACTTCTCTTAGGCTGGATTGAAAAAATACTGTTGATGAATGACGATAGATTTCCAAAATTGTGTTTCGAACGTTTAAAAAATATTTCCAATAATAAGGTCTCAAGTAAATTTAATTGGTATATAAGCAGGTAACTTTTTTCTTTGAGTACATCGACGCAACGCGGAAGAATGAAAAAACCTAACTACTATCGGTTGAAAATATAAAGACCCCTGTCTTTGAAAGCTCATAACTTGGATAAAAAAAAATCGTACGTTATTAAGACAACATGGAATCAGTAGCTACACTATTTCTACGTTTCTATACAGAATTGCAAATAACCAAAAAAAATTTTGTATTTGTTACAGATTTTTAAAGATTAAAAATACATGGTTTTGACAAAGGGCAACTTTGAAAGCTTGTAGCTCATTCAATTTATATGATATCTTAAAGCCAATTTTTTTTAATAATATTTGATTCCTTCTTAAACATATTGTATAAATAAAAAGTCATTATTTTATTAACTTTTCGCTGTTAATTAAAACAAAGATAAAAAGCTATCTCTATCAAAAATAAACGCACAGGTTTGAAACAAAATTTAAATTATGTAAAATATGAAATTGGTTTAAAAACAATAAAAAAATATTTAAAAAAAATTTTTTCAAAGAATTATTTATAAAAATATTTTCAGTTTTTTGCTTTATTACCCAAGTTATAAGCTTTTAAAGACAGGGGTCTATACATTTTAGACCGATAGTATTGTCACACTACAGACAAACAAATCGAAATGGCTGGAAAAATTCGACAATTTTTTGTTAGCAGAAGATGCGAGAAGAGTGCAAGAATCGCAATCGTTAGAACTGTTTCCAAATCTAATGTTAAATATATAGGGGCAAAAACATATCTGGCACAAAAAATATCTATAAAATTTCTTAGATTATTATGTCAAATCCATCATTCTAACAAATTTTTCTTAAAATTGGCTATTAATAAAAAATTTTACAAAACACCCGCCAAGGGATATTGCGAGGGTTGTGGTTTGGAATCTTCGAATTTATGTTATCATATTTTTATTGAATGTCCTTATCTCCGCGAACAGAGAGCGAAACATATTTACCCTTGTTACGACGAACAGAACACAATTGATTCCTTTTTGAAAATTCTAGATTCCACAAATATTGTAGATTTAAAAAATTTATATATTTTTTTGTAAAACTTCATTTTTAAAAAAATGTATAATTTTTAAAGCGGCAACCTCTTTGTATTGGCATTTATGCCATTTAACAAATAAATCAATAACAATAATTTATTAATTTAAAATAATTAGTAAAAAAAAAACATTTTATTTATACAAAATAAAAACAAAAAAGTAATCGGTAATATTCTAAAAATATGCGATTGAAATAAGATTTTTGATAAATTTGTTTAATTCATAATTTAATAAGAAAACATTTGAATAACATTTATAGAGAACAAAATATTTAATTTTCTTTATAGCTGTTTAATTTATTTTTTTAATTTAATATATTTTTATAATCAAAAATAATTTTTTGAAATGACAATTACATATTACAAAATATCTAATTAATTATTTAATAGTATTTTTTTATATTTGCAAAATTAAATATAAAAAAATATTACTATTTGCCAATAAAACATAATTACTTTGTGAAAGAAACAAAAATTTTGTTTCTTAATCAAAATTTGTCATAAAAAATATTTTTTTTTAATACCTTTCATGATTTATCCTGAAGTATAATATAAGTAACACTATTTTTAATAGTTGCTTTTATTCAAGAAACTGATGAAAAGTAAGGTTTTACCGTCTTCTTTATATAAATTGATTTTGTTATCATCATTAAATCGATTATTATTTGTTATCGCATCAAAATCAGTAGAAATTGTTAATTCTAGGATTTATATCAATGATTAAAACGTATAAGTTTCAAAGGTGCCAAAAAACTATTAGAAAACTATTATACTTATCTCGGTATGATAATAAATAACTAATAATTAATGAATTATTTAATTATTTATTATTTATTAATTCAATTAATTAATAAACATTCTTAATTTTTATTTCAACAAATTCTCAATTAAATTGACATAATTGATAATGAGATTTTTATTTATATAAAAATTCGTAGAAATGATTTTGATACCTAATAAAGAATGCTTAGTATTTCAGAGTTCAAAGTTCTAGTGTTTGGCTTCATTTATATTTAATTACATTTATCCATTTAACAAATCAAATTAAGGTTTTTGAAAAAATCGAATCAAACTAATAAAAATGATTTTTAAAAAAAATATTTACTTAATAAAATCAAAGTTATGAAAATAAAAAACTATTGACATTTTTAGTTTCATATAAGTTTTTTTTAATTTTTAAATTTATTTTTCTTATTCTCCTAATAGCTATAATAATTATAATAATTGACTAACATTATTAGATAGTATTTCTGTATAGTGAAGGGTTTTTTTTAGCGTAATAATAAATGATAATATTAATCTTATCAGTGTGATGTCAAGTAATTGTCTTTGCGAATAATCTGATTTCATTAATAATCTAATTGTATATATGAGAAAAATAATTTTTTAATAATTTTTTTATATAATATTATAAAACTAAAAAAGAAAACGTATGAATAAAAATATTTCAATGTTAGGTCAGTGAAGTTAATAATTTATTTACACTTTAAAATTAATTGTAAATGGTAAAAAAATTAACAAGATAGTAAAAAATGTTACAAAATAAAAATATAAAAAAATTACCTACATAGAAATCTACCTTACCGACTGATGGTGAAACAGTTTTTTGAAAAATGAAAATATGCCAACGCAGAAATCTACCTTACCGTCTGATGGTAAAACAGTTTTTAAAAGTGAGTGAAATTTCAAAAAAAAAATCTTTACCATCAGTCGGTAAGGTAGATTTCTGTGCCGGTAATTTTTATATATTTTCAAAAAACCTGTTTAACCATCCATCGGTAAGGTAGATTTCTATGTCGGTAATTTTTATATTTTCATTTTTCTTTTACCTTTACGTCTTCCAAAAAATTGAAAAACTAATTTATTTAATATCTATATAGTATGGATAACGGATTTTTTTCCAACCCATTGAAATCCGATATACGTGGATTTCACTGTAATTATATTTATAAACAAATAAAATTTAACACAAATATGACGAATTTTTTTTCTTCAACAAATGTTGAATTAAACATTTTTTGTAAAATTTTCTTTATATAAAAAAAAAATGATATTGTATAAAAATTTTAAAAATATATTTTGCTGAAATTTTATGTTATTGAAATAATTTATCAAGGTATAAAAGTTGGTTGTGAATTTTTTTTATTTTATATTTTTTTAAATGAATGTACAAAAATACGTCCTTATAAATTATAATAGTTAAATAAAATTAATTATAAATTAATTCATTAATAATCGACTAAGTACAGAATCTTCTGGAAGATCATCTTCATATAAATTGTTATTATCATCATCATCAAATTGTTCATTATTTCTTTCTTCACTGTCTGGTTCATCGTCATCAACTATTGGCAAACGACAATCAACTTTTGATGGCCAGTCACAAACTTGAAGTGATGGATTGAAATATAGACGATGACCATCAATCATTTTTGGACATTGTAAACCATCTTTTGGTATTTTCTTTCCAGCTTGACATTTATAAAATCTTGTACAATCTTTCTCGTGAGCAATATGAACGGTATAATCTAAACTGTCTTTTTTTGGACAATTTCTTGGAATTGGTGTAATTGGCTTGTCATCACCTTCAACCATCATCAACGTCACCATAAACACCGCCAAACAAATTAAAATACCTATAAAAAAAAATATTTTTTAAACAATTATTAACATTTTTTTAATATTAAATTACAATTAATTTATAGTGAAACAAATTTCAATTAAAAATTAATTTATTATCATATAATTTATTAATTTCTATTTATTGTATCTTTATATTTTATTACTAACAATAGTAATAAATAAATTATTTGAATATAATTATTTAATTAATTATAATTATTTAAATTTTAATAGAAAAAAAATATTGCTACCGTCAATAATAAAAATATAAAAAATTAATAAATAAAGCCCAATTTTAATTGTTTTCTCAAAAATTGCTTAATTTAAATTTGTTTCTAATAATTGATTAATAATTTAAATTAATTTTCTTTTTGAACAAAATAAACATTAAGTGAAAGGCATATATTGTCTTTTCTTTTAAGTTAAAATTTTTGTTTTATGAGACTTACTTTTCATGATTGTTATTAATTTAAAACTGACACTTAGTTTAATTCTTTTTTTTTTTAATGAACAAACTGATACTGAATGCAACAGACAAATTAATTTCCTTTTATAAAGACGCAGTTTCTTATCTTTACAAAAAAAAAAAATTGATTATCATATTGGCGCATCATCAGAGAGGATTTCAATATTGATCCAGGGAGTTTCTAATTTCATTTGTTTCCTGTAAGATAAAAATTTAAAAAAACGATCTTTTATTTAATTAAAAAAAATGAGAATTATATCAAATTTTTTATCTTTTAAAGTTTAACAAAAAAAAAAGCGAATGAATTATTTTCAAATTAGGCTAAACACTATACAATTTAAAATGAGGAAATATTTAATTAGGCAAAAAAAATGAAAATAACTAAATACAAACATTAAAACTAAAAAAAAAATTACACAAAGGATTAAAATTACTTTAAATTTGATAATTTAGATTAATCATTGCAATGGAAAAATTAAAAAAATTATTCGGAAATAATACAAGATGCAGCATAAATTAGATTTTATTTCATAAACAAATTAGCTTAATAACATATTAATTTACGCTAATATATTTTAATCATGGTATTTTTTATAATAGTGATTGTATAATCTTTAGAATAGTAGAGATTAATCTTTGATGATTGTTGTTGTAAATTAATATATTATAGGTCTAATTTGACTATTTAATTTCGCGAATTCAGCTACTATTCAGCCTACTTTCGCGAATATCGTAACCAAAATTCGCGAATTCCGCGAAATAGTTTCGCGAATTTCGTAACCAAAATTCGCGAATTCCGCGAACTAGTTTCGCGAATATCATGATTTAATTTCGCGACCTATACTTTTGCGAAGATTGTAACCTAAATTCGCGAATATCGTGACCTAATTTCGCGAATTTCACGATTTTATTTTGTGAATTGCGTAATTTAATTTTACCTATTCCGCGACCTAGTTTTATCTTTAAATTTTATTGAAAATAATAATTTCTTCTAAATTTTTCTAAAATTAGTAAATTCAACAGAATATCATCGATTAAAATACTTTTTATCTAAAAAAAATTCTTAACAATATCTTTAATCGTTAAAAAGCTTAAATTTATAAATTTGTAACACGCAAAATCAATTCGAACTGATAATGACTCATTTTTTGATATAATATTTTGATATAATAAAAAAAAAACGACATTCTAATTCTAAGAATATATAATTGACTCATATTCTTAAAATAATTTAATATAATTTTATTTTTACAGTAAGATAATTTTTCTCAAATAATAAACAATTACAAATTAATTATTCTTATTTTAAGAATATTATTATTATTATTATTATTATTATTATTATTATTATTATTATTATTATTATTATTATTTTAAAAATATTATACTACTTTATTTAAAAAATAAAATGCATGGATTATGTTCTTATAAATGGATGCATTATATACTTAAATCTAGAATATTTCCTCTATGTTCAATGAAGATTATTGAATTTTCAAAAGTGTCAAAATGATGAATCTATTTAAACAAGAGACATTGAAAATCGTCATTTTTTTTGATAAATTAACTATTTATCTCTATTTATGTCTCATTCTTTTTATCTTTGAAAAAATTATACTGAAGAAAATGTATAAATGAAATAAAGAATTTTTTTTTATTTGAGGTTATATACACCAAAAAAAGTCGTACTTTCTTTAATATTTTTTTTAATTAAAGGAATAATTAATTAATTTAATACTTATTAGTGATTTTTATATTTAATAATATTTATTTATATTTTTCTATTAATAAATATATTGTTAAAGAATGATTAATATATATATATATATATATATAAATTCAAATAAAATTCTAAATCATATAAATTAATTTTATAAATTGATATAATAACTACTTTGATATAGCAAAAAATTAGTCGCACTGATAAAAAATTAATAATATTTCTACTAATTGTTGATTTATTTATACGCTTTTAAATGTGGCGCGCTTTAAAGAAAGGGACCTTAGAAGCAAACGAATTATAGGTTATGTTTACGATAATTTTACCTTGATTAAAAGTTTCTTTCTATTTATTATAAAATAAAAATCAGTTTTTATTAAATATTTTGGATTTAAATATCAATAATTTGTATTGAAAATTGATCTTCTTATTTTCACTTCGAAATTTTAAAACATAACCTATAATTTTTTTTTTGCTTCTAGGGTCCCTTTTTTCAGAGAGCGTGTCACATATACATTAATTAATTACAACATGTTAGATATTATTTATTTATATTTAATTGAATGAAATTAATAATTGTAATACAAACATATTTAGTAATAAATAATTGCGCTTTATAAAAATAATATTTAAATACATATATTTAAGTATATAGTATTTATAATAAAATACATTGAAAACTATTGTTTTATTAATTAGAAACAAATAAATGATAAATGAAATTTTTCTTTATTATAAATACTTTTAATACTAAATAATTAATACTAAATGAAATATAATAATAAATATATATTTTTTTTTTACAATTGATATAGATGTTTATTGCACATTATGTGTTTAATTCCAATGAAAGAGTTTATAAAAAAATGAATCTTTTGTAGTTATTTTTTCATTATTATTGGTTGGTATAAATTCTTTAACTATTACTTTCACGACACAATGAGCTTCTGACATTGGAACACATTTTTTCTTCTTCAAATCAAAACCCTCATCTTCAGGACAATATTTTTTAAGTTCTTTACCATTCTCGCATACATAATAAAGATTACAATCACATTCATGTGGATAATAAATAGGTTTATTTGGATTATCAACTGGTGGACATTTACCAGGTTTTGGTGTTGGTTTAAGTGTTGTTGTTGATGTTGTTGTTGAAAAATTGGAACAAATTGTTCCATCGTCCCAATCACACATCTGAAGTCTTGGATCAAAAACATAATCTTCCTCACATGTTTCCTTATGTGATGTGCCATCTTTATGACAAACATAATAACTTTTACAATCATTTTTGTCGGGAATTTTAACTTCATCCGCTCCTGGTCCTTTGGGACATTCATCGGGAATTATTATAATAGGAGTTGTTGATGATGGTGTATAAAAATCATCAGTTGGTGTTGTTGTTATTGGTTCCTCAGTTGTTGTCGTTGTTGGTTCTTCAGTTGTTGTTGTTGTTGGTTTTTCAGTTGTTGTTGTTGTTGTTGTTGGTTCCTCAGTTGTCGTTGTTGTTGGTTCCTCAGTTGTTGTTGAATGATCATCATTATCATCATCATCTTCACATCCAGCACTCCAGGGCCAATCACAAACTTGTAAAATTTTATTAAAGTGCAATCGTTCTTTCTTTTCATTCATAAAGGGACAATCGAACAAAACTTTTTTGCCCCAATCACATTTGTAAAATTTTGTACAATCATTTTCATGCGCAATATGAACTGCATCACCTGTATTTGTTTTTGGACATTTCGTAGGTACTGGCTTTATTGGCTTATCGCCTGGATAATAGGCTTCAACTATTGTTGCTGCTATTGTTATAACAGCAATAAAATATATTTCTGTAACAAGAAATTTTAAAAAAATTCTAATTTTTCAGATTTAACATTAAAATTTAAATTAAAAATAAGAAAAATGAAAATTTTCCAAAAGTATAATTATTGAAATTAAATAAAATTCCATTTTTTAATCTTACTATTCATGATAAGAATCCCTTTTTGCGAATTGTCACCATTAATTTAATACTAAGTCCAAAAAGTAACTGATAGTGATCATGAAAATTTTTTCTCTTTTATAAACTCGGACGTTATCGCAAATATTGTTTTTTCGCGGATAATTATCGTATATAATACTGATGCAAAGAATTTATTCTAAGAAAACAAATATATTTTGGTTATTCATGAGAAAATTAATGAATAATTATTTTAAAAAGAAAAGAAACATTTTCATTACGTTCTAGTAAAAAAAAAATATTTTTCTCTCCCCAAATATATATATTTTTTAATAATTAGATTCATTAAAAATTGATATAAGAAAAAGCTTTATGACCTACCTTTTTTATCATCCTAGAAATAAAAATTGATGGGGCGCATGTTCTAAAAATCATTAGTCAAAATTTACATTTTATCGGATTTTTATTTGTCATAATTAGTTTTTAGCCGAATTTTTATTTGTTCGAATTAGTATTTTGTATAATTTTTCATCAAACCGATTTTCTATATTATAGAATTTTTATATAACCGAAAATTCACTGCACAGAATTTTTATTTGCTCGAATTTTCGTTTAACATAATAGGCATTTTAAAGAATTTTTATTGGATACAATTTCATTGCATAGAATTTTCATTTTATTCATTCAAATAAATTTTCATTTGTTCGAATTATTATTTGATATAATATCCATATAACCGATTTTTCATACTACAGAATTTTTACTTAACCAAAAAATCATTTAATAGAATTTCTAATTGATAGAATTTTCATTTGTCCGAATTTACAAATGGCCGAACAAACAAACAACAGAAAGATTTCGGCGCGATTTTTAAAATCAACCAATCAAAAATTATCCATAAAATTGTGATTGGTTGATTTTAAAAATCGCGCCGAAATACTTCTGTCGATTGTTTATGTTCGGACATTTTCTATTAAATGATTTTTCGGTTAAGTAAAAATTCTACCCAATAAAAATTCTTTAAAATGCCTATTATGTTAAATGAAAATTCGAGCAAATAAACATTCTGAAAAATAAAAAATTAGAACAAATAAAAATTCTGTAAAGTAAATTTTCGGTTATATAAAAATTATGTAATTGTACCGAAAATCGATTTGATGAAAATTATGCAAAATACTAATTCGAATAAATAAAAATTCGGCTCAAAACTAATTATGACAAATGAAATTTGATAAAATTTAAATTCTGACTAATGATCTTTAGACAATAATCATGCGCCTCAAATTGATTTATATTTATTTATAATCTTATTTCGATAATTATATTGCCACTCACATGGGAATAAAGGTAAAGAAATGTATTTTCTTATTTATTTATTTTTTTATTAAATATTTTTACAATATAGTTAATTATTTTTGGTATTAACTATTTCGGTAATAACTATTTCGGTATTATTTATATAACAAAATAAATATAAACTATATGATTAAAATTAATTATTAATTCCAATGAAATAATTTCTGAAAAAATGAATTTTTTTCATTATTCAATTGTTGTTTATCAATTGATACAGTTTGATTATTTTCATTTGCATTAAATTTAATACATTCAACTTGTGATATAGGAAGACAAATTTTTCTTTTCACATCAAATCCATGATTTTCAGGACATTTCTCTTTAATTTGTTTACCATATTGACAAGTATAATAAATATCACATTGACATTCGTGTGGATAAATTATTGGATGATTAGGATCATCGACATCGGGACATTCTTTTTGAGAATTTGGCTTTGGTGTTGATGATTGCTTTTGACAAATTGTTCCATCGTCCCAATCACACAACAGGCTGCTTGGATCAAAAACAGTATCATCCTCACATTTTACTTTATCTGAAGTGCCATCATCATGACATATAAAATAACTTGTACAATCATTTTTGTCAGGGATTTTCAGGTCTTTTTTTCCTTTGGGGCATTCTACGGAAGTTTCTGGAATTTTAGTAGTTGTTGTCTTTTTGGTAGTTGTTGTTGGCTTTTTGGTAGTTGTTGTTGGCGTTTCAGTAGTTGTTGTTGGCTTTTTGGTAATTATTGTTGGCTTTTTAGTAGTAGTTGTTGGCGTTTCAGTAGTTGTTGTTGGCTTTTTGGTAATTATTGTTGGCTTTTTAGTAGTAGTTGTTGGCTTTTTAGTAGTATCTGATGCTAAATCACATCCAGCATTCCAAGGCCAATCACAAACTTGTAAATATTTATTAAAATGTAATTTTCCTTTAATTTGAGAACTATATGGACATTCAAACGGAACTTTTTGGCCCCAATTACATTTAAAAAATTTTGTGCAATCTGATTTGTCCTCAATATGCACTGCAGGTCCTGAATTTGTTTTTGGACATTCAATAGGTACAGATAGTATTGGCTTTTCGCCTGGATAATATGCGTCAACTGTTTTTGTTGCTGCTATTGTTACAAGAACAGCAATAAAATATATTTCTGCAACAAGAACATGAAAATTTTGTGAAAAAAAAACAATTTCTATAATATTGTATTACGAAATTATTTTTAATGAGATTTTAAAAATTAGTAAAATACATATTGTGCTAACTAATTAATGGAATCTAATAATTAAAAATTTTTTTGATAATGAGAAAAAATTCATTTTATTCGTGGTATTTTATTTATTGTCTATATATATATATATAACTATTTATCTATAAGTTTTGATTAACACGAATGATAAATATCAGATCAATGTACATTGTATTAAATTAATTTTTATCATTTGCAGAAACATATAGATAACTAAAAAATTATTTGGAACAATTTAAAAATTTTAAAAATTGATTTTTAATATATTAAAGTAAAAATGATTATAATAATTATTAGAAATGAAATTATCTTTTTGATAGAATTAATAAAAAATCGGTTTGAAAAAAAAGAATAAATTATTAATATTTTGAAAGTGGATTTATTTATAAACATCTGATAAATAAAAAAAAATTAATTTACTAATTTCATTAATCTGTGAGAATAAAAAGTATTCGACTTTTAAATATTATAGAATAGATAAGGAAATTTAAAAATTTATTGAATAATTAATTAGATTAAAATTAAAACCTTCATTTTTGATTTTCTAAATTTTTTGATTTCTATAATAACAAAAATAATTACCATTCATAGTGAGGAACCCTTTTTTTTGCAAATTATCACCAATTATTTCTAATACAACGTTAGAAAACTAAATGATTATAATTGCCAAAATTTTGTCTCTTTTATAAACTATCACGTTATCTTGATTAATAGAGCGATTATTATCGTATCAACTAAATCAAAAAAAAAAAAAAAATAAAAAAAAACTACTTGATGGATAAATATATAATAATTATTTTACAGATAATTATCGAAATTTGGAAAACATAGAAATTCCTCTACTTATCATACTTGAAAACAATTATTGATAACTAAAAAATTTACTAAAAATTTCATGGTTAAAAATAAAAAAAAAACAAAACAAATAAGCACAAAATGTTTATAATATGTTTACATTTCAAAAAAAATTTTATTACAAAAGAAAATTTATTAATTCAAATCAATTTTCACCTAAATCAATCATTATAAATGCATTTCATAGATTCTGAAGTTAAATTTTCGAAATTCAAAAATGGCGGATCCAACATGGCGGACATTTTTTTAAAAAAATCATCAAATTCGCCTGAAATTTGCTACTCGGAGATTTTTGGAGGCGCTGATTACGAATCTGATATTGAATTTTTGAAATTCAAAATGGCGGATCCAATATGGCGGACATTTTTTTAAAAAATCTTCGAATTCCTCTGATATTTATTACTCCGGGGTTTTTGGGGTCGCTGATTACGAATCTGACCTCGGATTTTCTAAATCCAAAATGGCGCATCCAATATGGCGAACCGTTTTTCAAAAAATTATCGTATTCGCTCAAAAATTGCTACTCGAGTGTTCGGAGTCGCTGATTACGAATCTGATATCGGAATTTCAAAATTCAAAATGGCGGATCCAAAATGGCGGACATTTTTTTTTAAATTCGTCGAATTTGCCTAAAATTTGTTACTCGGGGGTTTTTGGGGTCCCTAATTACGAATCTGATATCGAATTTTTGAAATTCAAAATGGCGGATCCAATATGGCGAACCGTTTTTCAAAAAATTATCGTATTCTCTCAAAAATTGTTACTCGAGGGTTTTCGGAGACGCTGATTACGAATCTGATATCGGAATTTCAAAATTCAAAATGGCGGATTCAAAATGGCGGACATTTTTTTTAAAATTTGTCGAATTTGCCTAAAATTTGTTACTCGTGGGTTTTTGGGGTCGCTGATTACGAATCTGACCTCGTATTTGCTAAATCCAAAATGGCGGATGTAATATGTCGGACATTTTTTTTTAAATTCGTCGAATTTGCCTGAAATTTGTTACTCGGGGATTTTTTGGGTCGCTGATTACGAATCTGATATCGAATTTTCAAAATTCAAAATGTCGGACATTTTTTTAAAAAATCATTGAATTCCTCCGATATTTGTTACGCGGGGGTTTTTGGGGTCGCTGATTACGAATCTGATAACGGATTTTCAAAATTCAAAATGGCGTATCAAATATGTCGGACATTTTTTTTTAAATTCGTCGAATTTGCCTGAAATTTGTTACTCGGGGATTTTTTGGGTCGCTGATTACGAATTTGACATGGGATTTTCAAAATTCAAAATGGCGGACATATTTTTAAAAATTCGTCGAATTCGCCTAAAACTTGTTACTCGGGGGTTTTTGGGGTCGCTGATTACGAATCTGATATCGGATTTGCAAAATTCAAAATGGCGGATCCAATATGATGGAATTTTTTTTTTGAAAATTCTTCTAATTCACCTGAAACTTGTTACTCAGAGGTTATTGGGGTCGCTGATTACGAATCTGATATTAAATTTTCAAAATTCAAAATGGCGGATTCAATATGACAGATATTTTTTTAAAAATTCGTCTAATTCACCTGAAACTTGTTACTCGTGGGTTTTTGGGGTCGCTGATTACGAATCTGACCTCGTATTTGCTAAATCCAAAATGGCGGATGTAATATGTCGGACATTTTTTTTTAAATTCGTCGAATTTGCCTGAAATTTGTTACTCGGGGATTTTTTGGGTCGCTGATTACGAATCTGATATCGAATTTTCAAAATTCAAAATGTCGGACATTTTTTTAAAAAATCATTGAATTCCTCCGATATTTGTTACTCGGGGGTTTTTGGGGTCACTGATTACGAATCTGATAACGAATTTTCAAAATTCAAAATGGTGGATCCAATATGGCGGACCGTTTTTCAAAAAATGATCGTATTCGCTCAAAAATTGTTACTCGGGGGTTTTTGGAGTCGCTGATTCCGAATCTGATATCGGATTTTCAAAATTCAAAATGGCGGATCCAATATGGCGGACATTTTTTTAAAAATTCGTCGAATTCGCCTGAAATTTGTTTCTCGGGGGTTTTTTGGGTCGCTGATTACGAATTTGACATCGGATTTTCGAAATTCAAAATGTCCGACCTAGTATTTTGGATTTCTTTTTAATTTATTTGATTAATAAATAAGTAATAATAAAATAAATAAAATAATAAAATCAAATCATACTTGATGATTATAATTATAATCATTATAAAAAAACAACTTTTTTTGCTAATTTTTTAACAATTTGAAATTAAATTTTCTGTCAATAATAATAATGTCGATAATGTAGAATTCTACATGAAATATCAATGTGCCACTGTACTGTTGCTCTCTCTCTAGTTTCTCTTACACTCTACAAGTGATAAATGACGAAGTGATAAAGTAATGGTAAGGCACGATGGTAACATATCAACCGCGGGTATTTTACATCACATCTACAATGTTACTCCAAAAGTAAAATCATCGACAATTTACTTCAGTGCACGAACGTTGTGAGGCGCATTTTATCACATTTATTCTATTTTTCTCTCTTTTTTTTTTTTTTTTTTTTTTTTTTTTTTTTTTTTTTTTTTTTTTTTTTTTTTGATAAGAGAAAAAATCAACTTCAAAGTCCCCAACGACCAATGAATAACATGAACCAAGTATAAACAATAGAGAGACGAATGACGATTGGCTGTACTGTCGCTAAGTCAACTATTAACCGCCAATCGCACATCATTATTTTTTGGTTTCAAGAGAATTTTCAATCTCCCTTATCCCCCCTTTGCCCCATTCATCCCCTCATCCAATTGGATACGATTCTTGACTGTCTCGAAACCCCTAAAGTAGTCCCCCCACAACATCACAGTATTCAGCGGGTAGACTCGACCGGCCATTTCTATCGGTCGTGCATAGCGACGACTTTGATATCGGTTGGAAACAAATATTAAAGAGAAAGAGAGAGAGAGAGAGAGAAGAAATTTTTTTTTTTCACACACTTTGTGCGGGTGTTCCCGGAATAATTTGCAAAATAACGCGACGCAAAAGGATGATACACTCCGGGCGGACGAGGCTCGAGGTAAGTCCAAATGGATTCAGGGTCATTTTTTATGTTGTCATTCGTCACATAGAAGTTTATAAAGAGAGAAAGAGAGAGAGAGAGAGAGAGAGAGATAAAAGAGAGAGCACGGGGTCGTATGTTCAATGTTGTCATTGCTAAGGCGAACAGCTGATTTGCTCCCCTGACGTTTGTATTGCTTTTAACTGATAATGAAATATCTCATCATTTCTTTTTATCACATTAGAAATTATTTTTCTTCATTATAATTCAATTTATTCAACAATAATCATGAATCATTTCATGTTTTTTCAATTCTCAACTACTGTTGCTACCTTCCATTTTCCACCATCGACCGTGTGTTCTTGCTCACACGAACCCGTCCTTTGTTCTCGTCCTCAAAACAATATTTCTTTTTATTATCATTGTAATTACTCTTTTTTTTTTTTTTTTAATTTCTCGTTTCAATTTTACCCAAAAATTTTAATATTCTCAGGTATTTTATTTTCAAAAAAAAAAAAAGGGAAAATAGTTTTTTTTCCATTCACCTCCTTTGTTCTCGATGTTTGGATTTTTTAATTTTTTCTTCCGCTTTTTTTTGTCGTAGAATATATTGCAAATTTTTTGTTTGCTAATATTTTTATTGTTTTCATTGTTGTCATCGTTGCTATATATATATATATATATATATATATATATATTTGTCATTTGTGTCAAAATGTCAAAAATTTATTTCCTATTTTTAAAAACTAATAAAAATTGAGATAACTTTTTTTTCAATATAATAAAAAAAAAATTGAAAAATGACTCGTGCACGGGTAAACAAATGGCGATAAATAATGGGGGAGGGAGGACAATAATTTTGCGTCGATCGAGAGTGAGACTACGCCGTAAGACTGCATGTTTTGATCTTCCTTTATAGTATATATATATATTTAAATATTTTTTTTTTTTTTTTTTTTTTGTTCTAAGTGTATTTGTACACATATCAAATTATGCGCTCGGCATGTAATCTTAAATTTTCTGCACAATGTCTGTCATTTTCTTTTGATTATCCTCGATATATTTATATATATAAAAAAAAAAAGAAATCAAAAAAAAAAATTACATATTTCTTATATTGTCAAAGTGGTAGCATCCGTGCTATTAAAGTGCTTCTAATTGGAATCAAAATGAATCATAAAAGAAACAATAAAGAAATGAACAAAGAAAAATAAAAAAAATTTTTTTTTTTTTGCTTTTTAAACTTTTTTTTCTAAATTTATATTCCTAAATCACAAACATTCAAATTTCTTTTCAATTTTTAGTATTATTTTAATTATTTATATTTTATAAAAAAAAAATAAGAATATAATAATAATAATAATAATAATAAATATTTATATACATATAAAAAAAAATTTGTATTTCTATAATACACAAAGAAATGGAAAATTTTTGTTTTTGTTGAATTTTATACAAAGAAAATTTTGGTCCTTTTTAACTAAAACACGAAACTAAAATTATTAATTACAGAATTTAGAAAAAATTGGAGCAAAACAAAATTTTTATTGTTTATTTATTTTTTTGTTTAATTCAAATAAATATTTATTTGATCTAAATAAATGTTTGGTTTATTTTAATTTTACTTTACTGAATAAAAATAAAAAAAAAAATAAAATAAATAAATTTGTTGAACAAAAAAAAAATTTCATTGAGCTGAATAAATGTTTGGTTTATGCAACCAATGGTTTGGTTAACTGTATACCAATGCATTTATTTTGTTGATTTAACCAAAATTTGGTTGCTTCAAACGAATTTTTTTTTCTGAGTGTAAGAAGATATAAATTTATATACTAAATTAATTATATAAATCTGGAATATATAAATAAAATTATATAATTATATAACGAAAATAAAAAAAAATATATACGCAATATATACTAAATACCAAAAAAAATTTTTTAAATATTAAACAAAATAACAAAATTTAAACAATTATTTTACCAATTTTAATAATTTTGATAATTAAAATAATTTTTAAAAAAGAATTTTTGTTAAAAAAAAAAAAAAAAAAAAATTACAAAAATTGAACATATTGGAAAATGTAAAAATGCCATTATCGTTAATGAAAATTGACATTTTTGCGGATAAGGTGAAGTCAAAAGTTCAAGAGAAAATTAACTAAAACTGTTTATTATTTATTAATATATTTATAAATAACAAGTCTTGTATAATAATTCAACACAGGGAATTATATATAAATATCGAATTCTCATAAATATACATTTAATCATTTTCACAATATATATATATATATATAATCAAGATTTTCTCTCTTGAATTTATATAATTATAAAGTCTATATATATATATATATATATATATACAGGTAAATTGAATATATTAATTTTAGAATTAAACAACAGTATTTAAAGATGTTATTCAATGAATAAAATACTTCTGCTTTTTATTAACAAAAAAAAAGAATTTGAAAAATTATGAAAATAAATAAATATTATCTTAATGAAATATACCTTTTGTTTTATTTTTTTCTACCTGTTACCGTTTTATAGGAATTCTTTTTTTTATTTATCCAATTTCCTTGCTTTCGTAAAATGTAAACAGTTAATAAATAATTTTTCTTATATAATAAATATGCAAATTATATAATTTATATGCATAATTATAATTTATATAATTTTGTAAAAAAATCGTTAAAATTATACCATTTTTTTTTAAAAAATTTAAAAATCAAAGCAGATAATTTTGAAAAAAAATTTATTCAATTTTAATTCAATACAAAAATGTATTTAAAAACAATTTTTTTTTAATAATTAATTTTATTTTATTATTTATTGAATAAAATATTTTTTCTTTAATAATTAATTTTATTTTATTATTTAGTAAATAAAATATATTTTCTTTAATAATTAATGTTATTTTATTATTTATTAAATAAAATATATTTTCTTCAATAATTAATTTTATTTTATTATTTATTAAATAAAATATATTTTCTTTAATAATTAATTTTGTTTTATTATTTAGTAAGTAAAATATTTATTGATGTTTATTATTTTTTTTTTTTTAATTTATTTTTTATTAATTTTTATTTATCAAAAAGTATTTTTATATATTTTCAATTTTTTGTAGAATAATGAAAAAAAATTTTGCTATTCAATAATTAAAAAATTGAAAATTAATATATTTGTAATATTTTGAAAAGTGAAGAAAATTGAGGGGGGTCGTTTAAAAAAGATTCTATTTTAGGATAAGTATATCGTTATATATGAGAGAAATCTTAGCATGGGGACTGAGAGAATAGATAAAGAGACATGGGTAAAAGCATTGTCTGCATTTTTCTCTCTTTCCATTTTCATGTGACAAAAACTGTTAAAATGAAACTTTTTACCCCTCAAATAAAGCAGCTTTTTATTATTATATTACTATTTTTTTTTTCTCTCTCAATGAACAAGATTTCACAAAATCTTTTCTACCCCAAGATCATTTATTTTGAAATTTTTTATTTTTCATTGTAAATTTTGAATTGCAAAAAAAAAATATAATTACATTTATTGTACATACATTCATTATAAATAGTAATTAAAAATGTGCTAATTGCATGTTTTATTATCTTTGTAATATGTTTTCCTGTAAATATATATTTTTTTTCTTTTGAAAATCTTAATGTTTTTTTCTCATACAATGTGGAATGTATTTAATAAAGTGTTAAATTAATAGAATTTTAAAATATTATTGAAAATTTTTCATATTTTATTGATAATTATTGTAATATTAATCATTTTTTTTTATTAATTACATTAAAATTAATTATATATAAATAATAATAATATATTATATATATTAATTATATATTAATTACACTATAAATTAATTATAATTCTCTAAATTTGAATTTGTGTAAACAATTTATGAAAATATTAATAAATTAGAAAAATAATTTTAATTAAAAATTTATGTAGCAAAAAATCAATCAATGGTAAATTAATTAACAATAATTTTTTTTAATGAATGTAATCCAATTAATAAAATAATAAAATAATAAAATATATTATATACTAGAATATATTTTATTATTTAAATAAATTATTTATAATATTTTTAATTTTATATAATAAATTTTTTTTTTATTTTTTTTCCTAAAATATATGATTTCAACAATTTTTTTTTTTTTTGTTAATTAACATAAATTGCCAAAAATTCCTTGTCTCCAAGGGTGGTTGATTTTATGACCTTAAATACAATCATCATCATTTGTTTTATATATATAAATTTATTTTTAAAAAAGTAGGTTAAATCGACAAAATATATTCTTGACATTGTAAATATTCATTTCTTTTGATTTCAAGTAAAAAAAAAAAAAATGTTTAAAGTACTGGTAATTGTTAACTAAGTTTGTTAAACAAAAATGCACATAAATTACCTAATATATTCCATTTCGTGAAAAAGAAAAAAAATTATCACTAAGATTACATTTATCGTTGGCAAAACTTCAATCTATTAACACACCAGTTGTTGGACGAGTGTAACGGACTCGAAGGTTACTTTATCAGCTGTGAACGCAAGGTGAATGGAATTTTTTTTTTTATTATTTTTTTTTAAGGGTAATTTTTATATCAAATTTTTAAAAATTATGTAGCGGAAAATAGTGGAATTTAATAAAAAAAAAATTTATTGATCTTTTTTTCATTTTTTTTTTTTTTTTTTTTTGAAAAAGTATTAGTAAAAATTTGTTTGATTTATTTTTATCTGAGATTAAAATCAGTAAATAACTTCTTAAGAAGCAGCAAGAAAAAATCTCTTAAACCGATCATTCTTTTATTTATTATTCGCACTTTGATAAATCTGTTTTATCGTCGTTTGAGAAAAAAAAAGTAATTGCTTTTCGAAGCAACTACGATGTAATATTGTTTATTAAGACATTTTTTTTTGTTTTTAAATAATTCAGAAGAAAACAACGTTTATTTGTTGATTTGGCAGAAAAAAAACAGTTTATTATTAATACGGAATATTTTTATATTATAATAAATAGGTAATTAAATTTCAATTTTATTTTTAAAAAAATTATTTTTAATTCGGCTTTTTTTATAATCCGTGAGAAAAATAAATATATTTGTACCAATGTTAATTTTTTTTTTTAAATAAAAAATTGTATTTACTACATAAATAAATAAATTAATTATTAATTAATTAATATATTATTTTATTAATTTATTAATTATTATTAAATTGATTAATAAATTAATTTATTAATTATTAATAAATTGATTAATAAATTAATTTATTAATTAGTAATATTACAAAAAAAAATTATTTTTATATTATAATAAATATGTAATTAAATTTTAATTTTATTTTTAAAAAATTATTTTTAATTCGGCTTTTTTATAATCCGTGAGAAAAAAATATATTTGTACCAATTTTAATTTTTTTTTTTAAAATAAAAAATTGTATTTACTACATAAATAAATAAATTAATTATTAATTAATTAATATATTATTTTTATTAATTTATTAATTATTATTAAATTGATTAATAAATTAATTTATTAATTATTAATAAATTGATTAGTAAATTAATTTATTAATTAGTAATATTACAAAAAAAATTATTTTTGCAATAAATAAATAATTATTTACCTCTGAGACAAATATATTTTTATTGAATTCAAAGAAATTAAAAAAAAATTTCTTATTTGTGTGAAAACAAGAGAAAAAGACAAATGACATTAAATAGAGTTTCCTCGACAAATGAAGATCAGGATTAATCGCAATTATAGTTTTTATTGTGTAAAGTTGGAAAAAGGAGAAATAGGATTTTTTTTTTTATTAAGAGAAAAACGAAAAAAAAAAAAATTGGGCTATGTGTTATAGAAAAAAGTAAGTCGAGTAGGAGTGGGCGGAGGGGGCCAAGTCGGTCAAGGGGTACAACCGGTCGAAGAATCAGGTACCGGTGGTCAATGGTGGAGACAGCAACATCCTTCGTATCATCATTATCATCAACCTCATCATCACCACCACCATCATCATCATCATCATCAAGGCAATTACTATACGTCCCAATCGCATTCTCACAACAATCCAGTTGCCACTATGAAGCAGTCTTATATGCAGGTTCGTTTCCTCTCTCTCAAAAAAAAAAAAAATGTCGTTTTTTCTTTTTGACGTTCATCATTTTTTTGTTTCCTTAATTTACACATTTCATGTTTCGTTGTCTCCTCAAAAAAAAAACCACTCGTTTCTATGAAAAAAATTAAATATTTTTCTCCAAGGTTAAATTTCAAAATATTTATTTAAATAAATTTAATATGAATTTTATTATAACAATTTTTTTCTATGCAAAAATATTTTATTTGCATCAAAGAAAATTTGTACAACCAAATTTAAAAATTAAAATTTTTATAAATTAATAAATGAATTATTTAAATAAATAATTTATTTATTAATTTATTTCAATCAATAAAATTTTTTTTATTTGAATTATAATATTTAGCTTTGAGAAAAATATTTTTTTTTTTATAATTTATATTTAATTCCAATTTCGTTGGTAAAAAAAAATTTTTTTCTGGTTGTATATCCTTATACACACTGGAACTTCTATTTAATTATAAATTTGGACTCGATATCAAAATAGGGAATTGGCATTTTTTTTTTTCGATAAATTTCCTCCTTCGTTCCATATTCGTATAGAAATTTCTTTTTTAGGTTGCTCTCAATCGAATATCTCTCGATAGAGGTTCCAGTGTATACTTATATTAGAACAAAAAATCTAGAATTCTCTATCAAAAATTTTCTCTCATTATATATTTTGATCAGATTTATTTTTACTGTGTATAAAAAAATGAAAAAAATAAAAAAAAAAATTTCTTTTTTCTTTCAGCTGACATGGGTTTTTCACGATGACGAGGCCCAAATTAATAAAAAACTGCCAAAGGAATTACTTCTCAGGTAAATAATAATAATTAATAATAATTTTTTTTTTCAATGAAAATAATTTTTTTCCAATAAAAATAATTTTTTTCAATAAAATTTTTTTGGCATTTTTTTCTAGAATTTTGTCGTACTTGGATGTGGTATCATTGTGCCGATGTGCCCAAGTGAGCAAGGCCTGGAATGTATTAGCTCTCGATGGATCTAACTGGCAAAGGATTGATCTGTTTGACTTTCAACGAGATGTAGAGGTAATTGAGGCCATTCGTAGGTTGAGCTAAATTTATTTCAATAATTGAATAATCAAATAAATCATTTTTTCCACAGTTACCACACAGTTTCATTTGTTATTATTATTTTTTTTTATTTTATGATTTATTTATTTTTTTTATTTTTTATTTTATGATTTTTTATTATTTATTTATTATTTTTATTACTATTAACAATTTCTATTTCTATTATAAACAATCAAATTTTCTTTAAAACTGATTATTATAATACAATTAATTATTATTATTATTAAAATATATAAATTGAAAAAAATATATATTAAAATATAAATTTTATAATATAAAATATATTAAAAATTCTATTATTATTATTTCCACTCGTAACAGAAATTATTTATCGTGATTAATTTTTTTTGGTCCAGAATTTTTCCTGATTTATGTGATTTTTTAATAATCATTTTTTTTGTATTCAATTTTTACTTATTGTAAATTTTTTAAATAGAAAATTTCTATCAATTTGTTTATTTTAAACAGCAATTTTTTTTTTTCGTAAATTTTTTGATTAATAAAAAAAAATCAAATTTTCTTGAAACTGATTATTATAATACAATTAATTATTATTATTATTAAAATATATAAATTGAAAAAACTATATATTAAAATATAAAATATAAATTTTCTAATATAAAATATATTAAAAATTCTATTATTATTATTTCCACTCATAACAGAAATTATTTATCGTGATTAATTTTTTTTGGTCCAGAATTTTTCCTGATTTATGTGATTTTTTAATAATCATTTTTTTTGTAGTCAATTTTTATTTATTGTAAATTTTTTAAATAGAAAATTTCTGTCAATTTTTTTTCTAAATAAATTCAAAAATTTCTAATTCATTTATTTTAAACAGCAAATTTTTTTATTCGTAAATTTTTTTTTTTCGCAGGGACCAGTTATAGAAAATATTTCAAGACGATGTGGAGGATTCTTACGGCAATTATCATTAAGGGGATGTCAAAGTATTGGAAATCTTTCAATGCGAACATTAGCTCAATCATGTCCAAATATTGAGGAACTTAATTTGAGTCAATGTAAAAAGATCTCTGACGCTACTTGCGGAGCATTAAGTAGTCATTGTCCAAAGCTCCAACGACTGAATCTGGATTCTTGTCCAGAGATAACCGATATCTCATTAAAAGATCTCTCAAAAGGTTGTCCACTTCTTACACACATTAATTTATCATGGTGTGAATTACTCACCGATAATGGTGTTGAGGCACTTGCAAGAGGTTGTCCTGAATTACGTAGCTTTTTAAGTAAAGGCTGCCGACAACTCACCGATAGGGCTGTCAAATGTTTAGCACGCTATTGTCCCAATCTTGAAGCAATTAATCTTCACGAATGCAGGGTATTTTTTTAAAATTAATATTTCAATTTTAATTTCATTAAAAAGAAAAAAAATGCCTCTTTAAAAATAAATTTTGATTTTATTTGAAAATAAATTTTTTTTTCAATTTTATTTGTGAAAAACTTGATTTGGAATGTGATAAAAAAAAATTTGAATAATTTTGTTTTGTTTCAATAGAATATAACCGACGACGCTGTAAGGGAATTAAGTGAACGATGTCCTCGTTTGCATTACGTTTGTATTTCAAATTGTACGAATCTAACGGATGCATCCTTAGTCACATTGGCACAACATTGTCCTCTTCTCAGTGTTTTGGAATGTGTTGCTTGCAATCATTTTACCGATGCAGGATTCCAAGCACTTGCCAGAGTACGTATATCGAAAAAAATTATTTTCCATTCTTATAAAAAAAAAAACAAAAAAAAAATTCTTTTCTAAATATTAAAACAATTTTCTAATTGAATTAAAAAAATGTCTATTTAATTTTTTCGAATTTTTCTTAATTGCAATTGCTTTTAATTTTTTACAAAAAAATTATACGAAGCTGAAGTACGTAAAGTTTATGATAAACGATTTATTAAGAAATAATTTTTTAAAATAAAAATTCTATAATTTTTTTTTGCTTAAAAAATATTTTTTTATAATTTGTTAATTAATGAAAACTTTAAGAAATATTTTTTAGGCAAAAAAATTAGAGAATTTTTCATTTTAAAAAATTTTTCCTTAAAATTCTTTTATCATAAACGTTACGTATACTTCAGATTCGTAAAATTATTTTTTAAAATTAAATCAATTTAAAAATTAAATTTTTTGGATAGACCATTGAGTCTAAATAAAATACTACTACTACTAATTATTAATTACGTAATTATTTTTTAAATGTTAAAACAAATTTTCTAATTGAATTCAAAAAAAAAATTTCCATTTCTGTTTAATTTTTTTCCAATTTTTCTTAATTGTTTTTTTTTAATTTTTTAGAAATTATTTTTTAATAAATATTTAAATGAATTAATTAAATTATTAATTATATTTAAATTTTTAATAAATCAATTTTACAAATTAAATTGAAAAAAAAAAATAATTTGCCATTTATTTAATAGAATTGCAGATTATTAGAAAAAATGGATTTAGAAGAATGTACTCTCATAACGGACACAACACTTATTCATTTGGCAATGGGTTGTCCAAGACTGGAGAAATTGGTAAGAAAAAATTCAATTTTTGTAAAAAAAATAATTTTTAATTAAAAAAAAAATTATTTTTTTATGTAAAAATAAAATTTCATCTAAATTGACAGAGTTTGTCGCATTGTGAGTTGATTACCGACGAGGGAATTCGGCAATTGGCTTTATCCCCTTGTGCTGCGGAACATCTCGCTGTCTTAGAATTGGATAACTGTCCACTCATCACAGATGCTAGCCTAGATCACCTTTTACAAGCATGTCACAATCTGGAACGTATAGAGCTTTATGACTGCCAATTAATCACTAGAAATGGCATACGCAGACTCAGGGTACGTTCGCACCTATTTTCCTCTTTGATTTCAAATTTTCTCTCATTTTTTCAAACATTTTTTTTTTATTTTTTTTTTTTCGTATTAATTTTTATTTTATTAATTCTTTTGTATTAATTTTGATTTTATTAATTCTTTAGTAATAATTTTTTGTATTTTTTGTATTTTTTGTATTAATTGTTTTTTTTCTTTCTTTTTTCTTTTTAGAATTAATTTTTCAAAATCCAATTTCGTAATAAATAATAATTTTATTTTAGACTCATCTACCGAATATAAAAGTCCACGCGTATTTTGCACCAGTGACACCGCCTCCGAGTGCTGGCGCCTCGCGGCAACGATATTGTCGATGTTGCGTTATTCTGTGATTTCCTTAAGGAAAAAAAAATGGATTGTAGTTCGTCCTGAATGACGCAAAAAAAAAATATAAAGGAAGCCACGGATTCGCAATTATCGTTGAATTGCAAATCGCAGAAAAATGGCAAGATTTGTCAACATGGTTCTGCTCACTGCCTCCCCAAAAATAGTGATTGCAGATCATATTTGTCATCATCTCATTGCTATAAAATGCGAATTTCTTTTATTCTCTCTTCGCAAAAACCACCCAGTGCAACGAGTATACAATCATCGTTTAAGAATATAAAGAAACACAAAAAAAACACCATCGAGGACATCACACCATCGCCACAAAAAATTTTTTGCAGCTATTTTATTATTTTATTATTAATATTAATTAGTTAATTATTATTAATACTATTTAATTTACACGAAAGATAAGTTCTTTCTTCTTTTTTTTTTTAAATACAGTTACTAGTTTTTACTAGTTGGGCGCAACTTCTCTATTAATTGGACTATTGTCCTGACAATAGGTGACAGTATTTTAATAACGTCTCTTGTCGCACAATGTTTTTTTTTCTTTTTTTTTTTTAATATAGCAAAGAAAAAAGGGAAATGTATTTTTACAGTATTACGATAAAAATAATATTGTAATCTGTCAAGTTATATTGTCCTTGCTGTGTGCTACTGGTGGTTCGTTAAAAAAAAAATGCATTTTAGTATTTTTGATCTTATTATATATTATATAATCTGAGGGTAGTCGATGTTTCTATCCTTAATGGACTGGATTTTAGATGTCCCACACAAAACGCTATAGCGTCTCCTTCTAAATGTCCGGACTAATATTTCATGACTAAAAATCACACACGGACTTTGGAGAGTTCAGACTGACAAACGAATCAAAGCGTTAAAAAAAAAAAAAAAAAAAAAAAAAAACTCGATTGATTATTTATCAGCATTAAAACGCTGATATTTTTATTCCTTAAGACTACATAGATACACATGTAAGAAAAAAAAAACAAAAAAAGTGAAACAAGATAACAATGACGAATTTACGAGATTTTCGTTATAATTCCAATTTCTCGAGAATTTATTTAACGTCAATGGAACTTGTAAAAGTTTGTGAGACTCATTTTTTTGAAGAGTATCTCAAAATTTTTAATCTTTTTTTTTCAATGATTGTAATTCGTTTTTTGAAATCTAAAATGCGACAGTTTTTATAATTAATTATTAACAGTTTTAATAATTAATTTTACTATTAACAATATAATTAATATTTTTTATTTTATTAATTTTTTTGTATATTATTATTAATTTTTAATTAATCAAAATATGACAATTTTAAGTAATAAGTAATTTGTCATATTAATTAATAAACTAAAAAGTTTAGAAGTCGCCGATAAATTTTCTCCTTCTCTTGAATTATATACAAAAAAAAAATATTTTTAATTTTTTGTTCAAGAGAATGTGGGAAAAAATCAGAAATTTGAAAAAGCGAATTTTTTCTTTAATAAATAAAGAGAATTAAAGGATCAGTTTTGATTACTCTTCAAAAATAATTGTCTGCATATATGCAGAGATATATTTATTCTCAACACAAAAAAAAAAATGATAAATGTTGAATTAAGACTGCGAAATGCTTGGCTTTTGAGAACTGAAACAGAATTCTCTAATTTGAGAAAGATATTTATTAATTTTTTTACGAGCAATAAAAATATTGCCCACTTATAAGTGTCGATATAAAAAAAAATATATTGGAACATTTAACCAAAAAAGAAAAGAAAAAAAATTACGATAATCGTAAATTAAAATTTGTAAGCTTTCTAAATGTTATAACGAATTTTTAATATATAACTTAAATTCTAAAAACATTATTGAAAATGCAAAAAACTTTTTTCTTATCAAGAAAAAGTTTTCAATTACAAAGATTCTTGAATTTGCATTTTTTTTTCTCTAATTTATCATTGAGAATTTAGAAAAATAAATTTTAGAAATTAAAAAGAAAAAGAATTCAACTGATAAAAATTATTTTATTATAAAAAATATACTCAAATGAACTAGTTTTAGTTTCAATTTTCCATTTGTGATAGATTCTCAAGTTCTGTGATGAAATTTTAAATTCTGGTTCATGAATTTTTTTTTAGAGAATTGAATGAATTCTTCTCAAATAAAAAAAAAATATTCCAAGAATCTTTAGTAAATAAATTCGTAAACGAATAATTCTCTAAATTATTGTAAGAATTGAGAAAAAAAAGTACTTTAGATAAATGTAAACTTGTAGATGATAGAAATTCTTTTTACGAAAAGAAATTCATTAATTGATAAAAAAAAAATGTCATTTAACAAAATTCTATTCTGGTTAATCAACACCAAGCAATTCAGAACCATAAACTGTTTTAATTCAACACCAAAATTACAAAAACTCGCAATATTCTACAAGTATAATAGGGAGGATTTAAATTTAAATTTTTTGATATTTCTTACGAGAATTTTTTAAATTTAACTCAAAAAGAATTCTCCTCTTTTGAAAAATTCTTTTTTAATTGAACTCAGAAAAACTTTTCTCATTGACTAATTATATAAATTTATAATTAATTGCAATAAAATCATGAATGGCATTTGTAATGTGACATGATTTTGATAAATTTTTTTTTTTTAATTTTAATGAAAGTGGGAAGAGAGAGAGAGAGAGAGAGTGATAGGAAAATTGTGTTATCCTCCCTATAAGTTATCATTCAAATAACGTGAGAAATCGAGCCAACGCAAAAATTGAGCGAAAAGATAAATAAATGCTCTTGTAGCGTAATCGTAACGCGTTAGGTTAAATTAAATGTCTCTGATTAAAAAAAAAAAAAGAAAAAATAAGAAAAAAGTAAAAAAAAAAAGTATCGGTTGCTAACCTTGGTAGCGTTTAAGAGAGTACCGCGTGTACGTACTCTGATAATTGTAGGGCATAAAAGAAAAAAATAAACGGATGGATAAAATATAATAGATATACAACACTTCATAAAAAAAAAAAAAATATAGATAAGATATGTTTTATACGCTGTATGTCGTCCTTAGAGGAATATGTGATCATTGTCAAGTGTCGTACGAAGTCAGATACATATATATGTATGTGTAATTTCAAAACGTACAATTATATCGGTCAAATCCTACAATTGCAGATAGGATTTCCGGTATTGCGTGCAATCTCCTTCTGTCAGTAACTTTTCTACTTTTCATTTTTCTATTTTTATCAGCTTTTTCTTTTATTTTTTTTTTCTTAATATTAATAAATTATATTATTATTAATAATTATTATTTAACTATTATAGTTTTAATTTTTAGTTATAATAATGATTATTATAAATAATTATTTTTTCCCTTTTTAATAATTATTTTTTATACTTTTTTTTTGGTAATTTAGAAAATTTTTCTGTTTATTTTGCTAATAATTTTTTTTTTGTTACTGATACCACACTCATTCCACTCTGGGAATGAGACCACAGTAGGTTCAAATAGACGCAACAATTAGGAGTGAATTTTTTTAAAATTAAAGATGTCGTATTTATGACATTAAAAAAGTTAAAATAATTTTGTAAATTTTTTTTTCTTGAAGAATTTTTTATAGGAAATAACTAATTTAAATAAAAATTTATTTTTATCTAGATATTGAATTTTTTCATGGTAATTTTTTGAATAATTTTCGAGAATTGACAATTTTAATGAATTTAAATATTTGCACAAAAAATATTTTTTTTTCTACCATTTATAGAAATTTTTACAATAAATAATAAGGCATAATTAATTGATATGTATTAATCAAACAAGTTTTTGATCCATGTTTGGATTTTTTATTACATATTCTTTGAAATATTTTTGTAAATCCAAGCCAAATTTTTCATTTATTTTTATCTAATAATAATTCTAATTGTGCAATTGCTTTTTTTTCTATTTCAAGTTTTGGATTTTTTAAGGAATCTTCTGTCTTTACTTTATTTTCATTTTTTAATTCTTCTTCTTCGAGTTTCTTTCTTAGAGCACAACTTTAGACAATGAAAATTGTCCCTTACTCGACTTTCAATTCTTTCTTGAATTTTATCTTTCAAGATTTCTTTTTTATTTCTCTCAATATGTTGCGCTTCTTCTATTAGTAGTTTTTTTTTTCTTGACGATGTATAAATTTTTTTCGGTTCTTTCGCTTTACTTTATTTCGAATTATTTAAAAAAAAAATTTTTTCCCCCTCAAATGTAAAATCAAATTATCATTATCTTTATTAAAAAAAAAATGTCATAATTACGACATCTTTCGAGTATCAAAAGTGTCATATATTTGAATATTTATTGTTGTTTTTTTTTCTGAAAAATAAATTCACCTTCTAATCTTTATTCACTGTGATTCGAAAAGCACAAATGAGAGAATTAAGAAGCTAATATACTATTTTTGAACTATACATAATTCAAAATTTGGTGGAAACGACAGAACCAGTTCTAGAACGAATCAATGTTTCTTCTAAATTTATCTAGGAAAGAAAAAAAGAAAAAAAAAAAAAAGAAAGCAAAATATATTTTTTACCCTCTCTCGAATTTGTTTTATATTTTGAATTCACAGTGAAGGAGATTTTAAAATGTGATTATTACAATTGCACTCATTTACAATACCAACTCAGGAATCAAAGTGAAAATATGCTAGGAATCAAGAGAGTTTTTTCTGTGAAATTCAAAGGTGCCCAAAAAAAAATTGAAACTTACAATATATTTTTCTGCAAAAAAATAAATATTTTCTTGGAAAAAACTCACGGGCATAAAATCCTTGGGATTTACATTATTTTTCTTACATTAAAAAAAGAGGTAGGATTTTTTTCTCTCTCTCTTTTTTTTGAAAAAAATGTATGAAATATTTTCTTATGAACTTTTTTTTTCTATTTAATTAAAAAATTTTTTTTTTTATTCCTCTCCGTTTTTAGAAATAGTCAAGTGTGGTAAATAAAGTGCAATTGTAAATCAGAAAAAAAAATGTTATTGACTTCAAAGTACGAGGACTCGTGAAAGGTTCCGTTTCAAGTATAAAAAAAAAAAAAAATGAAAAAAAAACAGAACCAGAAAAATTGTGATGATTGATGAAAATAAGAATATAAACAATAATATTTAATTAATCCATTTCGTCTGACTGTCATTATTAACGATTTCGACCACCGTCATTTTATTGATCACCGCTGCTCTATTAATGTGAAATCGTGTGAACGAATCGTTGAAAAAAAAAAAATAAATAAATAAATCGAATGATTGAGCAAGTGTTTGGCTGTGCAAGATGGTACCGTACGAACGTTAACAAAAAATATATATAAAAATATATATTATTATAAATCGGCGAAAGTATTCTGTATATATCTGTTTGTCATCATAAATTCGAAAGTCTCAGAGAGGCGTAAATTTCGACCAATTAATTAAAATGGCTGAAAAATAAAAAAAAATACACATACACACACTAATCACCTACGAAAAGAGATTTAGTTTCGATTTTTTTTTTTTTTCGAAAAACAACTCGGCCTATTTGAGCAAAAAATAATTTGAGCTTAATATGCGCTTCTTTGAAATGATCAAACAGATATTTATTTTCAGATACTTGTAGCTGATTACATACATAGATCGACATTTCGCTGCTTCGATAAGCTGCAGTTTACCATGTATATATTTTCATCAATGTATGTACAATAAAAATATATTCGAGACAAATTAACATGATTTTAATTTTTTCCAATATTAATTTTTTTATTTTCAATTTATTTTCAATTTATTTTCAATTTATTTTCAATTTATTTACTTTCATTCAAATTGAAAAATTTTTCTCACCTTTTTCGATTATAATAATTATTCATATTTTGTATTTTTTTTCGAAATTGTAATAATTTTCCAATTTGAGTGTTAAAAAAAAGTTCAAGAGTTCCCGCCAGTTTTTTTTTAAATTGCATCTGCGCGGGATAATAATGATCAATTGCGCATGCTCAATAGGCACTGTTTTGTTTTGATAGTTCTAACAGTGAATACTCCAATAAATATAAATAAAATATTTAAACAATAAAAATTAATACATGTTACATAAAAGTATTTAATGCAAAAAAGTTTTATTTCAAATTTATATTAATTTGACAGTTTGACAGTATTTATTTTTAATTTCTTATCTGGTAAGTATTTATAAATCTTTAACCTATAAGTGAACTATAAAATATTAATTTAAAAAAAAACACTTTTTATATTTTATACAAAAAACCCTTTAATTAATTTACCTAGAAAAATTGTTTCTTTAAATTTGTTTTTTTTCAGAATTAAAATAAAGGGTGTGAAAAAAAGTCAATGTCCGACATAACCTCAAAAAAATAGAATACAATAGAATAAAATGAGTAAATATAGTAAAAGAAAATCTTCAAGCGATGATAGTGATAGTGAAGAGGAAAGACGAAAAGTAGATATCAAAGAAAGAGATGAATTTGCTAAACGTCTTAAAGAAAAAGATGAAAGTAAAGTGCGAAAAATTGCTGTACCGGCTGGTTCTGGAGCAGGTATTTTATTTTTATGTAGAAAAATTTATATATTTTTAATTATATAAATTTTATTTTGTTTTTTTTTTTAAATAATTAAATTGCAGTCGAAGCAGCAAAAAGACTCAAACTTATGGACGATGTTGCCAGAGAGGATCTCATTCCAAAACTTCGAGTTGAATCACGTAGAATGTATTTGGCTAAAAGAAAAGAGGACAAAGTACAAGAATTAGAAGCCGATATTGTAGACGATGAATATTTATTCGACGAGGGAATGTATGTATTTTATTTTATAATTCTCTAAGAGGAATTTTAAAAATTTTATGTTAAAAAATAAATTTTTTTTTTTTTAGTTTAACAGAAGCGGAAAAAAGGGACAGAGCTCATAAAAAGCAAGTTCTTCAATTGGCCAAAGAACATGAAAAAGCGAGAGAATTAGAGAGAATACAACGTTATCGAATGCCACTTCAAGATGGAAAAATTGAACCCGAACAAGATATTACTGAAAATGAACCACCACAATCGGAACAAAGTAAATGGGAATCCGATCAAATGTCATCAGCTGTTTTTAAATTTGGCGCTAAGGACAAGAAAGGTATTTCTAAATTTTCCTTTTTTTGTTTGGAAAATTCACTGTATTACTAAAAGATTTTATTTTTTCACAGCACAACAAGAATATGAATTATTATTGGACGATGAAATTGAATTTGTTCAAGCATTACAAATGCCTGGAATTGTTAAAGATAAGAAAAAAGAATCGAGCCAAACACCACAAGCAAAAGTTTTGACTACAATTGAAGAAACACAAAAGAGTTTACCTATTTATCCATTTAAAAAAGATTTAATTGCCGCTATCAGAGATCATCAGGTAGATACAATATTTTAATTTTAGATTTTGGAATATAATAATTGAAAAAAAAATTATCTTAATAGGTTCTTATTATTGAAGGAGAAACAGGATCTGGAAAAACAACACAAATTCCACAATATCTTTATGAGGCGGGTTATACTGATGGGGATAAAATAATTGGATGTACTCAGGTGAGAAATTGAAAAAATAATAATTTTTTTCATAAAGTATTTTTTGTTTATTTTTAATTTTAGCCTAGAAGAGTAGCAGCAATGTCAGTCGCTGCTCGTGTGGCACACGAAATGGCCGTGAAATTAGGAAACGAAGTTGGTTATGCAATTCGTTTTGAAGATTGTACATCACAACGAACACGAATTAAATACATGACTGATGGTACATTGCATAGGGAATTTTTAAGTGAACCTGATTTAGCCTCTTATAGGTATTGTAAAATTAAATTATTAATTTATAGAAAAATTTAATTTACAAAAAAAAATTAATTTTCTTTTTTCTCCATCAGTGTTATGATTATTGACGAAGCTCATGAACGAACTCTACACACGGATATTTTATTTGGCCTCGTGAAAGATATTACAAAATTTCGTAGCGATTTAAAATTACTTATTTCATCAGCCACATTGGATGCAACAAAATTCAGTGAATTTTTTGATGATGCTCCTATATTTCGTATACCCGGACGTAGATTTCCAGTTGATATTTATTATACAAAAGCGCCAGAGGCTGATTATATTGACGCTTGTGTGGTGTCAATTCTTCAAATTCATGCAACACAACCACATGGTGATATTCTTGTTTTTCTAACAGGACAAGATGAAATTGAAACATGTCAAGAAATGCTACAAGAAAGAGTACGACGACTTGGTTCAAAATTATCAGAATTAATAATATTACCAGTTTATGCAAATTTACCAAGTGATATGCAAGCGAGAATATTTATGCCAACACCAATTGGTGCAAGAAAAGTTGTACTCGCTACAAATATTGCCGAGACATCATTGACAATTGATAATATTGTTTATGTCATTGATCCTGGTTTTGCTAAACAAAATAATTTTAATTCACGAACGGGAATGGAAAGTTTAATGGTAGTGCCAATAAGTAAAGCATCGGCTAATCAACGTGCTGGTCGTGCAGGACGTGTTGCACCGGGTAAATGTTTTCGTCTCTATACAGCTTGGGCCTATAAACATGAATTGGAAGACAATACTGTGCCGGAAATTCAGAGAATTAATCTTGGTAATTTTTTTTTTTTTCGAAAAACTGAAATTTTTGTGGAATATTTTTGTAAATTTTTAAATTTTCAGGTAACGCTGTCTTAACGTTAAAAGCCCTTGGCATCAATGATTTGGTACATTTTGATTTTTTGGATCCACCACCACATGAGACATTGGTATTGGCACTTGAGCAACTTTATGCCCTTGGGGCATTAAATCATCATGGGGAATTAACGAAACTTGGTCGTAGAATGGCTGAATTTCCACTCGATCCAATGATGGCAAAAATGTTAATTGCAAGTGAAAAATATCGTTGCTCAGAAGAAATAGCAACAATTGCTGCAATGCTATCGGTTAATGGTGCTATTTTCTATAGACCTAAGGATAAATTAATTCATGCAGATACGGCTAGAAAAAATTTTCACGTACCTGGCGGTGATCATCTTACATTACTCAATGTATACAATCAATGGCAACAATGTGACTTTAGTACTCATTGGTGTTATGAAAATTTTATTCAACATCGGTAAATAATTTACCATTATTTTATTTTTAAAATAAAAAATATAGAAATTTCTAAATGTAGATTAATTTTTTTTTTTTAATTATAGATCAATGAAGAGGGCACGTGATGTAAGAGATCAATTAGTTGGTTTGATGCAACGAGTCGAAATGGATCTTGTGTCAGGAATTACCGAGACTATTAACATAAGAAAAGTAAATTATTATTTTAAATTTATATTTTGAAAATGAATTTTTTTTGAATTTAATTGTTTATAAAAATTTCGTTAATTTGTTTACAATTTTTTTTTCTTTAAACTATAGGCAATTACGGCGGGATATTTCTATCATGTTGCAAGATTATCAAAAGGGGGAAATTACAAAACTGCAAAGCATAATCAAACAGTTTCGATTCATCCGAATAGTTCACTATTTCAAGAATTACCACGTTGGCTACTGTATCATGAATTAGTGTTCACTACAAAAGAATTTATGCGTCAGGTATTTGACCCCTTTTTTTTAATATTATCCATTAGATATATTTATTATAAAGAAAAATGTTGTATTGGTAAATTTATTTTTTTTACAGGTTACTGAAATTGAAAGTAAATGGCTTTTAGAAGTCGCGCCTCATTATTACAAACCGAAGGAACTTGAAGATTCAACAAATAAAAAAATGCCCAAGGAAATAGGACGTTCGGGTCCTGATGGAACAAACTAAACTTTAGTAATTAATACAGATTTTATGTATTTATTGTACAGACCAAATTATGATAAGTATGTAGTAATTTAAATTTGATTTTTCTTTTTTTATTAAAAGAAACATAAATTTTTCATAATTTTTAAACTGTTTTATTTTTATTTTTTATATCCTATTTTCTTATATAGTAAAAAAGTTAGGGAAATTGTTTCTCAAGTACATTGTCTTTTTCAAGTCACATTTTGCCTTAAATAAATTATGTATGATAAATAATTATGCAAATTGTCCTTAGAAATAATTCAATACAATTCTAATGGTTTTCACATTATTTTATTTCATATTTCAATTCGCTTGTATTATATCGATATACAGAAATATGAAAAGTTATATTATAGTTTCGCGTTCAATGGAAATTATTAATGACATCATTTGAAAAGGGTGACTTTACTTCGTTGAAAAATTAATTTAAAATTTATAAAAACGAAATGAAGGATGAAAACTTTCTACAAAATTATCTCTTTCATTTGAAGAAAATTTTCTAACATTTATATCAGTCATCTTTCGACCATCTTTACAAATTTATTAAAATATTTTACATAATGCTCTTTTCTGACAATTATTCCAATAATTTATTAGAGAAATATAAACAAAATAGCTTACATTCGTTCTGTAAGTGATATTAACAATAATTTTATTTTTTTAAATTCTCGGAAAATAGAAATATTTTAATAAAATAATTTCTCAAGTTATTAAAAAAAAAAAAATGTTAAAAAAAAAATAATTTATTAAATTAGAATATTTTAAAAGAATAAAAATTTACAATATTTTTACAGTGAATCGAGATAATTAAAGCATATTTTGAAATAGTTGGAATTTCTTTTTGTTTCGCTTTTTTTTTTGTCGGAAAAATGTATCGAGCGGATATTTCTCTTGTTATTTTAAAATATTGCGGTATATGGAGACCAAAATTTTTTTTAAAAGGAGCACAATTATTGTACAATATTTTTAGTATTATTATGGTGATTAATGTTTATATTTTTACAATTTCAACATTACTCTATTTATTTTTATCGAATCCAAATTTAGAGGATTTCACTGAAAGTTTATTTTATGTACTTGCTTTATGTACAGCATGTGTTAAAATAGCAATTGTTTTATTTAAACATAATGAAATAATAGAATTGCGAAATATGCTTCTCGACAAAAAATTATATCCACAAGATAAAATTGAATATAATATTCAAAACAAGTTTGACAAAATTGGAAGGTATCAAAAAAAAAAATTTTTATCTTTTCATTCAATTAAAATTATTAATAATCTATTTAATAATTTTTTTTTCTATATAAAAAAATTGAAAATTTGAAAAAAGTGATTTTTTCTAATAGAGTAGTGACAATTTTTTTTTTTTTTGTTTTCTATTTTCTATACTTTTTTTTATAATGAAAATTGTAAATTTTTATCATTTCCGTAGGAAAATTACTATTATCTTTTTAGCTTTTGCTTCAGTAACAATAATACTTAAAGCAACAGCACCATTGACAAAAGGTTCAAGCGCAATATTACCATATAAAGCATGGACACCTTATAATCTTGAGAATAGAATAATTTTTTGGTTAACGTATATAATTCAAGCAATAGGATCAACAACAGCTGGTCATATAACAATAGCAGTTGATACATTTATAATGGCAATGATGATTGAACTTTGTGCACAATTGGAAATTTTAATGTATCGTATGAAAAAATATCCTGAATTTTGTATGAAGACAAAAATTTACAATGATGGACAACAAAAGCAAAAAATTATACTTGGAATGTGGATTCAACATCACGAGTCAATTTATCGGTAAGAAAAAGAAAAAAATGATTATTATTATTTAAAGTAAAAAATTTTAATTTTTTTTTAGTTTTGGAAATAATTTAAACAATATATACAATTTGGCTTTTTTTTGTCAATTATGTGCAAGTACAATTGATGTATGCACAAGTACATATTTATTAACAACAGCAAATGTAACGACAACAAAATATTGGACAATGGTTTTTTCCTTAAGTGGAATTATGCTTCAAATTTGTCTATATTGTTGGCCAGGAAATGTTGTCATGGAAAAAGTAAATATTTCTAATTATTTAAAAAAATTTTTTTTTTCAGAAATGTATTTAATTTTTAATATAATAATTAAATAAAAATAAAAAATATGATTTTTAGAGCAAAGCAATTGGATATGCAGTTTATAGTACAGATTGGATTTTATTGCCAAGTAGCATAAGAGTAAATCTCGTTCATATAATAAGAAGATCAGAAAAACCAATTAAATTTACAGCGGTAAAAATTTTTCCCATGACCATTGAAACATTCACGTCTGTTAGTATTTCTATTTTTTATTTATAAGAAATTTTGTTTATAACAAAATTTTAATTTATAGAGAGATTATTTATACAGAAATTTTTGTTTCAGATTCTGAGAATGTCTTTTTCAATATATAATTTTTTGATGCAATCCTCGTAGTGAAAAAAATTTTTAATTTTTTCCTCGCACAAATAATCATTGAAAAAAAATCGTCAGCACTATGGATTTTTTTTGTGAAAATTTACAAAATCACAAATTATTTTTTTCATTATTTTTCTACATATTTTCATATTAACTATTTATAATAATTATAATTATTCTAATTATAATATTTTTTAAAATGAATTAATAAAAAATTATATATTAAAAATTAATTATGAAAAATTAGTTAATTAAATAAAATTTGTAATGCAATATTTTTTTGATAAGACTGTAAACACTTTTAAAGTTAAAAATAATTTTTAAGAAGAAAATACTTTTTTTTAACACATTGAGAGTAATTACATTTTTTTAAAATAAAAATATTGTTCGTTCGGACTATTTTAGAATTTGCTTTTAAGAGCGCAAGTCAATCCCTCCCCTTTTTAACTAATTATAATTTAATAATTCTCAATTGTATATAATTAACTACATATATGACGGGGTATAATTATAATAAGCCTTCTCATTATAAATGACAAGTGCGGAAGTTATTAAATCCACGTTGGATGAAATTAAATAATTTACAATCGAAGATAAAATACAAACCCTTCATTATAAATAAAATCAAGTCGTGGTTGTAAATTAAAATAATACTCGCCTTATAAAAATTATTATTATTTTCGATAATTATTTTTACAATTGTTTTTCAAACATATATTGGTATAATTATTTTATTAAATGAAAAATTAAAAACAAAATTATTTAATTTTTATTTTAAAAAATTGTTATTTATAAAATTATTTTAAAACAAAAATTATTTTCATGATACATTTTTTATTTATTGTTCGTATATAGTTAAAAAAAAAAAATTATATTGAAAAATGTATGGAGCTGAAATTTCATTTAAAATATTTACAATATTTGGCATATGGAGACCAATTAATTGGTCATCATTGATTGCAGTGTCAATTTATAATATTTTTACATTATCTATTATAATGCTCGTTTATTCATTGGATATTTCATTGTTCACATATCTAATAAAACATTCGTTAAATGATATTGAAAAATTTGCCGAGAGTTCATTTTGGTTTCTTGCAATATTTATTGTTTGTGTAAAAATTGCCAATATTTTATTACGACGAAATGATATTATAAATTTAACACAAATGTTGAATAGTGATTGGTTTCGTCCACGTGATAATATTGAATATTCAATACAGAAGAATTTTGATTATACGGGTAGGTGAGTAATTTAATTTTTCAATTTTATATTTTATTTTAATATCATAAATTTCAATTTTTCACATTTTTTCTAATTTGTAAAATATTTTAATTTAATTTTCTTTTTTTTTTGCTTTTTACAGAAGAAATACAATTTGTTTTTTGATTTTGGCTCTTTCAACATCATTAACAATGAATTTGGGAGAATTAACAAAGGGAATAAAGGGACAAAATGTTTCATTGCCATTTAAAGTTTCTTTGCCATATGATAGTGATTCTTTATTTTGGTTGACATATATAACACAAATAATTGGTTTAACAGCAGCAAGTTGTGTCAATGTTGCAACTGAAACTTTTATCACAATCATGATGCTACAGGCATGTTCCCAATTGAGGATAATTAGTTATCGTCTTGAAAAATTACCTCAATTACACAAAAATAATAATTATTATAACAATTATAATATCAATAATAATAAAAATAATAATATTAATGATAATGATAATGATAACAACAACAATAATAATAATAACAATAATAATAATAATAATATTAATGATAATAATAATAATAAAAATAATAATTTTTATTTAAATTACAATAATAATCGAAATCAAAATTTATGCTCCGTTGGAATTAATGAATCAAGAATTCTGAAAGAATGTATAAGGCATCATAATTATCTATATTTGTAAGATATATATATAAATTTAGAAAAAAAAATTTCAAATTAAAATAAGTAAAAAAAAATTGTGCGAATGAATTAAAAAATAATTTTTTTTTTTTGCAAAACTATTTTTCTATTATTTGTATTAAATTTTTTTGATTGTTAATTAAAAAATATATTTTTTGTATATTATATATCTAACATAAAATTTATAGATTCTGCGAAAAATTGAATGATATTTTTAGTTTTATGCTTCTTATTCAATTTGGTGGAACCATTGTCGATATATGTACAAATATATATAAATTATCAAAAGTAAATATAATTAATGCACAAACATTAGTTGAAGTTATATTGTTACCAAGTATATTAGTGCAAATTTACATGTATTCCTATTATGGCAATGAACTAAAGCTAAAAGTAAGAATTCTTTTTTTTGTTTATAGAATTTTTTTTAATTTCTATTTTCATTTTTTTCATTAATTTTTATTCTTTAATTGCCAATAATTTTTTCTTGCAAAAATATTAATTTATATTAATTTATATTAATGATAATAATAAGTTGAGAATTTTCAGATAAGTAAAATTGGAAAAAAAAATTAATAAACTTTTTAAATCGTAATATTGAGAGAAACAAAATTTTGTTTTGCAAAATAATTAACATTGATAGAAAAAAAAATTTTTGTTTTGCAAAATAATTAATATTGACAGAAATAAAATATTTCCTGCGAAATTTTTACAGAAATTATTTTTTGAAAAATAATTAATTTTTATGGAAAAAATTTTTTTTTTTTAATAAATAATTTGCAAAATAAAAAATATTCTAATAGGGTTTAATTTGTAGAGTTTGGAAGTGGCTGAACATGCTTATATGATAGAGTGGACTGCATTGACAAATAAAACAAAAAAAGGTCTTTTATTAATAATTGCACGTGCTAGAAGACCAATAATAATATCTGGTGGTTCAATGATAGCCATGTCACTTGATACTTTTGTTAATGTAAGTTTAATTTTATATTGAAATAATTAATAATTATAAATTTTTTTATTTTTTCTACCATCTTCAGATTTTACGTACCTCATACATGGCATTTAATATATTGAAAACTTCCTCAGCATAATTTTTCCAAAATAATTCAAATTAACAGAAAAAAAAAAGATAAGTTGACATTACTTTTTTTTATTATCATTTTATTTTTTACTATAATTATAATTATTTACTATTTATTACTAATTATATATACTAAATAATTATTTTCAATTTAAAATATTTTGATGCGTAGAAAATAATGTAGAAAAAAAATTTATTAAATTTTAAATAAAATTATGAAAATTAAAAAAATGAAAATTCATTTTTTTTTTAAATTATAGTAAAATACAAATTTTGTTGCTGACATTTTTTTTTCGATAGTGAAGTTAATTGAAAATAAAATGTATTATGAGAAAATAGAAAGACCTTTTGTGATATATTAAATAAAATAAAGGGGATAAAATGAAGGGTTGAAAATGAGACTATAATGTGATAGATATTAAAGAAATATAAATAATTTATAAAGGCACTAAAGAGTAAAATTGAAAATGCGACGTTATTATCTCATATAATAGAATTTTATTCATGTTCATAGTAACTTATTATTATCCCTCGTTTTATATATACGAAAGGGTGAAATTGAAAATTATATTCTCAAAGAGTTATAAGTTCTCAAAATTTTTAATAACAGTCTTGAACAAATCTTTCATCACTAAAGTCTAACTTCTACTATTCGTAACATTGAAATTAATTTTCCAAAAAGAAATATATTTTTAGCAAAAAAAAAAAAAAATTTAATTTTACAAAAAAAAAATTACTGAAATAAAATCTGCTATTAAAAAAAATATTATTAAATATGTTTAATATTTAAAATAAAAATAAGAAATGATGTGCACTAGAGAATGAATGTGAATTTTTTTTTTTTTTTTTTTTTTTTTTTTTATAGAAAATGTATAAAGCAGAAATTTCGATAAAACTTTTTACAATTGCCGGTGCTTGGAGGCCAAATAATTGGTCATTTTATATTGCAGTGATTTTTTATAATTTTTTTACAATTTTTGCAATTTTTCTTTTTTATTCTTTTGAAATTTCATTATTTATGTATCTTATTCTTCATACTTTAAATGATATTGATGAATTTGCCGAAGCATTATGTTGGTTTATTTCAACATTTGTTGTTTGTGTAAAAATGACAAATATAATATTACGACAAAATGATATTAGAAAATTAATAAAAATTTTAGATAAAAATTCTTTTCAACCACGTGACAATATTGAAAAAATAATGCAAGATAAAGTTGATTTTTTAGCAAGGTTTGTATTTTATATGAAAAAAAAAATTTGTTTCAAATAAATATTTACTTGAACCAATTTCTTTTTTTTTTTAATAATTATTGTTTAAAAAGAAAATAATAATAATAATAAAAATATTAATATTAGTATTTTTATTTTTTATTTTTTTTTTTAGTATTTTTTTTATTAGTATTTAGAAATATTAAATTAAAGAAAATTTTTTGGTACAAAAAAAAAATTAATATTTAAAATTTTTCTTTTCTATTAGAAAATATACGAAATATTTTTTTATTATTATTCTCACTACAATAGTAGTAGTGACATTTGGTGGATTAACGAAGGGAAAAAATATTACTTTGCCATTTAAAGCATCATATCCATATGATTATAATAATTGTTCATCAAAATTTTGGCTATCATATATTAGTCAATGTTTAAGTGTTTATTGTGGTGGTTTAGTGACTATTGGATTTGAAACATTTATTATGGTGTTGATAATTCAAATTTGTTCTCAATTAGATATTATTTATCATCGTCTTCAAACTTTACCATATTTGAATAAAAATAATATGTCTAATGAAACAAAAGAAGCTAAAATTATAAAAGAATGTGTATTACATCATAATTATATTTACACGTATGATTTTCATTAATTCAATTATTTATTTATTAAGTTGACGGGAATAATATATAATTTAAAATTTATTATAAATAAAATTAATTTTTTTTTAACATTTATTTAAATAATTGAATTTTATTTTTTAATACGAATTCAAAATATTAAAATTTTCTTTTTCTTATGAATTTATTATTTATTTAAATAATCGAAATTTTTTGCAATAAATAAAAATTTTCGTTTTCTTGATTTATTATTTTTTTTTTTCTACGATTTAGTATTGTCGAAAAATTTAATATGAAATAAATAAAAAAAAAAATATTTTATAATAAAATAAAAATATAAAAAGTTTTTTGTTTTCAATTTTCAGGCTTAGTGAGAAATTAAATGATATTTTTAGTATTGTATTTGGTGTTCAATTTGTTGGATCAATTGTTAATATTTGTACACTTGTTTATAGTTTAACATCAAGAAATGAATTGAATGATAAATTTTTTGCTCATGCTTTATTGTTACAAAGTATGTTATTTCAAATATATATCTATTGTTACGCGGGAAATGAAGTAATGTTAAAAGTATGTATTTATGAAAAAAAGAAAATTAAATTTTTTTTCAGGTAAAAAAATTGTTTGCAGCATAAATTAAATTTTTTTTATATATAATTGTTAATGTTTGTTTTAATTTTTTGTTTTCAAAATTAGAGCTTAAAAGTAGCAGATATTATCGATATTGTAGATTGGACAATGCTAGCAAGAAAAACAAAAGAGGGTCTTCTTTTAATTGCAGTGCGATCAAAAAAACCAATTATTATTTCAGGTGGTCCTATGATTTCAATGACACTCACCACATTTGTCACGGTATAATTTTTTTTTTCAAATTAAATTAATTAATTTGCAATTATTATATTTTGAATTAATATAAATAAAATAAATTAAAATTAAATAATTAATAGATATAAAAATTAATATACTTTTTATTTTTATTTGTTGAAATAAATAAATATTGAAAAAAATGTTTATTTATTGAAATAAATCTAAGTAAGAATTAAAAAAAATGTTTTTTTCAAAAAATATAAAATTAATAAAAATATTTATTGTTAATAGATTTTGAGAACATCATACGCTGCCTATAACTTACTTGAAAGTTCACATGCATAGGAAAAAAAAAAATGCACAAATATTTTATTAAAAAAAAAATAATAATGTAATTTAATTAAAAATTTATTTTAATTTAATAACAGTTTTATTATTTTAATTAAATTATTTAATTTACATGAAAATTTTTTCGAGTTTCAAAATACTTTTGGAGAAAAAAAAAATATATATGTTACATTTCACATTCGAAATTTCTGACTTCTTTACAGTAAAACGATGACACTTAATTTATGCACCGTGAATGAAATGGGGAGAGAAAATATATCTCTTTTGTTACAATTTTACATATGCAAATCACTATTAGAAATTATTCAAGAATTATATCGATAAATTTTCATATTATGTGAAAAAATTTAATAACTTGGAATAAATTCTTTGAAATAAAATTGAAAATAATATCGCGATACTTTGTTGGAATTAAATTATTAATAAAAAGGGAGATATAGGACGACAAAAACAATGGGAGATAGAAGTAAATGAAAGTCAATTTCGATATAAATATATGTCTTTATATAATCTACTAAGCCTTTGAGTATTATGAAAAAAAATTTTCAGAAAAATTTGCAAAAATTTTTTTTAAAAATTTAATTTTTTTTTTGTACGATTAGAATTTGTTTTTGTGATTAAAATGTATAAAGCAGAACTTTCACTTATGGTTCTTCAATTTATTGGTTGTTGGCAACCAAAATTTCCCTCACAATGTGTTTATATTTTATATAATATTTATTGTTGTTTTATGATATTTGTTATTTATTTTTTTACATTTACCACAATTATGTATTTATTTCGTTACAATTACAATTTAGAAGAGTTTACAGAAAATTTTTTCTTTTCACTTGCATTACTTTGCGCAACAATTAAAATTGGAAATTTATTAATTAAACGTAATAAAATTATTGAATTAATTGAAATGTTAATTGATGAAAGATTCAATCCACAAGATTATATTGAATTTCAAATTCAAAATAAATTCGACAAAATTTCCAGGTACTTATTATTTTTTATTTATTTATAAAAAAATTTATAAATTATATTTTTTTATATTTATTATATAAATATATTTATAAATTCTAATTATTATTTTATTTAAATTATAAATTATTTTTTCTCATTCCAAAAAAAGGAGAAATTTTTTTTTTATGATTTTTTAAAAATATTAAAATTTTTTTTTTTTTTTTTGATTAGAAATGGAACAATAATGTTTCTTGTATTGGGTGGTACGACAATAATTTTAAAAGCAACGGGACCATTGATTAATGATAACAATAAAATGTTACCTTATAAAGCATGGATGCCTGATAAATTTGAAGAAAATTTATCATTTTCGATGATATATGGACTTCAAGCTATTGGTTCATTTGGTGCTGGACAGGCATCAATAGCTATTGATACATTTGCAATGACAATGATGTTGCAACTTTGTTCACAATTGGAAATATTAATGCATCGTATTAAAAAATATCCTTATCATACATTGGAAAGAAAGATTTACAATAATTTTTCACAAAGAGAAAAAAATATTGGCATTTGGGTACAACATCATCAAACCATGTTTATGTAAGTGTAAAGTTTATTTTTTACGATATCCAATTGTTTTGTGGTCCACCATCTGAAACCAAAAAAAAAAAAAATAACATTAATTAATTATTTTTAAATAAAAAAAATTTATAAACAATATATTTTTTTCAATTATTTCACAAAAAAGTAAATGAAAAATAGTTGAAAATTTAGGGCATTTAATTATTTAATTTAAATATTTTCAAAACATTAATTAAAAAAAAAAAAAAAAAAAAAAAAAAAATTATGAAAAAAATACAAATAGGATTTTAATCAAAAAATTCGTTTTATTTAAGAATTAAAAATATTATTATTATTGTTTTTATTTTTATTATTTTATTTTGATTTTTATTATTTTTTATTAACTATTAATAATATTATTATTAAATTGCAATGCAGATTTGGAGAAAAATTAAACGACATTTATTGGTTTGTATTTCTCTTTCAAGTTTTGGTAACAACAGCGGATGTTTGTACAAGTTCTTATTTATTGGCAACAATAAAAGTAACTTCTGAACAATATTGGACAATGATTTTTTCACTAATGAGCATTCTATTTCAAATATCAATATATTGTTGGCATGGAAGTATGGTAATCGAAAAGGTAATGAAATTTTTAATTTTATCACACTAAAATGCAAAATATAAAACAAAAAAATTATTTTCCTTTTTAATGTAAATTTTTTTTTAAATTTTTTAATCTCCTTTGAAATTAAAAAAAAAAAAAAAAAAAAAATTTCAATAGAGCAAAGATATTGGCAATGCAGTATACATGTCAAATTGGATTCTATTGTCAAATAATTCGAGAGAAAATTTAATACAAATAATTAGACGTTCTACAAAACCAATAATTTTGAATGCCGGATGGTTTGCTCCAATGTCTATTGAAACTTTTTCAACGGTTTGTTATAAATTTATAATTTATGATTCATAATTTACAATTTACAATTTACAATTTACAATTTACAATTTACAATTTACAATTTACAATTTACATTTTACAATTTACAATTTAAAATTTACAATTTTGAATTTACAATTTACAATTTTTAATTTATAATTTATAATTTATAATTTATAATTTATAATTTATAATTTATAATTTATAATTTATAATTTACATTTTGCAAATTAAAATTTTTTATTTGTTATTTATAATATTATATAAAAATTATATTTTTTGATGAATTTAAAATTTTTTTATTTATTTATTTATTGAAAATATAAATTAAATATATAAAATATATAAATTAATTAATTAATTTTTTTTACATTTTAGATACTTCGACTTTCATATTCAGTCTACAGTTTATTAATTTAAGGAAAAAATTAAAAAAAAAAAAACAAAATTTGTAAATGAAAATTAATTTTTAAAATAAGAGAAAAATTTGTTTTATACATAAAAATAAAAAAAAAAATTGCATGTGAGCTCCTGTAGCTTTAAGTAAACTCCGATTACTATTTTGTGGGACAAAGGACAATTTTTTTTTTTCATTCAGCGCAAGTCTCGTTAAATATTTGATATCGTCAATTTATACGCACATTATATAAATCCTCTGTTATCTATTTTTTTTCTTCCAAGAATATAGAAGAAAATTATTATTTATATTAAAATAATGCCTAGAAAAAAAAGGTTTAACATATTTTTGTACTTCTCTTTATATAAGTCACGCAAAAAAAAAAATAAATTACTGTTTTGCAACATTTTACGAGACTGAAATATATGCAAATTATCCCAACTATGTATAGGTCACAATTCTTTATATACATATTTATTACAATTGAAAGAGAAAAAAAAAAAAAAATAAAAATCAATTTGAAATAATATACTCAAGATAAAACGTTTTCAAAATAATATTTTGAATTATTAAACAGAGTTGCTTGTAATAGATTCTTATATTTTACTCTCATTTTACAAATTCAACGGGAATTATTAACTAATTTTTTTTTTTTTTCTTTTTTAGAGTAGAGATGATAAAAATTATTTTCCAACAGTATAAAAAAAATCCCTGAGAGATTAAAAAACCCTACAAAGATTATAAATAATTTTAATTTAATTTAGAAAATAAAAATTCTTTTAAATAAAAAAAATAAAATAATGTCCAATAATAAAAATAGTGGTGAAATTTATATTGGTCAAATTTCATTAAAAATTTTTAAATTTTCCGGAACATGGGAACCATTTGATTTAACAAGAAGATGGAAATTAATTTTTTATCAAATTTATTCAATTTTTATACTAACAATATTTATAATTTTCACATTGTCCGTTTGTATAAATTTATTTCAAAAACATGATAATATTGAAGAATTATCGCAGAGTTTATTTTATTCATCAACTGTTTTAATGACATTAATAAAAATGATAATTCTTATTAAAAGACGTGATATATTTAGAAAAACACAAAAAATGCTTATGTCTGAAATTTGTCGACCTCGTGATTTTTGTGAAATTGAAATTTTACATAATTATTCATTAAAAGGAAGGTGATTTTTTTTTCTCCTTTTAATAAATAAGAAAAAAGTATCTAATTTTATTTTTATTTTTTGAATATAAAATTTTTTTTGCACAATTTGTAAATATTAGAAAAATAATATAAAAAAAGAAAACAATTTTTTTTTGTATTAGAAAAATAATAAAAAAAAAACAATTCTGAAACCGAAACTAATTTCTGGTTTCAGAATTTTTTTTTATATGACTAATTTATTAAATAATATATTGTTATATAGGAAATTTTCCATTTGTCATTTGATAGTGGTTTATGTAGCGGGAACAATGGTTTTATCATTGCCATTAATAACAATGTCAAAAAAATTAATTCTTCCAATTCCTTATTGGATACCATTTTCTCTTGAAACAAAATTTGTTTATTTTTTATCATATCTTCAAGAAATAATTGGTGTCATTATAATTGTTAATATTAATGGAGGAATGGAAACATTGGCATTGTCAATTTTATTACAAATATGTGGCCAATTGGAAATTTTAATATATCGTTTGAATTCACTTTCAAAATTAACAAAAAATAATGAAAATAATAATAATAATAATGTTAAATATTATCAAGAAGCTGAAATTACTAAGGATTGTATAAAAAGTCATCTTTATTTACATGCGTCAGTTGTATAATATATAATTTTTAAAATTGTTAATTTTAAATAAAATTAATATTTTTAATTAAATATTTTATATTTTAATTATAAAATAAAATTTTTTATTTATTTATAAATTTATTTATTTAATTTATCATCATTTACAGAATTGGTGAAAATATAAATAAACAATTTGGAATTTTGATTTTTATGCAATTTTTTGCATCAATGATACTTTTGTGTATTATTATTTATAATGTATCAAAAATGAGTTTAACCAATCATCAAAGTTGGTTAATGATATGTTTTGCGGGCAGTTATACATTACAAATTTTTATCTATTGCTATTTTGGACAACAAGTGACCGAAAAGGTAAAATTATTTAATTAATTATTTTAAAATAAATAAATTTGTAATAATTATTTAATTTAAAAATAAATAAATTTGGAATAATTATTTAATTTTAAAATAAATAAATTTGTAATAATTATTTAAAAATAAATAAAAATAATTATCACCAAAAAATTTTTCCATCGAAATAATTTTTTTTTTTTCAATTATTTTAAAATAAATTATTTTTTTTATTATAAATTATTATTGTAAAACTATATATAATTTATCAATTAAATATAATAAAAAAATATTTAAAAATTAAAATTTTCTTTTTGTAAAGAGCACAGAAATTGGAACAGCTACATATTTTATAAATTGGAATTCATTAACACTAAACACAAAAAAAAGTCTTATAATTATAATGATGCGATCTGTTCGACCAATTAAATTAACTGCTTCATCAATTATTGTCATGTCATTGGAAACTTTTATGAAAGTTTGTATCATTTTTAGTTTTTTTTTTTTTACACATTTCAAAAATAATATTTTCATAATTCGAAAGATTAAAAATTTTAAACTTAATTTTTTTTCAGATAATGAAAACATCTTATTCGGCTTATAATTTGTTGAAAAATAATTAATTATATACGTAATCAAGAGTAATAAGAAAAAAATAAATTAAAAAAGAAAATATGTGTACTTCTTGTACTAAAAACCTGGAAATTTTTTTTATCTAAAAAAATTATTACTAATTTTTATTTAAAAAAAAAAAAAATTTTTATTTATTATTTTTATTATTAGAAAAGAAAAAAAGTATCGTTTTTCTAAAAATTAATTCGCAAAAATTTGGACAAAATTATTAATTTTGTAAATTAACAATTTCGAAAAAAGTTTATACTAATTTCTTTAGAATTTTTTTTTTTTTTCAATATTTTAAAAATATTTCTTTATACAAAGAAAAAAGTGAACAAAATGACTCTATATACAAATACATTTTATGCCATTTTATGGCAAAGGGTTTCTTTACACTTTATGCGCAAGACAATATTTCTGTCGTAAATATATAATTTTCTATTATTCGCGAATAAAATATAAAGGGGAAAATTGAGGCAATTTATTCTTTTTTTTTTCTATCACTGAAAATACAATTACATATATACTATTTTTACATATTTTTCTATAATGAAATATTTTATTATGCAAATTGTCTCAAAATATATAGAGAAGAAAAAAAAAATATTTTATTTGCAAAAGAGACTTAGTTTTTATTTTAAGTAAGCAAAAATCAATTTCAAATAATAGAGTAGTTTTAATATATATGAAACAAAACTCTTTGCAAAAAATATTATTTTACATCGAAAATTATTGTGAGAATTATTATTTATCCCTATGAGGGATAATAATGCAAAATTTTTAAATCTGCAACAGTTTGTAAAACTTTTTATTCGAAACAACAAATGACAAAAAAAAAAAATTCCTTACATTAAAAATATATTTCAAAAGAATTAAAAAATATTATTTTTTTTTATTTTACAAATTAAAAAATATTATTTTTTTTATTTTACAAACTAAAAAAAAATGAATGAAAAAATTTTTCTAAATAATGAAAAAATTTATACAGGAGAAATTTCATATACATTGCTTAAATTATCTGGAATTTGGGAACCATCTAAAAAAACATCAGAATGGAAATTAATTGTCTATCAATTTTATTTCATCTGTTCAATATTGTCACTTTTTACATTTACTTTTTTTATGTTTATTTATTTATTTCAAAAACATGAAAATATCGAAGATTTACAGCAAGGTGTTTTTTATTTTTTCACCATTTTCGTTGCATTTATTAGACAACTAATTATTACGAAAAAACGAAAAATATTTTTAAAAACAGATGAAATGTTTTTATCGAAAATATGTCGACCTCATAATTTTCATGAGAATGAAATATTGCAAAATTGTTCTCAGGCAGGAAGGTAAAAAAAAAATATTTTTTTTTTTTTGTTCTAATTTTATAAGTAGGTAGATATTTTTTTTTTATTATTTTTCCTGCCTTCTAATTTTTTATTGTTTGGTTAATTATTATTATTTTTTTTTTTTAGGAAAAGTTCGATTTATTATTTTATAATAGTTGGCACAACAGGAACAATATTAATTTTATTGCCATTATTTTCAATGCCAAATAAAACTCTTCCAATTGCATGCTGGTTACCAATTTCAATTGAATCAACATTATTTTATTCAATAGCATATTTTCATCAAATTATTTCCATCACAATAATAGTATTTATTTGTATTGGCACGGATTCATTAGCATTAACATTGATGTTACGTATTTATGCTCAATTGGAAATAATAATTTATCGTTTAAATTTACTTTCACGTTGTGAAAAAATTAATGAATTTATTTCAATTGACAATAATTATGATGTGAAAATAATTAATTGCCTCAAGCATCATCGTCATATTTATTCGTAAGTTTGAATTTAATAATTTTTAAATCTTCCCGTGTGGAAAAGTGATGTGGGCCCCCAGCGGGGGCCCTTATGGATCGCCCTCATGCCATGAGGGCCGCATATGGATGATCCATAGGGGCCCCTCATGGAAACGACATGCTCATCGATGAGGGCGCCCGCATGGGCGATCCATGAGGGTGCCCCTACGGGCGCCCTTATGGGCCCTCACGTTTGCCCTCATCTTGCCCTCAAGTTTGCCATAATGTTTTTTAATCAATAATATTAATAATAAAAGTTAATTAATAATAAATAAGCTTAAGTTATGAATAAATAACATATTTATTTAATAATTATTCAATTTTAAATTAAATTCTTACTCAAATTGAATTTATTAATTAACGTTCTAATTAATTAACTGTCGGATATAATTAAAAGTAATAATAAATTAATTAATTAAAAAATTAAAAAATATTTAATTTATGCATACTATTAACGGATATTTTCATTTTTCAATTAATTCATACATAGAATTAATGATTAAACGCAAACCTGAGAAATAAATAAATCTAACGCATGGGGGGAATCGAACCTACGACCTACGGACTATGAGTCTAACGCTTTACCAACTACGCTACGCACGCTACTTCAAAACGAATGCTAACTTCTTGATGCTATTTAAACTTCAAAAATACCTAACAAAGAAAAGTGCTTAACATCATTTAGTTAAAGTTAAGATATTAAATTATATTTTCCAATCAAATGCAATTTATAAAATATAATTAATTATATGCTTTATGATTATTATCATCAATCATCTCAGGTGAATTTTCAAAAAAGTGTAAATATATTTTTATTAAAAACGCGTTTTTCGTTGTTTTGAATCATTGGAAACATTAATTTTTTGGTGATAAAAAAATATTTGACTTTTGGACTTAGAAAATTTTGCTAATCGATCATGAGGGCGATCCATGCGGGCCCCTACGGTGGCCCTCATCTATTTTGCCATAAGTGTGAGTGTTATTTTCAAAAAAGTGTAAATATATTTTTATTAAAAACGCGTTTTTCGTGGTTCTGAATCATTATAAACATTAATTTTTTGGTGATAAAAAAATATTTGATTTTTGGACTTAGAAAATTTTGCTAATCGATCATGAGGGCGATCCATGCGGGGCCCCTACGGTGCCCCTCATGGATTCGCCATATGGATCAGCCCTCATGGGCCCCCGCCGGGGGCCCCGAACTCTTGAGGGCAAGATCGTGGCTTTTTCCACACGGGTTGTCAATTTTTTTTAGTTATTTTTATTTTTTTTTTTTTTGAGTAAACATTTGGAGATAAAAAATTTTATATTTAATTGTTCCAAATATTGAGGCATTAAATTCTGTATTAAAAAATTAATTATAGAAATTTTTTTTTTTTTTTGCAGAATTGGTCAAAATGTAAATAAACAATTTGGAGCAATAATTTTTGTACAATTTTTCTTTTCTACTGTTGAATTATGTTTTATTATTTTCAATTTGTCAAGAATGGATTTAAATAATTGTGACAGTTGGTTGATGATATCTGCATTATCGAGTTATACTTTTCAAATTTTTATTTATTGCTATTATGGTGATAAAATGACGAAAAAGGTAATTCGTATTTTTTTAGTTTAAAAATATTTTTTTTTAACATAATAATTATAATAATAAAATTATTATTATTATAATTAAATTTAATATTTAATAATATTTAAATATTTAAATATTTAATATAATAATAAAATTATTATTATTATAATTATTTATTACAAAATTTTATTAATGTAATTATTTATTTTACAATTTTGTTATACAATAATAATCATTATTTTTATTTATTTATTATTTATTTTTTATTTATTTTTTTATTTATTTTTTATTTTTTTTTTAATTTATTTTTTAATTTATTTTTTATTTCTTTTTAAAAACATTTTTTTCTACTCAAGAGTTTAGATATTGGACTAGCAGTTTATTCAATAAATTGGGATGAATTAACAATAAATACAAAAAAAATTCTTGTAATTATAATGATGCAAACTGCACGGCCAATAAGATTGACTGCAGCATCCATCATTGTTATGTCATTAGAAACATTTGTAAAAGTTTGTATACAATTTTTTTTTAAATAAATTAATTACTTTTCATATTGTAGAAAAATTCATATACATTCCAAAAAGAGTTTAATAATAATAAAAAAAATATTTCAAAAATAAAATTTTGTTCTTTTAATTTATTTTTTTTTGTATCAAAAAATGAGTACTCTCAAAAAATTTATAAACTATTTTTTATTTTTCAGATAATGAAGTCAGCATATTCAGCATTTAATTTATTGAAAAACAGTTAAAAAAAAGGCGTTTATTTAAAATTAAATTAAAAATTTATTTTTAATTTAGATGACAAACATTTGTTCAGTTTATATTTTTAAATAAAAAAATATCTAAATTTAATTTAAAAATATTATTTTTGAATAATTTATTGTAATTCAATTTCTAATTTTATTAAATAATTACTAATTTTTTAATTCTAAAAAAAATTTTTTTTTTCTTCTATAAAAAAGAGAACACTGTGACAATTTAGTTTGCGCCATTTTACAACAAAGAGTGTTTTACACTTATGCGCAATTTTCTTCTATATGAACTTTGAGAATAAAATATTAAGAAGAAAATTGAAACAATTTTTTTTCCATCATAAAAAAATTTTCCAGTCACGCAAAAAAAAAGAGTAACATATACTAATTTTATATGTAAATTTTTCTGTATTGAAATAATTTATTATGCAAATTATTCCAAAATATAGAGAAGAAGAAAAATAATACACACAATGCTTTAGGTTTATTTTAGTAAGCAAAAATCAATTTGAAATAATAGAGTAATTTCAATATAGCAAAAATATTCTTGAGAAAAAAGACATATTTGGAATTATTAATAGTGTGTCGATAGCAATAGAACACTTTTTTTTGTTGTTGTTGTATTATATTTCTCGCATTGAAAATTGCTCACAAATTATTTATTACCTGATAAGGGGGAGAAAAATATTGTTCAGAATTTATCTAACAGTCTTAAAAAAATTCTTTCTTGATATATCAATCAAGAAACATTTTTTATAGGTATTAAAAAATTTTTATTTATATTCAAATTTTCGAATTTCATAAAATTAATTTTTTTTATTTTTACAGATAATGTCTGATATTAATAATAATAATAATAATGAAGAAAAAATTTATACAGGAGAAATTTCGTATACATTACTTAAATTATGTGGAATATGGAAACCAATTGATTTTACTTCAATATGGAAATTAATTGTTTATCGTTTTTATTCCATTTGTGTTCTATTGTCATTTTTTGCATTTGCTTGTTTTCTATTTATATTCATGATTTTTGAACATAATAATACTGAAAATTTAGCATTAAATTTATTTTATTTTTGTACAATTTTTGCCGCATTCATTAAACAAATTATTATTGCCAAAAAACGAAAAATATTTATAAAAACTGATGAAATGTTTTTATCAAAAATATGTCAAGCTTGTGATAATCGTGAAAATGAAATATTGCAAAATTGTTCCCGAGCGGGAAGGTAATTCAAAAAAAAAAAATTTATTAATCTTTAAATTTAATATTTAATTTAATTAATTAATTGGATCGTTAGATAGTTAGTTAATTAATAAATTAAAAATTTAAAAATTTAAAAATTTACAAGATTGTAAAAAATTTTGAAAACTAAAAATATAAAAAATTACCGACACAGAAATCTATCATACCGACGTGAGGGTGAGGTAGATTTCTGTGTCGATAATTTTTATTATTTCATTTACCAAAAATAACTGTTTTACCATTAGTCGATAAGGAAGATTTTATATAAATAATTTAATTATTTTTCTTATTTTTATATATATATATATAGGAATATATCGATTTATTATTTAATATTGGTAGCTACTTCAGCAATAATGGCAATGTCGTTACCAATAGTTTCATTACCAAAGAAAATTCTTCCCGTGCAATATTGGTTACCATTTTCAATGGAATCAAAAATTGTTTATTCCATTGCATATTTCCATCAAGTTTTTGTTTTAAATATGATAATATTTGTTTGCGTTGGTACGGATGCTTTAGCATTAACTGTAATGTTACGAATTTGCGCCCAATTGGAAATAATAATTTATCGTTTAGATTTAATTTCTCATAATGGAAAAATTAATAAATTTATTTCTATTAATTATAATAAAGAAGTGGAAATTATCAATTGCCTAAAGCATCATCGTCATGTTTATTCGTAATTATTTATTTATATTAATAATTTTCCATTTTGGAAAAAAATGAAAAAAAAAAATTTTTTTTTAATAAAAATAAAATAAATTTATTTAAATAATTTTTCTTTTTTGCAGAATTGGTCAAAATGTAAATAAACAATTTGGAGCTGTGATTTTTGTACAATTTTTCGTTTCTATGGTTGAATTATGTGTCATTATTTACTATTTGTCAAAAATAAATATAAACAATGGTGACAGTTGGTTGATGATATCTGCATTATCGAGTTACACTTTTCAAATTTTTATTTATTGCTATTATGGTGATAAAGTGACGAAAAAGGTAATTCATATTTTTTCAGTTAAAAAGTATTTTTTTCAACATAATAATTAAATAAATATAATATTTATTTATTATATATTTTTATTATATATTTTTATTATATATTTTTATTATTATATTTATTTAATACATAATTTTATTATTATAATTATTTATTACAAATTTTTATATTATTATAATAAATTATATAATTTTTTATATAATTTTATTGTTATAATTATATTTTTTTATTATTTTATATAATTACTATTATTATTTTATATTTATTTTAATTTATTTTAATTTATTTTAATTTATTTTTAATTTATTTTTTAATTTATTTTTTAATTTATTTTTTTATTTATTTTTTAATTTATTTTTTATTTCTTTTTAAAAACATTTTTTTCTACTCAAGAGTTTAGATATTGGACTGGCAGTTTATTCAATGAATTGGGTCGAATTAACAATGAATACAAAAAAAATTCTTGTAATTATAATGATGCAAACAACACGGCCAATAAGATTGACTGCAGCATCCATCATTGTTATGTCATTAGAAACATTTGTGAAAGTTTGTGTAAAATTTGTTATAAATTAATTAATTTTCACTTAGTATATATCGTAGAAAAAAATATATACATTGAAAAAAAAAATGTTTAATGTTAGTAATAAAAAAAAAAAAAAATTTTAACTAAAATGATTTTTTTTGAAATTATTAAATTTGGCTCAAAAATTTATAATCTATTTTTTTGTTTTTCAGATTATGAAGTCAGCCTATTCAGCATTTAATTTATTGAAAAATAGTTAAAATAGTTTATTTAAAATTTTTTTTTTTAAATTAAAATTAAATAATTAAAATTCAATTTAAAAGTTATTCTTATAATTTAGAATATAATTTTTAACGATTTTATTTTGTTTATAATTTTTAAATAAAAAATGTCGAAATTTAATTTAAAAATATTATTTATGTTTGAATAATTTAATTAAACCAATTTAATTAAATTCCTAATTTAAATAAATTCCGAATTTGATTAAAGAATTTCTAATTTTTTTTCTGACTTTTTCTGACTGATACACAATTTTTTTTTTAATAAAAAAGAGAACACTGAGAATACAATTTAGTTTGCGCCATTTTAGGACAAAGTTTTACTTTTTTTATGCGCAAGACAATAATATAATTTTCTTCTACGAACTTTCAGAATAAAATATATAAGATGAAAATTGAGACAATTTTTTTTTTCTATAATAAAAAAATTTTTCAGTCACGCAAAAAAGAGTTACACACTTTTTTTCTGTATTGAAATATTTTATTATGCAAATTATCCCAAAATATAGAGAGAAAGACAAATAAAATATATACAATGTTTCAGTTTATTTTAGTAAAAAATCAATTTGAAATAATACAGTAATTTTAATATGAAAAAAAAAATTCTTGTGAAAAAGACATTTGGAATTATTGATAGTATGTCGGATGGTAATAGAACACCTTTTTTTTTGTATTATATTTCTCGCATCGAAAATTGCTCACAAATTATTTATTATCTGATAAGGGGAGTGAGAAAAATATTTTTCAGAATATATCAAACATAAAAAAAATTTTTTGTTCCAAAATTATATCAATCAAGATAGGTATTAACAAATATTTCTGTTATATTGAAACTTTTTGTATTTTTTATAATTAAATTTTTCTTTTTTTAATTATTTCTCACAGATAATGTCTGACAATAATATTAATAATGAAGAAAAAATTTATACAGGAGAAATTTCCTATACATTACTTAAATTATCTGGAATATGGGAACCAATTGATTGTACTTCAATGTGGAAATTAATTGTTTATCGTTTCTATACCATGTGTTCTCTATTATCATTTTTTGCATTTGCTTTTTTTTTATTTATATTTATGATTCTAGAACATGATAATATTGAAACTTTGCCATTGACTGTTTTATATTTTTGCACAATTTTTGCCGCATTCATTAAACAAATTATTATTGCTAAAAAACGAAAAATATTTATAAAAACTGATGAAATGTTTTTATCGGAAATGTGTCGAGCTTATGATAATCATGAAAGTGAAATATTGCAAAATTGTTCCCGAGCGGGAAGGTAATTCGAAAAAAAATTTTTTTTAATATTTATGTAATTAGTTAATTGGATCGTTAGATAGTTAGTTAATTAATTAATTTATGTAGATTGTTAAAAAATTAACTAGATTGTAAAAAATTTTGAAAACTAAAAATATAAAAAAATTACCGACACAGAAATCAACCATATCGACTGAGGGTGAGGTAGATTTCTGTGTCGGTAATATTTATTATTTCATTTACCAAAAATAACTGTTTTGCCTTTAGTCGATAAGGTAGATTTTATATAAATAATTTAATTACTTTTTTTTTTATTTTTATATATAGGAATATTTCGATTTATTATTTAATATTGGTATCTACTACAGCAATAATGGCAATGTCGTTACCATTAGCTTCATTACCAAATAAAATTCTTCCTATAAAATATTGGTTTCCATTTTCAATGGAATCAAAAATTGTTTATTCTATTGCATATTTCCATCAAGTTTTTGGTTTAAATATGATAATATTTGTCTGCGTTGGTACTGATGCTTTAGCATTAACTGTGATGTTACGTATTTGCGCCCAATTGGAAATAATAATTTATCGTTTAGATTTAATTTCTCATAATGGAAAAATTAATAAATTTATTTCTATTAATTATAATAAAGAAGTGGAAATTATCAATTGCCTAAAGCATCATCGTCATGTTTATTCGTAATTATTTATTTATATTAATAATTTTCCATTTTGGAAAAAAATGAAAAAAAAAATTTTTTTAATAAAAATAAAATAAATTTATTTAAATAATTTTTCTTTTTTGCAGAATTGGTCAAAATGTAAATAGACAATTTGGAACTGTGATTTTTGTGCAATTTTTCGTTTCTATGATTGAATTATGTGTTATTATTTACTATTTGTCAAAAATAAATATAAACAATGGTGACAGTTGGTTGATGATATCTGCTTTATCGAGTTACACTTTTCAAATATTTATGTATTGTTTTTATGCAGATAAAGTGACGGAAAAGGTAATTTATACCTGTTAAAAATATGTATTAAAAAAATTATAAAAATTATTTTTAAATTTTTTATAATTATAATCATATAATATATAATAATAATATCATATATTATATAATTATAATAATTATAATCTTTTTATAATGTCGTATAATGTAAATAAATAAATTAATTATGATATATTTATTTATTATTAACTATTATTTTTTTTTATTTATTTTTTTAAATTTAATATTACAGTAAATCTGTTAAAAAAAAAAATTAAAATAAATTTCTATTGTTCTCAAGAGTTTAGATATTGGACTTGCAGTTTATTCAATAAATTGGGATGCATTAACAATGAATACAAAAAAAAGTCTTGTAACTATTATGATGCAAACTACACGGCCAATAAAATTGACTGCTGCATCAGTTATTGTCATGTCATTAGAAACTTTTATGAAAGTATGTGTAAAAATTATTTTTTTTAAATTTAATTAATAATTTCCTTTTTTAAAATTTAATTAAATATTTTTGCTTCCTCGTGAAGGAAGCTTTGTAGTCCTTTCGTTTATAAAACTTTTCGATAACTTTTTCACATTTTGGCAAAAAAATTTTCTAATTTTTTAAATTGAAGTTTATGTATATGAAATAATTGTATTCCTTGCATGAAAAAGAATCGATTGATTTATATATAAAGTATACATTTGAGGTAAAATTTAATAAATCAATTGAAAGTTAAAAAAAGAAAATTCCCATTTTAGCTGAAAAATTTTGTATTTATTTAAATTCAAGTTTAAATATAAAATAATTGTGTTCCTTGCATTGAAACGAATCGATATAATTGTAAATAATTATAAATAATATAATATTTTTCATTAATTTTTAGAAATTTCAGCTATAATGTGAATTGTTGATTTTTTAACTTGTATTAATTTTTTAAATTTAACTCAAATGTTTATATTATTATATTATTAATGTATGTTTATTTTAATGTTAATGCTTTCTCCACGAGAAAGCAAATTTTTTTTGCTGATCGTAAAGAGGAAGCAAATTTGTTCATGTAATGAACATCTGAATTTACATCTTGTTTTATTTATTTTACAGATAATCAAATCAGCCTACTCTGCATTTAATTTATTAAAAAACAGTTAGTTTTATTTATTCAAATAGTAAAAATTGTTTAAAAAAAAAATTTCACTGTAGCACTATTTTTTCTATTTTACGAATTTATGGAAATAAATTCATAAAATAGAAAATTTCTTAATTAAATGGCAAAAAAGAAAAAAGAAAAACACTCATAAAAATTTATTTATTTGACTATATCAATTTTTTGAAATTGTTATGAAATTTTTTAAAACCGCTTTGTTCTTAAATTTTTTTTAAAAAAGTAACCTTTGACTAATACTAATACATTGAATATTTTTTTATGTTCAATAAAAAAAAAAAATATTCGTATTTCTTAGTTGAAATCTTATTCCTTGCTTTTGTAGACTATAATTATCTAATTAATTATTCTATAGAAAATAGGGTGGAATAAATATATATAAAATAAGATTTAATTTTATACTGAACAGAAACCCTATACATAGTATAAACGTAAAATTATTAATTTAAATTATTAATTAGAAAAAAAGAAAATTATTAAATAAAATCCAAAGTACAGAGAAAGAGCAAAATGCATTTTTAAATTTATCGATCATGCAGTTATAAGAAATTAAATAATAAGAGAGAGGGTTGAAATTACTATATATAATTATTTGTATCGTAAGTACGTCGCAGCTCGAAAGAAATAAGTAATAAAGCTTTATTAATACTTGATTAACAACATTGACTTCATCCCCCTCGATTTACATATCGGAAATAATTTTAGTATTACATATACTTATTCATATTGCTTTCGTTGTCTATTATTATCTAATTATTATTTTATCATAATAGAGTTGAACAAAACTATAAAATAAAATATAATTTTATATGTCCAACGAGGAAGTATTTCTCCCTTCATCATATATAAATAATTAAAATTTTAATATCAGTCCACGACAAAAGCACCGAGGAATATAATTTTCAATTCTTTTTTTTTTTTACCTTTAAAAAAAGACAATAGAGGAAAATTTTGCCTGACATAATTTTTATATTTTTCCTTTAGAAAAGGAAGAAATTGTCGAGAAAAATCATATAAAAAAAACTATAAAAGTAAAAATTAAAAAATAAAAGAAAAATAAAAAATTAATAAAAAGCATCTCCTATTGAGGAAGAAAAAATTAAATTTTAATTAAATTTTATTTGAGAAAAAAAAATTGTAGAGAAAACTTTTATTTAGAAAATATGTACAAAGCACAACTTTCATTGAAAATTTTATCAACTGCCGGTTATTGGAGACCAATTAAATTGTCCTATTTTTTTATAATTTTTTTATACAATATTTATAGTATTTTAATGACATTTCTTGTTTATTCATTTGACATATCACTGTACATGTATCTTATTCTTCATTCACTTAATAATATTGATGATTTTGCTGAAACATTATGTTTATTTTTATTAATTTTAGTTGTTTGTGTTAAATTGACAAATTTTTTATTAAAACGCAATGAAATAATCAATTTAATACAAATGATGGAGAAAGATTATTTTTTACCACGTGACAATGCTGAGGAAATAATTCAACAAAATTATGATTATTTGTCAAGGTTAGTGTGATCAAATTTAATTCTTTAAAATATTTTTTTAATAATTAATAATTAATAATTAATAATTAATAATTAATAATTAATAATTAATAATTAATAATTAATAATTAATAATTAATAATTAATAATTAATAATTAATAATTAATAATTAATAATTAATAATTAATAATTAATAATTAATAATTAATAATTAATAATTAATAATTAATAATTAATTTATTCTTAATATTTTTTATTTAAGGTTGTGTACATATTTATTTTAAAATAAAAAAAATTTTTTTTTTTATTTGTTAACAGAAGAAATACGTGGTTATTTTTAATTGGAAGTTTTTGTACAATGACAGCATTAACACTTGGTGGATTGGCAAGAGGAAAAAATGTTGTGTTACCATTTAAAACATCATTGCCATATGATAGGAATGGTAAAATTACATTTTGGCTAACATATGTGAGTCAAACATTAAGCCTTTATAGTTCAGGTTTAACAAATGTTGGTGTGGAAACTTTTGTCATGGTAATTATGCTGCAAATATGTTCACAACTTGAAATAATATATCATCGACTTGAAGCATTGCCTCAGTTATATAATGATAATAATAATAAAAATAATAACAAAAATAATAATGATGATGAAAATAATTATAATAAAAATAATGAAAATAATAATAATATAAATAATAATAAGAATAATTATAACAATGTTGAAAGAACATTGTGTTCTTTAAAAATTGAAGAGGCACGAATTCTCGTTGAATGCGTCAAGCATCATAATTATGTTTATCTGTAAGATATTATTTTATATTTGTAAATATATATAGAGTTAAAAAAATAATTTTAATATTATTTAATTAATTCATAATTCTTTAAAGAGAAAATTGTGATCTATATTTATTTCACATCTTTTTCTTTTTTTGCTTCCTCGTGGAGGAAGCTTTGTAGTCCTTTCGTTTATAAAACTTTTCAAAGTGGAGGAAACAAATTTTTTTCTTTATAGAAACATATTATATGAGATCCTGATCAATTGTCTGGATGTATGTATGTGTGTGTGTGTGGATCCCTTTTTTGTTTAGAAGATAACTTTAACAGGTTTTAATAGATTTAGATAAAATTTGGTAAGCTCATTTATCATATTAATATCTCAAATCTGACAAAAGGATTTTAAAAAATACCCCAAAAAAAATATTATCGTCATTTTTCCAAACATTTTTAAATAGAAAAATTTAAGGTTATATATAATAAAATCATATTCCGGAGCGGTTATCTCAGAATTTTAATTTTTTGAAAATTTTTCCAAAATGTTTTTTAGTGTAGCTCAGCATCCGCTGGACCAATCAAAAAGTGCGTCATACACTTTTTGTTCGAAACTTTTTCCTTATTTTTCTGGTGGTATTCCGGAGCGGTTATCTCGCAAATTTAATGTTTCTAAATTTTTTCCAAATTTGTTTTCTAGTGTAGCTCAGCATCCGCTGGACCAATCAAAAAGTGCGCCATACATTTTTTGTTCGAGACTCCCGGGTTAAGACTTTGGCGGTATTCCCGATCAATTATCTCGCAAATTTAATTTTTCGAAATTTTTAAAAAAATTTATCTGAGTGTAGCTCAGCATCCGCTGGACCAATCAAAAAGTGCGCCATACATTTTTTGTTCGAGACTCCCGGGTTAAGACTTTGGCGGTATTCCCGATCAATTATCTCGCAAAATTATTTTTTCGAAATTTTTTAAAAAATTTATCTGAGTGTAGCTCAGCATCCGCTGGACCAATCAAAAAGTGCGCCATACATTTTTTGTTCGAGACTCCCGGGTTAAGACTTTGGCGGTATTCCCGATCAATTATCTCGCAAATTTAATTTTTCAAAATTTTTAAAAAAATTTATCTGAGTGTAGCTCAGCATCCGCTGGACCAATCAAAAAGTGCGCCATACATTTTTTGTTCGCTACTTTCTGCTAAAGACTTTGGCGGTATTCCCGAACGATTATCTCGCAAATTTAATTTTTCTAAATTTTTTAAAAAATTTATCTGAGTGTAGCTCAGCATCCGCTGGACCAATCAAAAAGTGCGCCATACATTTTTTGTTCGCTACTTTCTGCTAAAGACTTTGGCGGTATTCCCGAACGATTATCTCGCAAATTTAATTTTTCTAAATTTTTTAAAAAATTTATCTGAGTGTAGCTCAGCATCCGCTGGACCAATCAAAAAGTGCGCCATACATTTTTTGTTCGAGACTCCCGGGTTAAGACTTTGGCGGTATTCCCGATCAATTATCTCGCAAATTTAATTTTTCGAAATTTTTTAAAAAATTTATCTGAGTGTAGCTCAGCATCCGCTGGACCAATCAAAAAGTGCGCCATACATTTTTTGTTCGCTACTTTCTGCTAAAGACTTTGGCGGTATTCCCGAACGATTATCTCGCAAATTTAATTTTTCTAAATTTTTTAAAAAATTTATCTGAGTGTAGCTCAGCATCCGCTGGACCAATCAAAAAGTGCGCCATACATTTTTTGTTCGAGACTCCCGGGTTAAGACTTTGGCAGTATTCCCGATCAATTATCTCGCAAAATTATTTTTTCGAAATTTTTTAAAAAATTTATCTGAGTGTAGCTCAGCATCCGCTGGACCAATCAAAAAGTGCGCCATACATTTTTTGTTCGAGACTCCCGGGTTAAGACTTTGGCAGTATTCCCGATCAATTATCTCGCAAAATTATTTTTTCGAAATTTTTTAAAAAATTTATCTGAGTGTAGCTCAGCATCCGCTGGACCAATCAAAAAGTGCGCCATACATTTTTTGTTCGAGACTCCCGGGTTAAGACTTTGGCGGTATTCCGGTCCAATTATCTCGCAAATTTAATTTTTCGAAATTTTTTAAAAAATTTATCTGAGTGTAGCTCAGCATCCGCTGGACCAATCAAAAAGTGCGCCATACATTTTTTGTTCGAGACTCCCGGGTTAAGACTTTGGCAGTATTCCCGATCAATTATCTCGCAAAATTATTTTTTCGAAATTTTTTAAAAAATTTATCTGAGTGTAGCTCAGCATCCGCTGGACTAATCAAAAAGTGCGCCATACATTTTTTGTTCGATACTTTTTGCTTCTTCGTGGAGGAAGCTTTGTTGTTCTTTCATTTATAAAATTTTTGAAACTGGCTGAAACAAATTTTTTTCTTTATAGAAACATGTTATATGAGATCCTGATGAATTGGCCGGATGTATGTGTGTGTGTGGATCCCTTTTTTGTTTAGAAGATAACTTTAACAGCTTTTAATGGATTTAGATAAAATTTGGATGACGCTGAAGTTACCAACGTTGATTCAACGAAACAACGAACGAATTTTTCGCTTTCAGATTAGTTTAAAAGCCAAGAACCAATATTTTTTAATTGAAACTTCTTTATTTTGGTCCCAAATACATCCTTAAACACTAAAAATTCACAACCACGGCGGGGAAATATTCAATCTTAGGAAAACAAAAATTCTTTTCGTCGATTCAACGTTGGTAACTTCAGTGTCATAAATTTGGTTGGCTTATTTATCATATTAATATCTCAAATCTGACCAAAGTATTTTAAAAAATACAAAAAAAAAATTTTATTGTTTTTTTTCCAAAAATTTTTTTTTATTCCAAAAATTTAAGGTCATATATAATAAAATCGTATTCTTTACGTCAAGACGAATCGATCGATATATATAAAGTATTCATTTGAGGTAAATTTAAAGAATTAATGAAAGTTAAAAAATCAAAATCACGTTTTGGCAATAAAATTTTGCTTTCTGCACGAGGAAGCAAATTTTTTTGCTGATCGTAAATAGGAAGCAAAATGTTCATGTAATGAACATCTGAATTTACAACTTGTTTTATATATAAATAATATAAGAATATTTTTGAAAAAAAAAATTACAGATTTAGTGAAAAGCTAAATGATATTTTTAGTGTTGTTTTTGGAATTCAATTTATTGGATCAATTACAAATATTTGTACACTTATTTATAGTCTATCGACAAAAAATTCATTTAATGATAAAGTTCTTGCTCAGGGATTATTGTTACCAAATGTCATTTTTCAGACTTTTATTTATTGCGTTTTTGGCAATGAAGTTATGTTAAAAGTACGTATATGAAAAATTATTGTTCTTACAAGGAAAAAAATTTTTTTAGGGGGTATTTATTTACCCTATTAATGTCAATTAAAATTAATTTTACCAATTAAATGTAATTATTTTCGAATAGAGTATTTAAAAAAAAAAAAATTTTTAGATTTTAATTTTATTTGAAAAATCAATATTTCTGTGATTTATATTAATTTTTGATTTTAGAGTTTAAAAGTAGCGGACGTAATAAGTATGATCGATTGGACAATGTTAACAAAACAATCAAAAAAGGGACTTCTTTTAATTGCAATACGTGCTAGAAATCCAATAATTATAACAGGTGGATCATTCATTCCCATGTCACTCAACACTTTTGTTGCCGTAAGTTCAATTATAAGTGTAAATATAATAATAATAATAATAATAATAATAATAATAATAATAATAATAATAATAATAATAATAATAATAATAATAATAATAATAATAATTTAATAATTTCATGATTTCATGATTCAATAATTTATAATAATTAAATAATTATAATAATTTTAATAAAATAATTATTATCATTATGTTTTAATTTATAAATTAATTAATTAATTAAATAACTAATTTATTTATTGTTTTTAGATTTTAAAAGCATCTTATACCTCGTACAATCTACTGAAAAATTCAAGAACCTAGTTAATAAATTAATAATTAATCTTTAGAATTACTTCGATTTAATTGAAGTATAATTAAACTTTTTAAATAAATAATGATGTAATCAATAAATGTAGTAAGTCTATATAATATTTTTTTTCCTGTTTTTTAAAAGAAAAATTGATTTTTTTTCAAACTAAAAATAATTGTACACAATTTTTTTTTTTTAATTTAATTAATTAATTTTTTTAATTTAATTTTCAAAAATGATTACACTATACGAATTAGTGGTTAAATCGAGTTTTTCAAAACATAATAGAATCATTTTATTAAGATAAATCGCTCAATTTATTATTATATTATTATTATTATTCACCTCTAATAATTTTTTTTTTTTAATAATTCTCGAGATAATTGACTATTTTAATGATTTATTATTAAAATACAATTTTCTGATATTCCCTTCGTTACAGCACCTGTTGAATTACTTATAAACTTGTAAAAGAGAGGGAGAATATAATTCCAAACGTAAAATATCTATCAGTCTGTTAGGAACTTTTATTGAAGGCAGAAGTCACATTTCTTGTCTATAAAAATATTATAAAATAATTAATAATATAATATTATATAATAATTTAGAAAATAATAATAATTAGATATTTCCATTAAAAAAAAAAAACACTAAAAATTTTCAGTTTTTAAAAAGAAATTATTTTCACAAAAGAATTATTTAAAAAAAAAAAAAAAATATTTTTTTTCGCCTCTAACGGAATATGTAATAGAAATAATAAAATAAATGAATTATCTATATTAAAATAATAGATAAAAATGTTATCTTGTCTTTCATTTAATGTGTTTATATTTCTTGGTATGTGGAGACCACTGTCATGGATATCAAAGTGTAAAATATTACTCTATAAAATTTACAATATTATTTGTTTTACAATTTATACATCGTTTGTGTTTGTTTTATTAATTTATTTCGCGAGTGTAAATAATGTTAATGATTTTACATTATGTTTATTTTTTTTTTGCGCCGCATTTTCCATATGGGTGAAAATGTTAACAATTATTGTGCGACGTCAAATTATTTTGAATACAAGTAAAATTCTTTCAAATAAATTATGTCAACCAAGAAATATTCATGAATCACAAATAATTGACAAGTATTTGCATATTGTTAGGTTTGTAAATATTTTGTTTTTTAAATATTTATTTAATAATTTTTTTTATTAATTATTTTAATAAATTTTGTTATTAATTATTTTAATAAATTTTGTTATTAATTATTTTAATAAATTTTGTTATTAATTTTTTACAAATAAATTTTGTTATTAATTAATTTGATTTATTTAATTATAATTTTCATTCTTTAGAATTAGTACAATTTCCTTTATATTGATGACAATTATTAATGCAGCGTCATTATTGTTGGCTCCATTGACTAGAAAAAATAATATAACACTTCCTGTGAAAATGTTTATTCCTTACAGTTTGGAATCAAGGGAAGCATTTATTTTTACATATTTATATCAATGTATTTCATTGATAATGGCTGCTTTAATAACAAGTTCCGTTGAATGTTTTGCATTAATGGTAATTTTAATAATATGCGCACAATTGGAAATATTTGTTTATCGATTAGATTGATTTCAAAAAATTAAGAGAAAAAATCATCAGATTAAATCAACTATTTATAAATGTGAGGTAAAATTAATAAAAGATTGCGTTCAACATCACATTTCTTTGTATTCGTAAGTTTATTATTTTTATTTTCTCAAAATTAATTTTTTTTTAAATATTTATTTAATTAAACAAACGGGACAACTAAATAAAAAAAATATTAAAAATAATATAATAAAAAAAAAATATTTTTATTTAAAAATTTAAAAAAACAAAATAATAATAAGTAAAATTTTTTGATAATAAATAGACTGGGAAAAGAAATGAATAAATTATTTGGTACAATGATTTTTGTACAATTTTTTGCATCTTTCATTCAATTATGTACATTGATTTATCAATTAAGTAGAATGAATTTAAAAACTCCAAATTATTGGACAACAATAACACTTTTGTGTAGTTCATTTTTACAACTTTACTTGTACTCATTTTCAGGGGAAAAAATAATGGAAAAGGTAAATTTGAAAAAAAAAGTTTGTCTAACTATAACGGTATTTTACTACTTATATTTAATTTATAGAAAATTTACTATCTTCCGTCTGACTGAAATTGACTTCTACTACTGACACATTAAATAATAAAACAAAAAAAATAATAATAATAATTACTATTTTTATTATTTTATCTCCTTGTCTGACTAAAGCAGGATTTTACTACTGATTTCGTATTTATAAAAAAAATTTGTCTGATTAAAACTGTCTTTTACTACTGAAACACAAATAATATGATTTTAATTACTTTCTCTGACTAAAAAGGTATTTTACTACTGCTATTGAATTTATAAAAAATTAACACTTTTTGTCTGACTATTATTAACTTTTACTACTGAAAAATAAAAAATAATAATTTTTACTATTTTGTCTGACAAAAATAGGAATTTACTACTGATACCGAATTCATAATAATTAAAATAAATATAATTATATAATTAATTATATAATTAATAATATAATTGTTTGTCTGACTATTATTGACTTTTACTACTGAAAACTGAAAAAACAATAATTTTTACTATTTTGTCTGACAAAAACAGGATTTTACTACTGATACCGAATTCATAATAATTAAATTCGCTTTGTCTGACTGAAATTGACATTTACTACTGCTATTGAATTTATAAAAAAAATTAACACTTTTTGTCTGACTATTATTGACTTTTACTACTGAAAAGTGAAAAAATAATAATTTTTACTATTTTGTCTGACAAAAACAGGATTTTACTACTGATACCTAATTAATAATTAAAATAAATATAATTATATAATTAATATAATAATAATATATAATATAATAATAATATATATTTTTTGTCTGACTATTATTGACTTTTACCACTGAAAACTGAAAAAACAATAATTTTTACTACTTTGTCTGACAAAAACCGGATTTTACTACTAATAACGAAATTATAGTAGTTACATCCACATTGTCTGACTGAAATTGACTTATACTACTGAAAAAAATAAATTTTACTTTATCAAAAAAAAAAAAAATTTATCATAATCTTCCTTTGTTTATAGAGTTCATTAATTGTAGAAGAAATTTATCAATTAAAATGGACGACAATAACAAATCGTTCAAGAAAGGATCTTATTTTAATTATGATTCGTGCTTCGAGGCCAATTAAATTAATTGGCTCATCTGTTATTGTTATGTCAATAGACACTTTTGTCAAAGTTTGTACATATTCTATTAACTATAAGAATTTTATTTGCAATTATTTTTAATAAATAATTAGTTCAATTAAAAATATATATTATTATTAAAAAAAAATTATAAAACAATTTTAATATATTTACCTATTTTTCAGATTTTGAAATTATCATTCTCCACTTACAATTTGTTAATTAATTTATAAATTCAATGAACGTAAGTCAAAAATTCTTTTAAATAAAAAAATATATTTTTTTATAAAAAATTTTGGAAAAAGAAAACTGTCAATAGGTAAGATTTTTATACATATTTTTTTCAAATTAATTGTAAGCAGAATAAATATTAAAAATAAAAATCAACGCTATTATTTTTTTTATATAATATCAATTTTAGTATAAAAAAAAAATTATATAAAAAAATATAATTATATAATTGTATTTTCAAAAAAATATAAAAAATATTTTTTTTATTTTTATTATTAATATCCCGTGTGGAAAAGTGATGTGGGCCCCCAGCGGGGGCCCTTATGGATCGCCCTCATGCCATGAGGGCCGCATATGGATGATCCATAGGGGCCCCTCATGGAAACGACATGCTCATCGATGAGGGCGCCCGCATGGGCGATCCATGAGGGTGCCCCTACGGGCGCCCTTATGGGCCCTCACGTTTGCCCTCATCTTGCCCTCAAGTTTGCCATAATGTTTTTTAATCAATAATATTAATAATAAAAGTTAATTAATAATAAATAAGCTTAAGTTATGAATAAATAACATATTTATTTAATAATTATTCAATTTTAAATTAAATTCTTACTCAAATTGAATTTATTAATTAACGTTCTAATTAATTAACTGTCGGATATAATTAAAAGTAATAATAAATTAATTAATTAAAAAATTAAAAAATATTTAATTTATGCATACTATTAACGGATATTTTCATTTTTCAATTAATTCATACATAGAATTAATGATTAAACGCAAACCTGAGAAATAAATAAATCTAACGCATGGGGGGAATCGAACCTACGACCTACGGACTATGAACCTAACGCTTTACCAACTACGCTACGCACGCTACTTCAAAACGAATGCTAACTTCTTGATGCTATTTAAACTTCAAAAATACCTAACAAAGAAAAGTGCTTAACATCATTTAGTTAAAGTTAAGATATTAAATTATATTTTCCAATCAAATGCAATTTATAAAATATAATTAATTATATGCTTTATGATTATTATCATCAATCATCTCAGGTGAATTTTCAAAAAAGTGTAAATATATTTTTATTAAAAACGCGTTTTTCGTTGTTTTGAATCATTGGAAACATTCATTTTTTGTTGATGAAAAAATATTTGACTTTTGGACTTAGAAAATTTTGCTAATCGATCATGAGGGCGATCCATGGCTAATCGATCATGAGGGCGATCCATGCGGGGCCCCTACGGTGCCCCTCATGGATTCGCCATAAGTGTGAGTGTTATTTTCAAAAAAAGTGAAAATATATTTTAATTAAAAACGCGTTTTTCATTGTTGTGAATCATTATAAACATTAATTTTTTGGTGATAAAAAAATATTTGACTTTTGGACTTAGAAAATTTTGCTAATCGATCATGAGGGCGATCCATGCGGGCCCCTACGGTGGCCCTCATCTATTTTGCCATAAGTGTGAGTGTTATTTTCAAAAAAGTGTAAATATATTTTTATTAAAAACGCGTTTTTCGTGGTTCTGAATCATTATAAACATTAATTTTTTGGTGATAAAAAAATATTTGATTT